GGGAGGAGAGCGGCAGTCAAACAGACACAGACCACAGGCCAGGGAGTATAAGCCTGGAGTTTGGTGGGTTGGAGGGGGGAGCTGTAACTGAGGAAACCATCTCAGACCAGGCGACAAGCGATGCGATGGGCCGTGGTGGTGGTTACCAAGGCGTCATGGGCTTTGTTGACGTCGTCTCCACGGCAACGGGCGAACTCGCGCCTCAAGCTCCCCCAGGGCAGGTCTCTCTCTCCCGCACCTGCACGGCAGCGGCACACCTTCCCCCTGCATCCCTTGCCCCTGCCACATCCAGTGGTGTGTGCCAGTGCTGCACCTTCTCAGCTGCAACGACCGAGACGGCGCTACCAAGTACCCATGTACCTATTCGTACAGGAAAAGGCATGAGCTCCGATACGTACCTAAGCTGACCTCCCACGCTCCTTCTTTTCCAAGCTTCAATATCTGTACTTGCGATACATTTTGCCTCTCGTTTCCTCCCCCTTGGCTGTAGCGTCATCACGTACCCTGATGTACCCCATCGTGAGGATCCCGTCATTGCGGGTTCCTCCCAGATGGCCCATCAACCACGGCCACGAGCAATCTTTAAAACATGTCGTTCAAAGACAAGGACCTCCTGGTTCTGCACCCTGCCGCACCTCGCGGTCGCATCGTATCGAGGCCAGGTTTTCTTCAAGTCGAGTCTGGCTACTGAAGTTTGATGCCAGCTAGTTGCTTATGCAGCGTATCGAAATCCCCATTTTATTTATCTTTCAAGGTTCTGGACAACCGTCAGTACGAATACCCATCTTTTGCGACTGCCGTCGATACCAACCTTGCCGAGGCATAATCCCATAATTCCCATCCCGATATATCAACACAAGCTCCAAGATACGCTTACACCGCAACAATGTCGTCGTGTCGTTCCTGAATCCTCGCTATACCTGACGCAAAGTGGGCACAGAAACAAACATCCCCGCGCAGATAAAAAAAAAAAAAAAACCCCCCCCGTATCCGCAATCAAGAAATCGAATCAAGGACGTGCGTGCTCCCTCCCGGACTCGTCCAACCAGCACCTCGATTTGATCACCGATCGCACAACCCTGGCAACCAGACTTCCAGCCCGAGGTGTGGAGGACAGCCGACGGCGCAACCCATCCATCCATCCATCCGTCCATCGCCCCAAGCAAGGCGCGCGCCGTCTCACTTTACCACCGGCTGCCAACCACGCGGTACCGTCGATGCACAGCAGCAGCCGCCGTCGTGCGTTGGTGCAGCCACACTCGAGAGTCTATGTTTCACCCGCCGCCTGCCACCAAGACAAGATGTTTCCAAGGGGCCAGACAGAAGTCTATCCTCTTCTTCCTTTTGTTACTCGTTTCCGCCATCTTTTTCAATAAACATCTCTCCGGCTTGTTCCCGTACTCACCAAGGAGCTCATTGGAGCTTCTCGTACAGCATGCTTTAAGTTCTTTACTCCGCTATTCGCACGTAGCAGATAGCACCTCTTCCGACTTTTCACAACGCCAGATTCAGCACTGTCGAATCATGAACCATACAAGATCGCCTTACTATTGTAAGACGAGCTGAGAGGCACCAAAGACCTCCATCCGGAAGAACTCACCACCAGATTATCTCTTAGGGTCGAATGTCCAGTTGCCTCATTCCACAAACATACCGAGAGGTGCACTTTTCTACAGTGACTCTAAGCCAACTTACTCAGACCTCTACGCGACAGCAGTATACATATGCATAGTCTGGTTTGTATTAGTTCGCATTCATCATGTTGGTCTCGTTCTCCAGCTCTGCCTAGAGAAGTCAGCAGTCATTTTCCGTGTCTCCGTCTGAAAGCCAAGCAACAATGAAGTATCACGATCCGTCCGTATTCCCCAGCGTATTGACCAGCTGCGATACACGCGAGATGAGGCCTTTGGCAATTGGCAACTATGTAGAACGGTCTCGTGGGAGAGACAGATGTGATCTCCAGATTCCCAAACAAGGAGATAGCTCCCGATTCAAGAGAAGTCGGCGTTCTCAGCAGGCGGCCAAGGACCTGATAGAAGCCAAACACATTTACTAGCATGGGAAAGCATTCGCAATGCTACCTACGAGACTTTCGACAGATCTCTAGAGTTCATTTGCAAGTGTTTCTTCCAAACGTAGCATCCTACATAGCCCCTATGGCAGTCTCTGCAACTATTCAAGAAGATGTGGATCAGCAGCCAGACTCGGTTCTGAGAAACACTTCTTCATGGGCCTAGAAGCTCTGAGCTTGAGACTGGACAATGCGAGGTGTCAACCAAGAGTATTCTGATACGCTCGTCACTGGTCTGTAATCCCGCACCCTATATTATGGCTCAAAGGTGTTCATCGGCGAGGTTGCTAAGACGGTAAAGCAGCACAATAGACCTCGTATGAAACCATTAAGTGAGTATTAGAGATTGATGCTCCAAAGAGCCGATCAAGAGTAAGCTGATTGAAAACGCCTTGCATGTGATCACTGCTCCTCCTTTTGATATTCAATAACCTCAAAGATTATCTGGGCAATGTTCAAGAGCCGCCACCTCATTGACGACGGGGACGGATGGTATGATAGCTATACAGGCATTTGTGTATCTCTACTGAAGCTTAAAGTGGCAACCACAAGAATGGCGGACCTCGAAACATCTCGATGTAATTGACGGTAGAGATATTGCATCAACTAAGCCAGACATATCTCTCTCGGTGTAATTAGGTGCTACCGTCGCCATGAGAAGTGAAACATGTGTAAGGTGACTTGCGCAAGCTCATTGAGGGGCATTCGGAATGGGAAGCTTCATAATTCACAGCTGGCGTTAGGCGTGAGTATCTGAATCCTCGTCTCGAAGCAATTATCGATGGCGTTTCGCCTTGGAGATGGCTCATGTATGGTGCTAACATTAAGGCGCGGTCGTGTTGGAGCTTCTTTGGGATAGCCGGGAAGCACACGTTGTCAAATCCACAGAGTGATTCTTAAGAGTTCTCTGACCAGTGTCTTCATCATGATCACACGATGCATTCTACCCTGTATATCATGATCACATGATGAAGTTCACGTGAATTTGGAGTCCTGAGTGGAAGTGGTAAGGTAGGCTCATACCGGAGCCGAGGAAACTCCGGGGCCGAATGAGGCCTTGAGTATAGAGCTGACTCGGGTACGGATAGCATCAGAGATGCCTCGGGACCAGACCAGCAAAAGTTCGGATCCGATCTATCAGTACCTGATAGGAGGTGGCACTGGTGAATTAGCGAAGGTCAGGCGATATTTGCTCTCAGGTGAGGCTAAAAAGGGGGCACGGCAAGACCCGCCACCTTGGGTCAGGTCCATGCCATGCTGCTTGGGCAGTGTTGCACAATGTTGGAGAAGTTGGGGAACATTGTTGGTTGTGAGGAGAAATCCGGAAGGGCGGTATTCGGTGGTGCAAGAATCGGTCGATAATGATGTGGTTATTTAACCTCAAGCTGTGTAATCCAGATTCCAGCCACGGTCACTGGATGCGGCGGTGCGAAAGGGAAGTCAAGTGGTAGGCACAGTTTGGAGGAAACAGCGCTGCAAACCGGAAGATCAGATGACATGCACCTTTGGGCTCGACAGGGTTCAGCTGCCTTAATCGAGACTGCTATTCACCGCCGCTCGGCTGGTTCATGCAAGGGCCCCAAGGACAGAGCCGGGACGTTTCCACCGAATTTTGGTTTGTTCCTGGAGGCTTTGAGGACGATTGAGTTTCTGTGAGCTGGCAGCTTCGGATGAGGGCTCACAACCACGATATGAGAGTTTGTATTTCATCTCTGGTGCGCGATATTGTACTTGATGATTGGACTTGAAGATTGTATAAAGTTACAGCTGTCAGATGAAATGGCGGAGTGAGGTCACCGGAGACTGAGGTGTTCTGGTCAGACGGCCTCGGGAGCTTCAGGGACCGACCAAGTGGGCTTTAGGGATCCACTTGGGGTACGATACGACACGTGATTGGAGAGAAGCGAGGTGAACTGGAGCTTACGAGATTTGAAGGCGACGGTCAGCGACGTCGCGGGTGCCGGTTCTGGCCCGTGCACCGTGCTCCCCTGTCACCTCGACAACCAGGGTCTTTTTTTTTTTGGTAGGTACTCGTTCTGCTGTGCTGTCCAATGTTTCTTCCCAACTCTTTCTTCATAGCGGTGACATTGGCTGGAAACAGTTTGCATCGTGCAGCGAACTGCAGCAGCGGATGGAACCAAAGTATCGGGCTACGGAATAGAAACAGAGGGAGAGACGAATTATGAGGCAGCACGCACCCCCAAATTTTGGGACCCCCATGACCACATCAGACCTGCTCCATTGCTGTGAATCACTAGACCGGGACAGCTGTGCTGTGCTGTGCTGTGCTGTGCTGTGCTAGACTGTACTCCGGAGACGTCCAGTGAACGTGGACCTTGAAGGTGACCTTGGGACCTGGAAATAACTAACTCGGCCCCCGACCCCCAACCGGTTTGCTCCCATCTCCCGTCAATAATATCTCTGGCCTACAGCTTTGGCACTTGGAAGGATCCAATTCCAGCTTTCCGCAACGGCTGATTATTATCTATCGTGTCCATCTGCGAGTACCAATATCCCTCAACCAGGTGCAAGGCTGCAAGAGACGAACAGACAGACGCCAGACGAGTAGACGCCAGGCCACGTTGGATACCCTCTGCTGCTGTCATCTGGTCCCTCTTTGTCGCCCTCCCTTTGTCCATCTTACTTCCATCTCTCTCCTCCATCTGCCTATCTCTCTCACCCTGTCTCGAACCCTTTTTCATCCCACGTCTCGTCCTTCCTGCAGAACTCGAAGCTGCGACAATTTACCTTCCTAACCACACACGCCCCGTTGTTGACCCCCGACGCCCCGACTGCCGGCTCTCGCTCGCACGCGTCGCCCTCGGCACCCACCCCAGGTCCTCCCCCAAAACCCAAAAGCGCAGACGAAGAAAAAAATAGCCACCACGCATCAACACCTCCCATAATCGCAATCTGACAAGTTCATGCAATGTCAGGCAACACCCTTAGAGGCACGCCCAATCGCGGCCAGGCCCGTGGAGGCATCCCCTTCACCCAGAGCCCCTCCGTCACAGGCTCTGCACCTCCCGCCGCCGTATCCTCTGGCATTCCGCGCCCTGTCCTAGAAACCCAGGCTACCCAGAGCGAAGTTGGCGGCGGCGGCGGCGGTGGTAGTGGATCAGGAGTCAGTGCCAGTCGGCAGAAGCAGACCAAGAGAGATGAGGTATGATGCCCTTTTTTTCTTTTCTGATAGTACCCCACGATCACGGACGGCCATTGAATATCCATTGCCTCTCTCGTCTTCGCCGCATTTGAAGAAGAGTTGCGCAGACCGCTTGTTCGTCTTTCGTTGTCGTCGTCGCGTCTCCAGTCTTGCTAGCTATCGGACCGCGTCTTCAATCGGACCTCCAGAAGCTATTCCCACTGCAACAACTGCTACCTCCAAATGGCCAGACTTACCTACGGCGAGCTCGAAAGAGCCAGAATGCTCGACACAATGGATACTGACTACTACGTCAAGGCAATTCGCAAGAAGATGGAGAGCGATCTCTCAAAGAAGAAGCACCTCACGAGCCGAGCCCGTCACTCACGCAAAGCCCCGCCGGGAACCGTCCTCGCCTTGAAGCCTAGTCAAGCCCTGCAGATCAAGCCCGCCACCACCGTCGCCGAGGCTGCCCAGCTCATGGCCGCCAAGCGCGAGGACTGCGTGCTCGTCACCGACGACGACGACCGTATCGCCGGTATCTTCACCGCCAAGGATCTCGCCTTCCGCGTCGTCGGCGCCGGCCAGAAGCCAAACCACATCACCATTGCCGAGATCATGACCAAGAACCCCCTCTGCGCCCGCACCGACACCAGCGCCACCGACGCCCTCGATCTCATGGTCCGCAAGGGTTTCCGTCACTTGCCGGTCATGGACGAGAACCAAGATATTTCCGGTATTCTCGACATTACAAAGTGTTTCTACGATGCCATGGAGAAGCTGGAGCGTGCCTACTCGTCCTCGAGACGTCTGTACGATGCCCTCGAGGGTGTCCAGTCCGAGCTCGGCACGAGCCAGCCGCAACAGATTATCCAATACGTTGAGGCTCTGCGTTCCAAGATGTCGGGCCCGACTCTCGAGTCGGTCCTCGACGGACGGCCCCCGACAACGGTCAGCGTGAGAACCTCGGTCAAGGAGGCGGCACAGATGATGAAGGAGAACCGAACCACTGCCGTCCTGGTGCAAGATCAGGGCGCCATCACTGGTATCTTTACCAGCAAGGATGTCGTCCTTCGTGTCATTGCCCCTGGTCTTGACCCCGCGACGTGCAGCGTTGTCCGCGTCATGACGCCTCACCCGGACTTTGCTCCCATGGAAATGAGCATCCAGGCTGCTCTCCGCAAGATGCACGGTAAGCTTCTCGCATTGGTGGAGTGAAAGAAGCAATAGCTAACCAAGTATCAGACGGCCACTACCTCAACCTTCCCGTCATGAACGAGGGCGGCGAAATCGTCGGTATGGTTGACGTTCTCAAGCTCACCTACGCTACCCTCGAGCAGATCAACACCATGTCCACTTCAGACAGCGAAGGACCCGCGTGGAACAAGTTCTGGCTTTCGCTTGACGACGGCACCGAGTCCATGATGTCCGGCGAGGGCAGCCACACCCATCACACAAATCTGGGCTCACGCATCATGTCTCCCGACATCACCCGGGAGCGCATCGGCGACAGTGTTGCTCCCGGTGACTCTGCCTCCCACGTCGGCTTGGAGTCACCGCCTCGCTCCGCCGTCACCGGCAACAGCCCGGCTCAGCAGTCCCCTGCGGAACTGCCCTTCCCCTTTAAGTTCAAGGCCCCATCCGGCCGTGTGCACCGCCTGCAGGTCATCGCCTCCCAGGGTATCTCAGCGATGGTTGCCAACGTTGTTGCTAAGCTGGGAAGCGAGATCGACGCCATTGGCGGCGCTCCCGTGGCCGACGAGGGCAAGATCTCGGGTGGCTTCGCGCTCAGCTACCTCGACGACGAGGGTGACTCCGTCTCCATCACGACAGACAATGATTTGCTCGAGTCCATTCTCCTCGCCCGCCAGAGCCGTCGGGAAAAGGTCGACCTGTTCGTCCACGACCCCGAGAAGCCCCCCGTTTCCGCCGCACCCCCCACTATCGAGACCATTGCGCTCCCCACTCCTCCCATCTCCGCCACGCCCGACCTGCGCCGGAGAAGAGCCTATGATGACGAGGACGACGAGGCGGAGGATGAGGACGAGGATGAGTCTACGATCCGCAGGTCGCGTCGCGCGAAACACCACGCACCTGCCGAGAAGGAGGTCATTGCCGGCGTCCCGAATGAGCTGCTGCTTCCCGGTGCCATTGTGACGTTGGCGGTTGTCATTGTCGGTGTGTTCACGATCTCGCGCCTGACCAGTAGGTAAGGGATGTGCTATAGAGGGAGACAGACACAGAGACAAGAAAGAGGAGGATCTCAATCACGACTTTACGAGAGTCCTTGGCGAAGCATTGTAAATATGTATCGAGTATTGTTGTCTTTACTAGACTTGAGTACCCCGACGTTAAATTAATACACCGCACATCCGTTCTATGCAACTTACTGAGAATGTGAACTTTTGACATCAGTGATCATGCCGCTTGTGCTTGTATTCGTAGACACGAAGTGTCGTGACGGGAGTGTGTCGCTGCCATTGACGTGATTACCTAAGGTGTGGAGCACACCGGCAGGGGCGTTGCGGAGACTTCCGTCCAGCTTCCCCGAAAGCTCCAAAAATTGTTCCTAGGAAACTGCAGCAGCGTAACGACTCCTAAGCACCAACGCCGCCCGCCAAAACGCCATGATTGTCAGAAGCATAGTCAGCCGGCATGGTACGTGATATCCTCTCAACATCTTGAATCCAATTGATGATGTTTGTTGCTAACTCCCGTCTTCCCTTGTACAGGCAGCAGAGCCTTGCTGGCGCCAGCAGTCGCCCGATCATGCCACCGCGCCGGCATCACAACCGACGCCCTCGTCGGCGCCATGACGCCCGAGACCTTTGCAGACTTGACCACCTCTGCCGCCCTCGGCCAGATCCCAGGCCGAACCGCCGCCCCTTCGCTCCAGCACGATCCGGATGCCGTCGCCGCGCGCACCGAGGCGATTGAAGCGCGCTCCAAGACGGTGCCCAACGCCTACAACCGCTTCCGCCGCCAGCAGAACCTTCACGCCCGCGTCGGCGCCTCCGTGGGGCGGCCGTACGTCCCCTCTGCGCTGATTGAGAACCCGCCGAGTCCCAAGGACATCAGCCTCGAGCTCCTGATGGCGAGTCAGACGCACATGGGGCACCATACCTCGCGCTGGAACCCGGCGAATGCGAGGTACATTTATGGTGTGCGTCAGGGGATTCACATCATTTCGCTCGAGACGACGGCGGCGTACCTCCGTCGCGCGGCGCGCGTCGTCGAGGAGGTGGCGTACCGCGGCGGGTTGATCTTGTTTGCGGGCACGAGGAAGGGACAGATGGATATCGTGACGAGCGCGGCGAAGCTGGCGGGCGGGTGTCATTTGTTTACCAAGTGGACGCCCGGCAACATTACGAACCGCGATGTGATTAACCAGGGGAAAGAGGTGCGGATCGTGGATGAGAAGGATTTGACGCTGCAGGGGTTTGAGAGGTTGCAGAGGACGGGGAGGCCGTTGGTGCCCGACTTGATTGTGTGTTTGAATCCGAGGGAGAATTATACCATGCTGTACGAGTGTGGGTTGGCGAATGTCCCGACGATTGGGATCATTGATACGGATGCGAATCCGGATTGGGTTACGTATGCTGTTCCTGCCAATGATGACAGGTTAGTATTTCTCCTTCCCCTCCTCCTTCTCTTACGCCAAGGCTTTACACTCGAATCCCCCCCCTCAAAATTACGTTTGTTGTAACCCCGCGGACTAACGAATGTCATTTACAACAGCTACCGATCCGTCGCCGTCATCGCAGGCGTCCTCGGACGCGCGGGCGAAGCGGGCCAGAAGCGCCGTCTCGCGGCCGCGGAGAATGGCGAGTCGGAGTGGACTACCCCCTTGGAGACGCAGCGCTTCATGAAGGCCCAGGAGAAGGCGTGGAAGACGGAGTTGAAGAAGTGGGAGATGACGAGCACGTTTTCGGCACACAATAAGGGTGAGAGCGAGGAGGCGAGGCTGCTTGAGATGTTGCAGGTTGATCGGACCAAGGCTGTTGACGGTGAGCTTTGAGGCTGTCGGTAGACCGTGGCTACTACCCTTGCAGCAGGTCAGAGTACGAGGCGTGGGGAGAGATGAAGGAAAAGAACTCGAAAATCAGGCGGATGAGGAGATGTGTTTCTGCCCTGTTGTACTAGACACCTAAACAATGTATGAACATGTACCAGTATTTTTTATAGGAATTCGCCCCCTGCTGCTGTTGATGGGCGTTTGTGACTGATGCTGGGGGAGATTTCTCTTGTGTATGTGTGTGTTTGGGAGTGATGAGTTCTTGGAGGTGTATGGTTTTGGCTCATCTCATATCTGTGGTATGATTGCCTACTACTTGATTATTCTGGAAAGGAGCTTGAATTTGGATAGGCCTGGTGTGAAGACTGTAACTGAATTCAGTTCCTTTCAGATCGGTAGTGAGTGTTCTCGGCTTCAATAATTTGTCTTGCTTGGACTTGAATGAGTAAAGCTGGGCCTGAATTTGCGGATGATGGGTTCTCTCGTTCTAACACATCTCTAATTGGGGGCTTTGGAGTTGGGAGTGGTAGCTATCAAATCTTCGAGATCCTTTCGAGATTACGGCGTCTTGGGCGCAGAAGACTACCTAGTTCCTACTAGGTATATCTCAAATTTCATAGGGTCAAGGATGACATGAATCTCCCATCAGCTGCCTAGGTATGGAATAGCGGCAAACTAATATCCGTACCTCCCGCTTTCTCTCTCTCTCTCTCTCTCTCTCTCTCTCTCTCTCTCTCTACTTTGTTATTCCAATGTATTCCCAGAGTAAGTCGCAAATTCTTCAGGCAAGAGGCCTTGCTACAGAATATGACTGCTATCCAGCAGTAACGGCACGTCACACCACTTGGAAACTAATCTAGCAATTAGGAGGACTTGGCCATCTACGACATGTGTTACATAGACGACGGTATCACATTGCTGTCAGCCATTGTTGTTGGGGTAGCCATTACAACTGTGAAATAATACAAGCGAGAAGGCGAGAATAACAGTTATCATAAAGGGGATGCAGTTGGGTTAGGGCTCAAATCCGATTAGAGGTGAACCCTGGACTCTTCTTACTTCGGCATTGACCTTACGTGTTACGTATAGATGAGTACCTACTTTATGAAGGCTTCACATAAGACGAACATCTGTTTTAACCTACTCCCCGCATACGGATGGAACTAGCTCATGTCAATGTGACACTTGGAATTTGGCCTCAGTGTTCAGGGGCACTTGACGGCTGACCGGCCCTTCTGGGGCCCTTCTGGGGGCTTCTGGGGGATCTTCAGGTGCCTAGATCATAAGAACTCAACAGGAGGTGATTGGGAAGCAATGTACAAAGTAAATAAAATTTTCTTGAATGATATCGAAAGTTGGTATCTCAAAACGCTAAGAAATGTGGTATCAAGTCTAAAATGTTTTCCCCCCTTAGCAACCAAGCTGTTGTAATGGTTGAAAATCGTCGAAGAAAGAGGAAAGTATAAAAGTCATAATCATACGCTGTCGGCCAAAAAATAACGGGCCAGGTAAAAGAAGTCTTCCTCTGCCACAAATGGTTTCCCCCTTCCTGGTTGTTGCGTTTTCTCCACCTTTAACCCCAGATGGGCTCATCGCGGGGAATCTCAGGCATGGCCCGCGGTACAGGCAGAGGCTTGGGGACGTCGACGTCCCTCTTCTCGGCGGGCTTCTTGCCGCACACGTTGGCGTTGTTGCGCGCTGGGTCGGTGTTGCAGATGAGGCTGCCGCAGCAGGGCTTGTCTACTTCTGTGGTGCTGGTGAAGCAGAGACCTGGAATGAAGAAGATATACAGTCAGTCAAATGAGATCGTAGATGAGCGATCATGTGAAGCGGAGGAAGAATGACTAACCTCCTTCTGCGATGCATTGTCTCTTGATGAGGCCGAAGTCGACGCTGATGGCGGAGGCGGCGCCGACGACGGTGATGAGGGTGAGGAGTGAGAACTTCATGTTGATTGAGTTGTGATTTTGTGACCTTTTGTGTCGTGTGTTGGTTGTGTGTGGAGAGAGAATCGTATATAAGGTATCGTGTATTGCTTGCGTATACTCCGTATAGAGAGAGTGTTTGTGTGTGTATAGGTGCAACTTTGTGTATATGCGACGTGTCGTATTTTGGTGAGAGCGAATGTTATTGATAAAAGAGAGGCTAGCTGTGTGCTGTCATAGAGATAGATAGAGAACAAGCTGATAGGTTTAATGACACTATCGAAAGAATAGGAGGCGCCACGGGAAATTTCGTGGATGTCAATAGCGCTATATAACCTTAGTCCAACCTTCTCTGATTGATTACCACCCATCAATTAACCACCCCTCCCCCCTCCCCCTACCTGCCGGGCTCCGGGCCAACACCCTTCCTTGACTCGAATTAAAGAAGAGAAGTCGCAATCGGGAGCGCGGGAAACAACGACCTGTGCTGGCCTCGACCGATCGAGGCTGTGTAGTGATGGTACCCGCCAATCTGCATCAAATTTCGCACCCCCAATCTTGAACCAAAGTTTGACCCCCTTCCAGATCTCTGGGCGGCCTGGGCTTTTCCTGAGCCTTCTGTGTGGTGTGTGTGCGCGTGAGTGTCCGTCAGATGAGCAGAGCGCAACGACCAGACGACCAGACGTACGCGTACGCTTGCTCGTTTGGCACGGCGTCGCAAGTTTCGGCAGGATGAAAGTCACAGGGTTACGCCCGTCTCACGTACCGGTTCCCGAGTTCGTCGCAATGTGTCTGGTGTCTATCCCGCCCTTCTTCTTCTCCCACTCCTTGCTTCACCCCGCGGACGCGGAGTTTTGGAGGGGGGTGGGAGGACCGTCTACACGGTAGGCCGGTATGCCGGTACTTTACACTACCTTGGGCACACCAGGCAAAAAGGCAACGCCATTCACCGAGAAAAGGAAAGAGGGGAGGTACAGGCCGGAACAGAGTTCATGGCCATCCCGGGCTGCTTGGGGGACAGGTTGTAACTTGCGCGAGCAGAACACACGCAGTTTCAGGACTGAGTCCGATGTCGTGGGCCGGCCAATCGGGTGGCCGCGGGGTTCACGTTTTCGAAAAAGAAGGTTACTAAATATATATATGAAGTCTGGTGCCGTCTGGAGTTGGTGAAGTTGGGATGATGAGGTGGCCTCCTCCTGGCAAGACTAACATCCGTTCACCGAAACTGCGGTAAAAAAGAACAACTCAATAGAGTGCGAAGACGAAGGCACGGTTCTGGCAAGCAACGGCAAGGCTGGCAAAGGGCATGCTCAACGGGGATTATGCTCGCCAGCCCTGCCGAACAGGCCGGCATACATGCACCGCGGGGGGAATGCTGCACACCCAATCACGTCGTGTGCAGTACGTCTTTGCTTTTTGAATGATTGAAAGTCTGTGAATTGTAATTGAGAGAGAGGTCCACTCTGATCTCCGCGCCCACGAGGCCAGATAGATGGATGATCACGCATGGCGAGCGGGCATGAGGGAAAAAGCACGAACCACGACGGGATGGTCCATAAAATCGTGAGCATTATCGGTCCTGCCGACCAGATACCGGAGGACACACAACCCGTCGCCCGCTGAGGGAGGCTATAATCGTCTCGTCAGTCGCATTCCAATCCATCCGTCTCTCTTCTTGGAGACCCGCTGACTTTTTGAGGGATCCGAACGCCGTGGAACTTCAACACCCTCTTAGCTCATTACCTTTCTGTCAACCCAACATCAATCCAAACGCCCCAAGAATCTTGGGTAGCACGCAAGAAGAAGAAGAAGAAGAAGAAGAAGAAGAAACCGAGTCCAAGCAGAAAAGGCAATACGAACAGGTTTCAAAAACGCAAAGCAGTGTGTTCTTTTTTTTTTTTAAAGTTTCAATCCTTACGTATACTAGAAAATCCGAAAATTACGTCAAGTCTTGGCAACCCCCTGTCTTCTCGCGTTTCCAGGATGATGTGGCCTTCCGTCAGAAAGATGAGACGGGAAACTTTGGAAGCATGTTCGCCCCGGCCGTTGTTCGCCGGCGCGCATTGTTGCACAGAACACACGCCGCCCCCACGAATCGTGGAAGCCTTCGTGCTTGAACGAGAGCTTGACTCAAGGGAAGCAAAAGGCTTACTGTAATCACGCACAGTTCATAGTGCTAGCGGAACCAAACTTCAAAGACCTCATTTTTTTTTCCGCGAAGGGGGAAAAAAAAACTCAAAAAAAAAACTCTGGCCTTGGTCAAATTTATGGCCGCGTCATTTTAACCGCTTTCATTTAAGCCAAGGCATCTCTTAGATTTGGCCGAGAAAGCCTTTTGAGATTGGGCACGGCTTTAGTGCGCCCCGCCTATCCCGGACGGAACGCAGCGCCCCGATTGACGGGCCCGAAGTATGCCCCCACTCTATCTGCCATCCGTCCCGGCACTCGGCTCCGTGCCCCCAATTTGGGATGGCATAAGCAAGATCGGAGAAGGACAGTAAACGATGGAGGTACTGAGAACTCACCTATGAGAGTAGTGTTCTCCCCCAGCTCTATCAACCTTGATGACAGACTTGCGCGGAATCTAGCTTTCGAGGGGCAAAAGAATAGGTATCAAATAAACGCAACCTAGCAGCAAGGTACTAAGCCGGGTTATGCTTCTAATGAACTCATTTATATGAGCAAAGTCTGGATTGCGGACATGCTTACTTGCCATGTAAGGAATTTATGAAAAGTCTATCGAGTAGATGAAATGAAGAAAAGAACAAATCCGCCGCCGCCGCCCTACTCCATGGTATTCAAGACGCCAAACAGACCCCCCGTCGCCGCCAGGTCGCACTACTCTCGCCCGTGGAGTATCACCCATTGATAAACTCTATCGAATAAACATCCTTCTCCCTCCCGTCCTTCTCTCCCATAACCGCATCCACCCCCACCCCCTCGCCAACATCATCATCATCCCCCTGCTCGATCAACATATCCAGGTCCCGATCCACAGCAGCCGCCTCCTCCGCCGACACTCCCAGATCCCCTATTTCCCCTACCTCCTCCTCCGCTTCCGTCGCGTTAAGTAGCGCCTGGAAGTCGGTATGATGAGGGTGGTACGGGTTATAAGGGTTCTCATGGTGATGGTGATGATGGAGATCATGATGTGACGTCGGCCCTGGCGGCTGTAGCCCGCCAATAATCTGGGGATCAATCGGCTGGAAGGACTCGTCTTGTAGCATAGGGTTGTGGTGCGGGTGGCCACGCGGCAAGGGGGATGCTGAGGGGTCGCGGAGGGTGTGGGAGGGCGGTAGGGAGGTGACTTCCGCGTAAGGAGATGATCTTGGAGGTGAAAGGGGCGGAAGGTGGTGGTGATGTGGGTGTTGGAGCGAAAGGACGTGGTCTGTGGCGCCGAGGACAGTTGAGGGAGGTCCTGATGATAAGCCCGGCGGCGGCGGCGGCGGTGATGTAGAATGAGTGTGATGAAATGAAGTATTCGTGAGGGGATTCACAACCGGTGCAGGCGGCGGCGCGACAGAAGCAGTAGCAGCAGCAGCAGCCAACGCCGCCGCCGACCTCCCCTTGGCACCGCTCCCGTTCCCAGCCCCCGGCGCAGGCGTCTTGCCGAGCTCCTTACACTCAGCGCAATTCCGAATCACGTCGCTCGCCGTCTCCTTGATGCGGCTCCAGTGGTACTTCTCCGCAATCGTCGCCGTCGTCTTGTTGATCCCGCCGTGGCCGGCGGCATGCACCTCGCGCGCAATCTCGTACTGCCTCCTCGGGTCCGGCACGACCTCCTTGTCCTTGAGCATCAGCCTCTCGCTTCCGCCGCCGGCCTCCCCCTCGCCAACCAGCTTATAGTGCGTCGCCGCGCTCCGGAGCCTGCTTTTCTCGGCGCGGTCAGCACCCGCCGGATACCGTCCGTATTTCAAATAAAACTTGATCTTGTCGAAACGCTCTTCACTCACGAGGTCCTCCGACTCTGCGCCGTTGCTGCCGGGGACGGGAAGGTCCCGCCCGTAGATGATGGCGTCGATGAGCGTGCCCGGGTACGAGGCGAGGTTGCCGCATCCCTTTACGCGGCCGATGCGCTTGAAGCCGAGGGCGTCCCAAATCTTGCACGAGGCGACGTTGGTCTCGTAAACGAGGTTGAAGACGGAGTAGGTGTAGCCCAGCTTGGGCGCCCAGTCGATGTAGCACTCGCCCATGAGGCGGCCTACGCCGCGGTTGCGCGAGGCGTCGGTGACGAGGAAGCCTGCGTTGCATACGTGGCTGCTGCGGCCGGGATAGTTTGGCTTGATGTAGAAGCTGCCGAGACACTCGCGGGACCAGTCCATGTCGTCGTTGAGCTCCGCGTGCGGCTGCTCAATGTTGCCCAATAACATGACGGCGCCGAAATTCTGGAACCAGTAGGCGCCGAATTGTTCGGCCGTCATGGTCTCCATCATCGGGTAGGTGTCGCCGCCCTCAATCTCCTTGTTGAGCTGGTCACTGAGATAGCGCACCAGAGATGGGGGAACTTCATGACGCGAGGCAAAGGGGATGATTGTGGCGACGGTCTGGCGATCGCGGAGCGTCACTTGACGTGGGGTGATGTCGGCCGGCAGGGAGGGGTTCATCGGGTCCGGGTACGGCGTTACCCCGGACACCCGGTAGATGGTGGGGCTCGCCGGATCATCTAGCATGGCCGGCATTTTCGGGGTGTGAAGGTACTGACTCGGCGGGGGGCGGATCGGCACCGCAGGGGCCTTCCTTCAATACAAAGCTCCGCCTGACGAGGGGTAGGTAGACTGTAGTAGGTAGCTCCTGTTGGCCGTTTGCGCCGGACTGAGTTCGCGATACTGACTTTTGTAACACAAAAAGTCAACAGTTAGTTAACATTTCACACGTGTATAGCAGGAGGGAGAGCAGCGGTCAATAAAGAAAATACGCGCATATACCAAAAAACCTCATGCCTGCACAGGACAAGCTCCCGTCTTTCTCCCCTCGAGGCCCCTCGCCTTCCTCCATGATATCTGATATCTTACACGGAGCCAAAGGCGGGGAAATTTGGAAGAATAGAAAAAATGCAGGTTGGATTTGTAAGGAAAGGCTGCAAGTAAGCCTACCGAAAATCTGATCTGACTCTGCTCAATGCCGACTTACTTCCCCAAAATTGAGACGGAGAGAGCGAGAGAGAGAGAGAGAGAGGGGGGAAGAGAGAGAAAGCAAGACACCCCCTCGGCCAAACTGCCGATTTGCGCGCAAAATGCAGGCCCAGCAAAAAAAAAAAAGCAGAGACCGCGTGGTGGTACGGATACACTGGTGGCTTTCGCTGCACTTGGTAACGATCGGTCAAGGTAAGGGAAAACCGCCTTGCCGTTTTTCAGCTTTTGCGATGACACCACAGCTGCTAGCATGCACGAATGCCTGACCTTGGCGGGGTGTGTGGAAATCGGAGCTGCTGCTGTGCTGTGCTGTTGCTTGTACGTGCTGAAATGTTCGTTGATGATGTGTTTCTGGACCTGAGGCCTGAGGGGTGGAGGGGTTAAAGGAGGGAGGGGAAATGCGCAGGTTGCGAAGTTTTCAAACCCGGACTTGGGACTTGGGGGAGATGATCGAGTTATGTAATGGATCCTGTGCCACAGCAGTCGGCGCCACATTGTGGCTAAATCATATGTGGTTTGTCAAAACACATGAAGATGTCTCTACCATCATGACCTTGATATTCATCCTCATCAGGAGATAAACAACTCACAGGTAACCCAAAAGAACTCCATTAATCTCTTTACAAGATTCCCAAAGCTACTGTATCGATTCGATGGTATATTACATGAACATGCCTTAGGTAGGACCGAGATGTTTCCTTCACATTGGGGATTTGCCCGAACTGTGATACGAGTCTCGCAATCCAGTTTCTCATCAGGATCTACCATATCAATCTTTTTTTTCTTGATCGACGTCTGTCACTTATCAAACGAGGATCAAAAATGTAGTCAATATTGATTACGGTCGCTCAGCGTAGCAAAGCGTGGACTTGTTAATCTAGTATAACAATGATCCAACTTACAAGGATTTGGAATTCTTTCTTAACGCTCTCGAGTTTTGACGACGCCTTCTCCGTGCAGCAGATTTGTAGTAACGTGACAGCGTGGGCTTCCAGCACTGTTGTATCTAAGTGTCATGGGCTGTGTAGCCTTGGTGTTTTCAAAGCCGCTATGATACAATAATTGAACAGACATAAACCCTCAAGTTCTCTATCTTGCCTACAGTCTATGGAATATACAGAATTTAAGTCTCGGGCGCTATCAAGAGCCACACACATCAAAGCTGTTGGACTTCATGCGCATATGCCACTCCGTCATTGACACCATCAGCGCTGGATCAACATTCCTATTCGCCTTGATAAAGACAGTCTCATAGGGATGGATGTTGCTCCCGAAATACTTCTTGTCCCACAAAAGGTCACCGGAATCTGGATGCTCTTTGCAGTACTCTTCTACTCCCTCTTCGGAATGTAGAGCAGTCATCATGGCGTCGACTTTGTAGCCGGCGTTCATGATCAGGCCTGTCGTTCCGACTTCGGCATGAACGGCGGCGTTCCAGTCCGCGTAACACCCGCTGAGACCGACGGGGGCGTCTTTGCTTCCGAATCGGTCGTCTTCAGACGCGGTTGTTGCGACTGTGGGGTCCAGAAGGATGCTCATACCGACGTCGTCGGTGGCAAAGATCATGGACTGAACGTGCAGTCTGGGTATGCAGTTGAGTGTCATTCCGACCAGCTGTGGGAAGAAATCGTCTTAGAACCGATGTCACTTCAATATCAAAACACAAGAGACTTACTTTGGTTGTCTCCGTCACCTTGCTCAGGTACAAATCCGACCAGCAAGACGAGCTCCACGCCGGTAAGAATGGCCCTCGAATGCTGGCGTTCATCGTGATGAACCTCTTATACTTTTTCCATAGGTCGTCCTTCTTCAAGACTTCGCCAATCGCACCCATGTCGAAGCAGGTGTTATCCCGCTTGACGATGCTGATATTTGGCAGATCGGGGATGGTGCTAGACGCGTTCGCATCTCCGTTGAATATAAATACAAAGTCTGCGCCATTGTGGATGCCCTTATTGACAAAGTAGTCCAGGTTTGCCCGCGCGCTCTCGGAGTCATGATAAGCATACACGATGAGCGGTCGGTCTTTTGAAGGCGCGCTTTGTTGGTCTGAAGTTGCGGGTTTAGGCGAGGAGCCATGCGCGATGGATTCAGGGATCGCGGGCTTTATGAGGGGACACCCCTGGTTAGCCGCCGGACCCAACAAACCTCGATTGCTACGGTGCAGGACCAGAATCGCTCTCGAGAAAAGGGAAAAGAACACACCAGTTGGAACGGCAGGATCCACCAGGCCGATATCAGGAAGACGGCCGTAAGAAGGCCAATCTTTAGAGGTGTGCAGTGCACCCCGAGAGACGGCATTTTCGGAAGCGCTCGTCGTGAAGGGAAGGCTTAAGGTGTATATCGTCTAGAGAGGAAGAAGAGAACGCTTGGCCGGGCTCTATGGAGATTTGGGCTCAAGATAACGTGGGAGCGGCGCGGCAGGGAAGTCTAGACTGACGTGGAAGTGGACGACATGATTGCGAGTTGAGCCCCTGAGTGGTCAGACAACCCCTGCCATGTGGACAAGACCAATTATAGGACCCGCAAACGGAGTGTGGGAGCGACCGGCGCAAGCGCTCACGGATGCTGACGAGCTAAAAAGAGTTGGTTGGGGTGAGCGGAGAATGAGATCTTGTGTGAAGCGAGTTTATAGATTTATACTAATTCAACAAGGTATGGAAGTTGAGGTCAACACCATGAAAGGGTCAACACGATTATTGCGACTTGTCTGAAGATACCGCAATGCTGAGGCTGTGAGATTAATCACGCAGATCGTTTCACACCCATGAAAGCATCAAGCATTCTTTCAGGCAGCAGGTCAGCAAGTCAAATTCAAGGGCGATTGCGTTGGTTGAGTCTGCCGATGTTGGCTTGGCTGTTGGCGCCTTGCATTTCGAACTGCATCGAACCCCTGGATAGAGGCACCGAATCTGGCAGATATGTGGAGATCACTGCGCATCTTTGGCTCAGCCTGATATTCTGGCCCGCAGCTGAACGAATCACGCATGGCAACATTTCGGTGTTGGTGCAAGTTGAAGTTGCTGTGCCATGATTTTGAGACGCTTCCGTCAAACCCCGGTGGGTTTGACAATCAGTGCTTTTGTTCGTTAAAGAGTCTATGCTACTAGTTCGCTGCGCCATCGCGGTTTCTTTTCTTTCTGTCTCTGCTTTCCGTTGCTTCCCAAATGTCAAGGCTGAGCCGAATCGATTTCGGAATAGTTCGCGATGTCTCAAGCCGGTGTAAGTGTCTACCAACAGCCGGGGAACAACACTTCAGCCTTGGGGTTACACAAACATTGAGATGAACAACTAACTAACCTGATTTGACGACCTAGGACCATGGCACCCAACCGCATCATCAAACCCACGAGCAACCAGGCCTAGAAGTTGTACCAGACGGACAACGCAATTACACACGCGCGGAAGACTGGTCCGGACTCCAGGTCGACAGCCGCCCTTACTATGTCGATGGTGGCAAAGAAGCGTTAAATAATCACAATGACAGCGAGAAAATACCCGTAACTTCGGAGCAAGACGGAGTCGAAGAGCTTGAATCTAAACAACCAAGGCGAAGAGGACGGCTATGGCTCATGATTGGAGGAATTGTACTCCTCCTGGTGACTGCAGCAGCCATCATCGGCGGAATGATGGGAGCCAAGGCGGCGAATGCATCAAAAGTCGACAATTCGTTGCCCACGAGCGAGGCTAGCCCTACCAGCACACCGACTCCCACAACGACAACAAAATTACAATCAATACGTCAGGGGTCGCCACTCGCCGTCACTGGATGGGGCCAGTCTGGAGGTGTGGAGGTGTTTCTCTTTTACCAAGATCACGATTATCAAGTACACCGGTCCACGTATGACACCACGAAGACGAGCGGAAACTCGTCATGGCAGACGCCCGATAAATTCAACTCTTTTGCAGATGCGAGTACTCGCTTAGGGGCGAGTATAATTCAATACGATAGTTCATACCAGGTAGGCAACTTCCAATCACTATTCGAAGCCGGGCGTGAATGAGGACTAACAGAGCGGTCTTCGAAGCCGCAAACTGAAGTCTTCTACACAAACGATGAAGGCCGTGTGCTTGGCGTGAGCATAAACGATGCACTGAGCCCAAATTCCGAAGAAGACAGTATTAAGAGCATGGTTTTGAGCTCCCGTGTCAACGGTAGCGTCGCAGCTTATTGGCCCTGGGTTTTGTACCAGGAAAGTACTGGTGGAATTGTTGAGGTGCGAAACCGCCTTCGCTCTGAATTCGCACCAGCAGCCGAGTGGGACAAGAAGAGACTCAACGCTACTGCGGATAGTGATAGCCGGCTAGCATTGGTTCCGTTGTCGGCCAATTTCAGCAAGATTGCCGTTCAAGGAGGTTATGGAATATTTTACCAGACTAGTGGCGGCTTGGTTGCGTTGATACCGGATCTTGGATCAGATCTGCTCGCTGCAGATTATGCAGACAGTTGGCCTACAGGTATGCTTCAAAATTTCATCGTATCCAAAGTCTATCAACACAGCTGATCCGTCAAAGGCTTCCCGACTGTCACGAATATGCCAGGAGGCGCGCCCTTTGCTGCATTCTCAGTTCCCAGATCCTCGGATACTCTGCAGAGAGTCTTCACTTACGTCCTTTACCTCGACAACGATGCAAACATCAACGTCATTTATAACGATGCTTCCTCCTGGGTTATTGTCCAACCAGCCGCCCTGAAGGACGTCGACAAGGACACAGACATTACCTGTCTCATCATGGCCACTACGTACCGCGACTCTTTCCAGCAAACAGTGGTACTTGGAGAAGAAGCTTTCGACCCAAGGTGCTACTTTCAACGTGGAGGCTTAGTGAGAGAAGTGATTTTGGGCAGTAATAATAAGTGGGCGGATAATGGCTATGTGCCCATATCCTAGTGATGTTCGACTAGACATGTTTCACGCGTTACACAGAGAGCAGTTACTAGCAATGCCTAATGATTGTACTCTAGAAATAGAACTCTTGCTGCGGTCACGGGTCCAGTCCACAAGCAGTAATTTAATGCAAGTTAGAGTCAAACTTTAAGTGCCTTCGACTAGAGTAACAAGAAAAAAAAAATCATGCTTTTGTGATGATTATGTTAAAGCCTCCTACTGTACAACGAGGTATACACTGAACACAAATATTACATGGCAATCTGAAAGCAGCATGTACCGCAAATCAAAGTTTTTGGAAAGCCCGACATGTCCAAAAAAGCATTTTCAAATATCTTTGTCAAGTCGTAAGAATAGCTCAGAAAACTAGTAGAGATTTATTCTTTGTATTTCACTGAGCCAGAGGTTCACCTTTAGAGCAATTGCCCAAGTGCCCGCAACGCATTCTTTCATTATTGCCAAAAAAAATCAGGAGAACAACTATGTTCAGAGCAGGCTACAAGTTGACTTCCGCTGGAAAAAGTTGTATGATTTGTTGGATTATCGACGCCTCTGTATACCTATATAAAGAACACTATTAGCAAACGAAAATACGTAACGCGACAAAACTGTTATGTCGCATTCGGGCATTCGATGGCTTTGATTTCACTGGTCAACTCTAGAGCTCCTCTGGTCTAGGCTTCAAAGCCTTTTGACCAATGCCAGAAGGGCAAGGTTTCAATTTTTCAAGCATGACTTCGCCGCCTTACGCTGTAAGTCTCAACGGGTGTAGACGTCCACAGATCACTCGTGTAAGATAGGTGATGTACTTACCTACATGCGGTGCCGCCGATGATGACTGTTGTTGAAGCTCTACGGACACAAGAACGGACTATCTCGACCTCAAGTCACGTGCTTGCCTCACTTCTACAACTCAGTATCCACGAAGCACGATAAATCGACCAGGCTAGAATCCGACCGTTGACATTGCTCCATAGCGTCGATGTTGGAACCGCCTGTCATCCATGAGCACCTTGCTCCATTTGCGGCACTTTTTTCACCCAACTTCGCCGGGCCGTTAGGATATAAGGCAAGGCGCGCCACGCAACGCAGGGGAAAGAAAAAAACTCAAAAAGAGCCCGGCGTTCTTTAAGTCCCATCGGACGAACTCTTCGCAGCTGAAAAAGAGCACACTAGCGCTTGGCATCCACCGAGCTTAACGGACTCTTGGGGCCAGGTACCATTTTGCCCACACTACCCTGGCTCAGCGCTTCAGGACTCAGGAGGTCGGTCCGGGAAACGCGCGGCCACGGTCCCTCCTCTCCCCATCTTCGACTCGTCACTCGGCGGGAAAAGCCTTGGGGGGGCTTCTTCCTCTTTGGGACATTGGGTCGGGTTCGAGAATACCCACGTACCACTTCCGGAAGTGCAATCACGATTCGGGACGTCCCTGCTGAGGCTGTGTTACGTGTATTTCTGCGATGCATGTGGAAAATTTTCCATTGGCGGCAACAGGGACGAAGTAAGGTTACGAAGGGAAAGGGGATCAATCATTCGATAAGGCATGGTAAGGAGCATAAGGCAAATTGGGCTCAGAGAGAGCATGTGCGGCGCAAATCACACGCCCAACGCAAAAGTTACTTAATAAAAGTCACACATGGCACAACTGACAGCTGTACTACGTAGTTGACCTCCCCGCTGGGACCGGATAGGACATCTTCAGCTCGTGGCGAAAAAACTCAGAAAAAGGAAGATCAGAGATGATCAGGGCCAGTTCGAGGCCCTAGGTTCCTCTCCTGGCTCTCAGTGGATGACGCAAGAAGCATGCGTGCCTGAGATTTTGGCGGGAGACGGGGCCTAGAACCTTTTTCGGCCTCAAAGGCTGAGCGAACGTGAGAGACGCGTTCCCGGTTCGCTGTGGGGGGAATGGATTGTAGACATCAACACAAGTCCCCGTCCCCGTCTTGTACCGCGGCAGCATCTCGATGATTCGAAGTAGACATCTGCACACGCAAGAGCGGATGCGAATATGACTTCTGTAACGGCCGATGGGAGACTATCGAAGAAACCAATGCAGGCGTTCCGTCAGAGGTTCGTTCGAGTGTTCTTTGTTCCAATGTTGACGTTCGGCACATGTAAAAGGGGGGTGCGGACGCGGACGGGCGGGCCATCGGCGACCGGATCTAGAACTGGCACTTTGCTCCACAATTCAGCAGCGAAGTTCTCGATCGTGTCGCAGCCGGCAACAGTTCAGCTCAAGTACGGATAACAGATGTGCTGGTGGTCTGTACGGAGTAGGTCCTGAGTCTGTTGTGCACGGCGGACGTAAGCCGGTCTTCCGGCTCGTGGGCTTTAGCTGCCGGCGGCAGGGGGAGTTTGTAGACTTCGTGGAGACTTGACTCATATTAGTATAGTGCCTCGGGGAGGGGGGCACCATGATTCTGAACGGTTTCCATGTGCCTTGCCGTGGTTCGACTTTCCTATGCTAGATCGAACGTTTTGTGTTGCCAAAGGCTGTGGCATCTGTTCCCGGGCCTCTCTCATATCCGACTTTCCTCTGGGAATATGGGAATGGAAGGCGACCGAAATCAGATAGATGCATGGCGGCAAAGGTCTGCTAACCTCGCCCGTTGCCGCCATGGTTCTAAAAGTGAAGAAGGACTCAAGCCCGACATGCTTCGATGCTCTATTTTCGTAAAGGAAGCGTCATGAATCAATCCTGTTTATGGGACTTTTGCTCGTGATAATATGGAATTTCACCAAGCTGAGGGTGAAAAGCCATGTCTTGCCTAGGCAAGCCTATCAAGTGGTGGCGCTCATTTCCTGGAAGACGTGTGTGAGTTCCAAGATTCTTCCCCGAACACTGGGCTGTTGGGTTTGAAACATGTAAACATGGTGGAAAGACCGTGTCGGAGCTCTGTTAATTAAACATGTGAGACCCAGTTTCACATCATGGACGCGGGATGTTCACAAAGTGGGAGGGGAAATGTCTGGGAAGTTGGTGTGTTTAAGTCGTCCCATGCCCAGGGCCCCAACGCTGCTCAAATTCGAGATTGCTGATGTAAGACGACGGCACGACGGTAGGATGTTCAGGATTTCAGATGAAAAAAAAAGGACACCGTTCAATCTGCGTGCATTTCGAGGAGGACAGGCCTGAGGCTTTTTTGGGGCGTTGGATGAGGCACTTGGCTAGTGATAGTTAGGGCGAGGGAATTGGCGGGATCTGCAGCAAGGCCAGCGGATAATTAATACCTACCTAGATGAAGCCTAAGCCAAATCTTTCATTTCACAACGGAGGATGAAGCGATGTTGAAGGGACGAAGCCATCACTGCCGTGGCCCGTTTTAATGCTGGATGTGGCGGCATAAGGCATCTCGTTGAATAGGCGACGCCGGAGAAGAAAAGTGAAGAACTGGGCCTTGCTGCGCTTCGGCTTCCAATTTATCTCGATGAGCTTCCCATCCGAAATGGCCGTGATCGGGATCCCCATCCGGCCGCACGCACTGGAAGGATTGGGGGCGGATTTGACAAGTTCCCACATCGAAACTGGCCGAGCTGGATGGCGGTTTGGACTACTCAGAAGATGGGACGACCGGTGTCATCAATCACTGGCTGGCGTTCGCCCTGCACCTGCTTGGTGATTCTCGAACTAATATGTCTCTCTCTTGGAACTCTAGGCAGCTGGGCACGCTGAGAGGGAATTGGGAAGGTGTCCGCGGACAATGACTCGACCTCTTCTCCAGAGCATCCACAGCGAAGAACGGCACAAAAACTGTGGATAGAATTAAACGCTGCTAGAGGGGAGAGGGGGATTGCCCCTGCACCGACGCGTCTTGGGAGACGGGGGAAAGTCGTCGGCTTGGAATAAACAGCGCAGCCGCGCAACGGAAGAAATCGAGTGGTTGATAGCTAGGTAGTGTAGGCCGTTGGCGTCACAGTCAAGAATGGACTCATGGAGCCCTCGGGCGGCGGTGCTTTTAGCAAGTCCTGGTCAGGTAACCCGCAAAGCAAGGAGTAAACGTAAACCGGCAGCCGGGAACCGACTCGAGATAGGAAGCTCGGGGAGCCGATCAACGGAGTTTAGAGATGTATCTCTGGGATCTCTGGGACCCTGGATTCTTCTTGGTAGTTGGCACGTCGGGCTCTCATCGCCAAAAGGGGGTTCTTGGCAAGAGAGACAAGTCATCAATGAAGAGAGTGGTTTTTGTTCGTATTAATCAAGAGAGATGGGACCCGTTGGAACGCTGCGAAGGTTCTTTGCGGCAGTGCCGGATGATGGCGGCGGTATTGGTTTCCTGAAAGATGCCGCTCGAGTGGATGAGATGTGATGGTATTGCAACTTGCGAACTTTACGAAAATCCAGAGCCTGTTGTCCGTCGCGTCGGATTATCCTGCCGAAGGATTGCTTTTCTGCGTCTGAAGGTTTGAGTTGGGGGAGATTGCGGCCTGTGAAGGTTGAAGAGATGGGCACGCAGGGCGAACTCACGGCACAGGGAGAACCGTTGCTTCTTCAGGGGGCCTGCCTACATGTACTTTGGTTCAAAGGGAGCCTTTTGTCACTTGGAAACGGCCCCCAATCAACTCACGACAGTCGGACACTGAAGCCGCAACTCGCCTGGGCCTTGGTGAGGGAGAACTTGAGAAGAGGAACCATCTGCTGACACATGTTCCGAGGATGGGGTTCCCTCGGCCTCTTTACCTGAAAAGAGGAGAGGCAGGCCGGAAAGGGCCACCCTTTCCCCTCCATCCCCGAGTCCCTTTGCCAGAAATAGTTCACAGAACAGCGAGATTGTCCAACAATGTGAAGCCGCAGTTGGACGCGAGACCGACATGCAGAGCGCCTCATGTTCTGGAAGAATGCAGTATCTTTGAAAATCCCGAATCAAGAGACGCCATGTCAATCCCAGCGGCACATCGCGAAAAATCGAGAATGCTGATTCTGTGCCAAGTCGTGGAGCGGAAGAAAGCACATGGTCAGGCATTCAACATCATCTCCTCTTTCTTCGCTAGCATCTCGGCACCTGCCTGTGCTTCAATAGCGTCTGTTGGTTTGAATTTTGCATATAGAAATAGATCCTAGCTTAACCTAGTTCGGTCGTACATGTCACGCAGCATTTGTGTATTGGAGGGGAAGGGGGGCTTCCATGCTTCTTTCAAAATACACGTACATAAAAATCAAATCATTCTAATCGGTATCAATGAATGATTAGAGACACCTCGCCTGCAGGAAGCCAGCGAGCAGCCCACAGTAACATGACGTGGGTTTTCCTTCTTAATTGATTGTTGAGGCTGTGCTAAGAAGCAACATCAATATCAAGCAAGGAAAAGTAACGCATCCCGGGCCATCCCAAGCAGGAACCTGCATCGGATGCCCGAGTCTGCGGACGACTAAGGACAAGCTTCTCGATTAAGCGTTTCTTCCTCAAGAAATCCACCCCCTCTGTTCCGCAGCAGCCTAGGATATGCGCGTTCAATTGATCACAACCGCTGTCCAGCAGCCAGAAGCTGCCTGCGGCCACTGAAGAGATGAAATTCCCCAGTTGCTGCAGCGGTACGGAGTATTCAGGCGATGCGTATGCCTCGTCGAGGTCAAGGTCCCCTGGAAGATTGGAGAGGCAGAGAGAGGGTCGAACACGTTTCCCTGGTGCGTTGGATGATGAGTCCTCATTTGCTGTCTACATTTTCCCCATCCCATCCACACTGCCCTCGTGGAGAGTGGTGACTGGTCTTTTGATATCTAAAATAGTCATCATCAACTGTTCCTTCTCGTAATGAACGGTACCAGAGGCAGTCTGTTCACGAGCTTCTCTACTTGACTTGAGCGGAAAGACGTGACCGGGACCTCATCCTCAATCTTGCGTCTGATGCAAGCCACCTGCACACTGTCACTGTGAAGTCCTGTCTGACAGACACAAGACAGTTCAGAAGACGAACCGGCATGCTGTAAGCCTCTATGCAAGCCTTCTCCCAAGCCTCTTGGCTCGGCCGCCCGTCCTCGTATTCCATCCACACCTCTGGAGGAGAGGAGGGAGTGAAGCCAAGGGGGTGGTGTTATCGAGACCAATCTCGCCGCTGCCCTTCTCCCGTGCACCGCGAGCGAAGCAGCAGGCCTCGACGCTTCGCTAGCAACGGTATGAGCCGTTCGCCAAAGGCGCTGTACGGATAATAATGCATCGATGCACAACGTTCAGCGAGGCACCCATTGTGTAGGTTGGTATGCACACTACTTTATACGGGGCACTGGCGAGACTGATATCCAACGGTTCGCGGCATCTCGACTAATCTCTCATTCGACCATCACCAGACAGCCGGCCAGACCGGCCGATTTCTCACGCACAAAGCTGCACGTTTCCTCTTCCCCCAGATAATACGCCCAACTCTAGCGACATCCAATCTGCCGCACCCATCGCAGTACCCGTCCAGGTTCTCCATTTCAGTGCCTCCCGTCCCCAGGCGTTCAAGCCACGGTGTCGGACAAGAAAGGTAACTGCAGAACAGACCGTACGGATCCTTCGTACGGATACAGATATCTGACGACAGCGCCCCAAACCAAAGGGTATACAGCCCAAAACCGGCATACTAGCTACTGAAATAGGCGGTAGGCCTCGTCTGGGAGGGCCAGCCACCGTCGGTTTCCTCGTTTCAAGTTTCAACCTGCGACTTTTTGGACCGCCGGTCCCCTCCTCCGACGAGTTCCGTTTCCCCCCCTGTGCCGTTGTTTGGGGCGACGACGGCATGAAGATTTGCTGCCCGTTGAAGATCCTCAAGGACATAGCAGAGGCCAACCACCACAATTGTATAGTGATATTGCTCAGTTGCGCTATGAAGTTGTCGACAGACCCGTCATCGTCATTGTCAGCAGTCAACTGCTGGGCATGTGCTGGCGACTACTGCAGCTCAGAGATCCAAGCCCAAACGTCCGTCCGAACAGTCAGGCGGGAAGGAATAAATCAGAAAAGCAGGGCCGAAAACTCCTCTCTCTCATACGAACGGATACCAACGTTCAGCTGGCCCGCACGCTGCGCCTGGAACAAAAAGACGAGACGAAGAAAAGAAACGCGGCAGTACCTAGAGAGGGAGGGGGAAATGGGTATGGCCGAGCGAAGGTTCATCCTGTCAGGTAATTCGTGGCACCAGCGGCAAAAAAAAAGACGTGCAACGGACGCCGGTGCGCAGGCGTCCCGTCGCACAAATCATGTACGGACGGGTACCTGAGTTTCTGTACGCTCACTGTGGTATTATTGTGTACGGTGCTCTGTACGGAGTACGGCACACACACTCTCTCTTTTATCCCAGTCTCATCCAAATGCATTCTGGGGTGGTTCTGTCTGGGATGGCCATATGCACGCCCATGCGCGTGACACCCTGACAATCAGCGTCAAACACATAGTCCCAGCGACAGTAGACGATGAAAGAAGACACGCGGGAAGAGAGAAAGAGGTTGTTCTTCACTACTATGGGAGCTGCCGCGTTGTGTGGTTGTACGGCAGATAACCGACAACACCAACAACGTTGAGGAGGTTTTTCTTCTCAACCTCGCTTTCGCAACCACTAACCACCTCCTACTCTGACTTCAAACCGAACCGAACGGCACATTCGGCAGATCGTACACGTGCAGAGGGGATTCCACGGTTGGGAGCGGCCGATCGGGATGCGATGTCCATGAGAAGATCGCATCCTCGAACAGCGAACAGCGCTCAGACTTCCAGACCAGAACAGCAGATGTATGTATTCACAACTCAATGCCGCTGTTCATAACTCGACATGGTATCATCAATGATGTAGCGAGTGTGTCAAGTAATTCACCGCCTCCCCCTTTTCCATACACCCCGTGCACAACATCATATTTATGAAGGCCCGCGCCATATTTCGCAGGCGGCATCGCACACCAAGAGCTTGTGGTGGTGTGTCGCATATGTGGAGGATTAAATTGGAAAGTGGATCTGATCACTCGACGGCTTGCGATAGCGTGTACCATGAACAGTCTGTCAAGTTGAGTTCATGTTATGACCAGCAGAGGCCTCCCACCACTCCATCTAACAGACTCTAGTCTCTCTAACCCGTACTCAGTACCGCCGACCCCCGATACAGCCCATGATCTGCACAGTCAACTGCGCCCCTGACGGTAATTCTTGTTCCTGAATTCTTGCCCGGGAAGACCCAAACATGGCTCCCCCCCCTGTCGCACTACTGCGGATGTATCCAATCGACGTCAACGTTGGACACCAGCACGAAGGACTTGTACCCAATCGAATCTGTTTGGATGGAGCCAAAGCCAGGCGCGGCATGAGGCCATTGGACAACGGCCGCGTCAAGTTGTCGCTCAGCTATTCCCAAAACTGCCTGAAGCCGTGGGTTCTCTTCCCCCCGTTTTCCCTTTCTTCCATCCCAGTCTGTTCACAACTTCACCCCCGTCTCTGCTCTCTCTCTGTGTCTCTCTGTGTCTCTGCCCTCTGTGCCGCTGTGAAAGGCACGGACGGACGTGTGGCCAGGGGACCCCTTGGCTGTTACCGAAAACTGCTGCAGGGTATGTCCTAGAGTTGAGGATGGTGTCCCACTGTCCAAAGTTACGCATGTGTGCCCTCTCCAGCTGGAAAGTTGTGCACACACACCAGATGGCAGGACGGGAAGCCATCCCTACCTTTGCCTAGACCTGCCCTAGTTTTCACTATTCACTCCTCGTATGTACACTACACGCTGCTCATGCCTACACTACCACCCTCCCAGAGTCCCAAAGGCTCTGTGGGCACGGGAGCCAGAGCCTGAGAGGACGGAGACAGACACCAGAGAGAGAAAAGAGGAGTTGGTACTTGTGGTATTCTGGGTCTACACCCTCCCGAGCCCCCCGGGATGCCGCAAAGTGGACTCCTAATTTCGCTTTTCCTCCTCATCTCAACCCACTCCGTGCTCGTTTCCCTCTTTTCAACAAAACAAGCCGTTCCCTCCAATTCCACCCGCTGTCACTCGTTCCATTTCCTCCCCTCCCCCCCAAGTCTCTCCCTCTTCCATTGCCTTGCCTTGCCTTGTTACTCATCTTCCCAATCTCGCCAAGGTCTCCTCCTCTTTTTCCCTTGTTCATTTACCCTCTCCTTTCAATGTCATTTACTCGGTGATATCCTCTTTTTTTGGCCAGCAAAAGAGAACAACGTGAAGGAGAAAGAACAAGAGGCTTTGTTAAAGCCCAAATCAACCTGCGAAGAAACTATTAGGAGGCCTGTTTGTGCCCACATTCTTTAGGACTCGCCTTGTTTGCCGCACGACCCGAACACGGTCCTGCTTCGACCGACACGCTCGCTCAACCCTCAACAACATCGTCATCTAAACCTCCGATCGACCGAATCATTATTCTCTCGACGGAAACAACTTATTAATCGAACTGGGTGGAATATCGAGAGGACGCTGCTTGGATTTCGAACATCTGGGAAGACAAATTTGGTGGCCGACTGAACCGCAAGGAGGCTCCAACCCCTGAGACCCGTCGACAACCCTCGAACCCGCAAGACCTGTCATCGTCTTCGAGTCCTGGAATCGATTCGAGACAGCACCTTGATTCAACCTTTTTCTTTTCAACACTTTCGTTATACCCCCCCTCGACAACCATTATGAAGTACTCTGTAGCTGTTCTGGCCGCCGTGGCCTTTGGCTTCAGCTCAGCCCAGACTGCCACCACTACATCAGGATACCAGAAGCCCAGTGAGGCCGCGAGGCCAGGCGCCATCACCAACCATGGATGCTACAACGCGTCATCAACGACATGGGAGAAGTACCCCGTCGAGAACATCAGTACCGGATCATGCACATTGGAATGCCAAACGAAGCAGAAGAAGAATGTCGCTGCTATCAACGGCGAGGACTGCTACTGCGGTGACTCGTACCCGCCAAAGGTCGACGTCGTCGACGACAAAAAGTGCAACTTCCCTTGCCCATTCTACCCGGAAGAAGCTTGTACGTAGCCCTGCGGTCCCATTCCTAACCTCTCCTGATTGTAAATGTGCTAACCCCATGAATAGGCGGTGGTGTCGATGACATGATGTACTACTCCGTCTTCAACACGGGTCTCAAGCTCGTGGTCCCCGACGAAGATGTCGCAACCACCACAACCGCCGCAGCCACCACCAAGGCGGCCGCGACAACAACCGCTGCCAATGGCGTCGTCTCAACCGTCATCGAGACCCCCGTCGCGACAACGTCGGCCGCGGCAACCGAGACGCCCAAGAAGAGCACCAACGTCGCCGGCATCGCCGCGGGCGTCGTCGTCGGTGTCGTCGCCATCGCCGCCATCGTCGGCGCCGCCTTCTTCTTCGTTCGCAGGAAGCGCAACGCCGAGATCGAGGAGGAGCACCGCCGCAACGCCGCCGTCAACGCCTTCATTGGCGGCTCCAAGCCGCCCAGCAGCAGCGGCGTCTCCATGTCCGACTCCCGCATGGATCCTACCCTGGCGCACCGACGCATGAGCGATGGCAGCATTGCCGACAACCAAGATTACTCGCGGAAGATTCTCCGAGTAAGTTTTGAGATGAAAATGCTATCAAATGAGATGAACCCTGAAAAAGCTAATTCCCTTCAAACAGGTTACCAACGCATGAGCACCTCACGTCATGACGACAAACGACCTAAAAGCCTGTCCTTGGGCTTCTTTGAATTACTTCTTTCTACACAATTCTGGCATCAAAGGCGTTTTGTGGTGTCCATTCTCCCGACGCTGGCTCACTCGGGGGCGTCTTCCGAAAAAACGATCAGTGTCGTCGGATCTCATTTGTATTATGGTGTAGGGTAACATATCTTGGGAAATTACGATATGGGTTTTTGCGTTGGATACATCTATCAAATCTCTCTTGTTCTGCACACACCATACACAAAATATTCCGCCCTTTCGGCCACGACCTCCCTCCCTACGCCGTCCACTCCTTTTGCAACTATCTCTACAATTTAGACAACACTTTTGGATATCACAACCAACAACCGAAAGGGGGTTTCGTCTCGAGACACTCCCCCCTCTCCCCCTTGCCCTCAATTCTACAACCCGCCACTACCACCACACCCAATACCTTTTTAAAAACACGTCATTCGGTCCGCCAACCACTTAACCACCTACACTGGGCATCTTTCGATTCTACCGATGGGAAGGGGTTGGCAGTCCGAGATTTTGTTCATCGGCAAAAAAAAACCTCGGCGGCATTTGGGGGAATAAAAAACCATCTCCAACGACATTTGATGGAAAGAGTCGCGACGGAGTATGGTAGCACATCCCCCTCCTTCCCATCTTGTGTATAGTAACCACGGCACCTTCATATTATGAACGCGAAGGGCCTACGCCTTGGGGAGGGGGATTATTACACGGGCAGAGATCTTCAATATCATCTTGGATAAACAGCTTTGGCCCTCCCCATGGGGTATGTCCACGTGACAGGAGAGAGATTCGGCCAACCTGGGCGCAAATTTAAACCAGGGAGATTGGCCGTTTGCTGGAATTCTTTTTGGTTTGGTACAGCGTGTTCAAAGTTAAACTTGGGGGTACGGAAATGTGGCGTAGTAATCGAGCAAAATATCCAATGACCTCATACCTCATCATTTGTCCACCCCCTGATCGCATTGACTGAACAGAACGCCCGTGAAGGCAATGTTTTTTGGCAGTGGGATGGCCGTGAACTTGCAGTAGGACCAGATCCGACTGCCGCTGGGCGTTCTTCCGAGCGCCGCCTCCGAGCTCCGAGCACATGTACGCCGTTTGTGTGTGACCCACGCTTAAGAGAGAGAGAGAGAGAGAGAGAGAGAGAGTGTGTGTGTGTGTGACAAGGTCACCTGACATTCTCCAGCGGACTGAGCCTTTTTCTACGCTGTTTTACACACTGAACAGCGAACACTCTATCCCTTGCAGTAGAGGTAGTGTGCCCAAACTGCCAACTTTCAGCGTGCTGCCTTACCCCTGGCCCCAGCCTTTTGCCAACATTTTTAAGCTTGGGCAACAAGATTCTACCTTGTTTGCGGGCTGCCCGATGGGCGGGCAGGATACGGTACTCGAGTGAAAGGCCTCCAGCACGTGGGCATCGAAGAGGGGGGAAGGGAATCAAGACAAAGATTGGGATTGGACGTTGGGCTTGTGCTGCACCACTGCTGTTCTGAGTTCAGCCTTTTCTGTGGTTTTAGTGTGGGTGCGCTGGGGAAAGAAAACTGGGGATCGGGTGTGTCAAGTTTAGGCCCCTGACGATCATTTCTCGGGATTTTTTTTTTCTTGGTCTTCTCGTTGGTGTGTGCCAGTATGGTCACTGATCGGTCCAGTCCATTTTGTGTGGTTGTGAACGGTACCTTTTTCTGGTCGAGTGACCGGTCAACCGACGCTGATCCCCGATGCTTAGACACCAGTCACATCACTGAGACTAACCGCCCGAAAGTTGACACGTGGGAGAGTCGGGAAGGGAAAGAGAATGACTTTCTTAGCTTCTGTGAGATCTTGAGTTGTCTCAGTTGTGTTTGTTGGTTCTTGACTTCTTGTGTTCATTGGGTCCTCGGACAGCGAGCGGTCTGTTTTGAGTGGACTGGGCGGGAGGGAAACAAACGGGCGAAGTATTGTTGAAGCCTGGAGGGGATGTCCCTGACGATGGTGATGTTCTTCCGTCTGTCCCAGTTCTTGGCCTGACGCCAATCCCTTTGTCCGAGTCGAGAGAGTCACTCCCCACCCCTGCTTGGATCCTATTGATTGGTATTGGGGATGGCTTGTCGTTGTTTCAACAGTGACGAATGAGCATAGCCGGCCCTTTTGGGGACTGGATATTGGGCTGAAGTTTGACCTTCTTGAAGTATCGGGAGGTGCGGATTGTTGTGGTCCATTGGTAATGACAACAGGGCTGGCCGCGGGGGCTGTGGAGATTTCTTAGTTGTGGACATCGTGTGGGTTTCTTTTCTGGAGATTTGCTGAATTTTCTCCCCTCCTCTACGAATACAGTAGGCTCTTCTTGTGGGTGAGCGAAGTCTAGTTCGAGGCGAGATGACATAGACCCCGGGACTATGGAAGTGGTTCTATGCTTGCTTGATTGCCGACGGACAGCAGTGTCTTTCTGGTACCGAGATGGGGCCGTCTCCCAAGTGCCGGGTTTCGCGGCGTGGTTTCCGGACGCTCGGGATGACGTCGTGTGATGGGGTGTCGGGGGGACATGAAACGTCGTTGCTTGTTCTCCAGGTCGTCGAGGACTGAGTAGGTGATGATCTGGTACCGCGGTTCATCAGACTCACATAGCATCAGGTCTGTTATAGGGAGGAAGGAGCTTGCATGCATCGGGTATCAAGTCCTTTATCGCCAGCAGTCCATCGATGATCGATGTGGGGTTTTGGTGATGAGTTGATGGAAACAAGGTCGAGGGTTCGTGAGAATTCAAGATGCTAGATCGAGGATGTAGTGAGCTTAGGAAGTATGTGGTGGTAAGTGTGTGGCGACGTTAAGGTAGAGCAGCGTTCTTTGCAACTCAACATTTCTAGCACTAAACTAAACGGAAGCTTATGTAGAAATTGAAAATAATTAATGCCAAGTCAATGCCGGCTGCGTTCCTTTACTGGAAAGTTATCTATCTCTGGAAAACGTGTTGCCACGCGCTATTATGACCGACCACAAACTATTCCAAACCTCGCATGGACAAACTCTCGGGCTCACTAGAACCCTTCTGCGCGGATTTGTCAGCGAGTACCAAAAGCCCTTCCTGCTCCGGTGCTTTCAGAGGCTCATTGGAATATTTGCAAGATACTATAAGGCGCATATCCTTGTCCACTTCTGCCGTAAAGGTCAGCCCAATGGAAGATTGACCATCACGGCAAGTAGCCCGAGCAGACTCGAAATTACTAGGGGAACAACACAGCAAAGAACGCTTGTACAACTCCATTTGCGTTTCTGTCGAAAATGTAAGCTCGGGGTCATGGGCGTGACACTCCTCCAGCTCCCAAGGCCATTCCGGGAGTAGGAACAGCTGGACTTCGGGGTGTCGGTCTTTGGCTTTGTACAGAAATAGAGACATGGAGCTATCGGCCGGAAACGCGCGCATGGACACTTGAATGATGCCCATGGAATCTTCAGCCTGGGCCTCCCCCACGAATCCCCTATTAACGGGGTCTCAGAGGAAGCTGGGCTCAGCCAAGAGAAGCTTGCCATATCTGTTGAAGGGATCCCCCGGAGACCACTCCAGCTTGAAGAAGTGGCCCGGTCGCTGCTCGAGCCTTCGGCTCTCCAAGGCGGTGACCGTCTTTCTGACACACACGTCAATCATGCCGGCACTCGGCCCCTCACTCTCATACCGGCAGCGGCCCGGCGTCGCGCGAACCCAGCCCTCGGCGGCGAAGAAGAGGCCGGTGTGGATGCGATGCGGATAGTGGCAGATTTGGCAGTTACCTAGCGTTCCAAAGGGGAGCGCCCGAGCGGCGCTTGTCTCCGTGTCAATGCCCAAGAGCTCGGTAAAGCGGACCCCTTTGTTGGTGATGGAGAATGCGCTCTGGGCTGATTTGAGTCGGTTGGCTCGCGTGTAATTACCGCAGAATGTGAACTCGGCGAGTTCCTGGGCAAATATACCTCTATACCGCTGTTCTTCATCGACTGCTACCCAGGCGAAAAGCGACATGTCATTCGTCTCCTTGGCAATCTCGTCCCGGAGTCGCTGAAAGGCTTCGGCACCCTCGCCGTAGATCATGGGCATGTGGATGTCGAAGAGCCCGAGGAGGGAGTAGGCTCGATCCTCGATACGGGTCGTTCGGCGGTGTGCTGCCCAGGACATCCTGACGGCGACGGGAACAGCCGACAGCTCCTTGTTGAATGTCAAGATATCGACATCGATGTTGGATATTGTAGATAGGCACCTCGACCACTCAACCTTGGAGAACCGTAACGTCCAAACGGTATCGTAAAACTCTGCCACGGCTGGCGCGATGAGCTCCTGTAAAGTCCTGCCGCGACTGAACCACTTACACCTAGACAGGTCGGCTATCTCATAGACCCCAGGCCCAGTGCCGCTAACTTCCGGGCGGAGATCCGAGAGAAACACCAAGCAGACCTTCGCTTCCTGGTACCACCTGAACATGGAGTTGATGGCCTCGCTGAGCTCGGCGCTGCTGGACTTGTCGATGCAGCAGGTGTCGACCCACGCGTATCCCAGGCCCTTCTCTCGTGCAACCTCACAGGTCTTTGCGACCTTGTCAAAGCCCGCCTTGCTCTTAGTCGTCTCCGCAATAGCGGTGGAGGACATTTCTCGGAAAGAGACCTCATCGCTGTCCCATGTGTGCGAGAGTATAGCGTACTCGACCTCTGATGGATCCGTGAAGCTCAAGTATGAGAGTCTTGGTATTGAGAAGCCACATGACTGAACGAAGAAGGAAACTTTTCAGCTTGAAACTATCGAGACGAGGTCGGACGGCGACGATCTCGTCTGCGAGACGTGTTTGCATGATGTCGTCTCATTCAGGAAAACAATGGCTTCTCAGCTGAGGGAAAAAGAGGGGAAAGAAGCTGAGAGATGCCCAGTCCAGATTTGGAAGTGTAGAAAGTCAGAACACGCGACGCTATTGGTCGCTTGACATAGCCTACAAGAGTCTACTGCGACTGAATCACGGTAACCTCGTTATGAAGCTATCATACGATCGTCCCTTGTGAAATGTACTATCCGAATTGATGCTAGTGAGCGCGTGAGACTGCCTCACTTAGTGGTAACTCGACACGTCAGCAACGCTCGCAGCAACATGCTCGACCTACCTTAAGCCCAAGCCCAAGACCTCTTGGATGCATATGGAGTGGGAACCTCATCTTAAGTTCTCTCTGATGCCAATTTTCACAAAAAGATATAGCAATGGGGCGGGAAAGAATCAACTGAACGGCCGAAAATTTGGCAGAAGTTTCCTCCCTGTATTCTCTCAATCGCAATAATGCCGATTTTACTTTTGATACGCCTCGCTTTCTTTGCACTCTCCACGATGCTTTCGCCAATCCTCCTTCTGGCAATCAACACTGCAATACTTGGCACCCAAGCAGCGCATACACTTCTTCAAAGCGACGCCGTTCGTCGCTGCCTTACCACAGTTGGTACACCTCTCCTCAGGTGGAGCGGTACCATTGGCGCGAAAGTCCTTGTACTTATTCGTGTCCACAATCTCTTCCACAAATGGCACAGCGAACGTCGGGCTGATGGCAATGCGGGTGGCGTATTTAGACGCGGTATCCCACTCTGGGAGCCCGATGAAGTTCTCTGGGAGCTGCCCACGGCCGCAGGAGCAGAGGACGGGCTCGCTGGGTTCCAGAGATAGGGGTATAGTGGCGCCGGCCTTGCGGTACTCGCATGACGACTTGTGATTCCACGTCCGGGTACGCTCGGCCAGGGCGGGAAGAACCTTCTTCCAGAGGATGAGTTCCTCGTCGTTGACAGTGACGGAGGCCATTTCAAGCTCTCTCAGAAGCAGAAGGAAAGGCTCTACTTTCTTGATAATGGGGAGCGTAAACGGTAGGACGGCGGCATCGAGGACGACGGTGGCAGAGGCGGCATCGAGTCGGAGAGCGGAGACGAAGAAGAGCATGTGTATGCCGCCACGATCCGGGTGGTTGAGGCAGAAGAGGCCGGTCTGGCCACCCTGTTGACCCGTGGAGAGCATGGCCATGGTGAAGATGGACTCCTTGAAGTTGACGCGGGGCGAGGGGGCGAGGTCTAGTCTGCTGGCGTTGATCCGCTCGCGCAATGCCCTTTCACGGATCGAAAACTCAAAGGAGAGGAGGGTGTTGAGGAAGGGAAGCCCATCCTTCTTGGCGACGTTGATGATGGGGAGGCGGTCGAGGTTCAGGTGTGGGGTGTTGAGATCGGCTGGGGTGTTTGAGAGACCTCGTGCAAGCTGAGTCGGATAGACAAAGTCGGTGAGTACCGTGTTCGTTTCTGGATCGCTGCTAGGTTCAGCAAAGGGGGCAATAATCTCGACGTAGGCGGATGTACGGGCAATGCGGGTTTTGGCCTTGCTGGCGTCGATTGGAGTAGGGAAAGTGAGAGGACAGACCAGCTCCTTTTCACCAAACACAACGTCGATGGTGAAGGGAGACACTTGGCTAAGGGTGATGGGTAGCTTGTCAGCAAGGAGTTTCTTGCCCTTGGCAGACAAGATATCGAGATGGCCCGTAATGGTTTCGATTCTGTCCTGTCTTTGTGATGCGTTGGCAGTGAAGGACGATTCTGTTTCCTTGTTCTTTTCGAAAGCAGCCTCCGCGACGAGTCCCGCTGCTTCAGAAGCAGCCGGGTATCTGGTCTGACCGGGCATGTACTTGGTGATGAAGACGCTGTCTTCGTCGGCCAACTTGGCCTGGAAGATTCTGAGTTCGCTACCGAGAGTCTTGCTGAAGACGGCGATACTTTGAGCAGAGCTCAAGACCTCCAGGCGAACATATGAAGTTTTTCGTTCCACCTGCAACGCTGCAGCAGAAACATAGAAGGTTGCGATGAGCGGAGATTCCCCAAGCCAACCCGCTGGGTCTGCATCGACGGTGACTGAGAAATCGCTGGTGTCCCGGTTACCGCTGGTTCTAACGGTACCAAAGACGAGTTGTACCTCGTCGTAGAAGTTGTGCCACTTGTGGTTGGCCTCTTCACCAGAGACCAAGGACCCTCTGAGGGTGGGAGAACTCACTTTGGCTTGGTCAGAGCCATCGAAGACCCGTGCAATCTTCTCCCGTGGAACAACAAGAGTTACGGCCACGACCTCTGGGACTGATGTCCATGAGTCGAAGCCGCCGAGGTTGCGGTTAGGCTTGATCTCTGCACGAAGCCAGTCCTCTGAGCTGACTCCTTGCGTGTGCATCTGCACAGACAAATCTTGTCTAAGATTGCCCGTGAACATTAGGCTTCTTTCCGCGGATACCTTCTGAAGCAGAGACCCGCAAGTCTTCCCAAAATTGTCGACAGACAAACGTCGCTTCAGGTAATGGAGAAGAGACACGAGGGTGCCTCGGTGGAAGTGGGAGTAGGCCGTGTTGCGGATAAGCTGCGTGACGGACGATTTTGAGATGGACAACAGCTTCATAGGGTTCTCGTGCGCGAAAATTTTGAGGTAGAGCTCGAAGAAGATGTTGGCTAGTGCCTCAGGTTCGATGGCAAGGGGCACGGAGGCGTTGACTCCTGAAAAAAGCTTGCTCTGTTTCCATGTAATCCGACTGTGTACTTGAGCCACTTCGTCGCCCTTGGACTGGATGCTCTTGTTGCTCAGACCGATCAGGATTTCGTCGACGCTTGAAACGGCAGTGGAGTTGGTCCAGTATTCGACCGCACTCGCGCCTACCAGCAGTGATATCGTGGGTCCATGACCGTACAAGAGGGTATCAAAAGCCTCTTTGGCGGTACTTTCTCTCTTCAGAAGGGTTTCGGTGAAGACGGCCGACCATGGGTGGGGTGTGAGCAGAGGTAGAGCCGACATGAGAATGTTCAAGGTGCCGAAGTGGTCTGCGAGATTGGATGTGTCGACGGTATCGAATGCAATTGGAGCCGCCGACTTGGCGCCATACACATCTTGGTCCAAGGACAGGACGCGGGCATCGAATTGGCGACGGTACCATCCGGCAGACGTCTCCTTTGTGACGACTAAATGCTGGAGAGTGTGACAGAACGCAAGGGCTTCACTAGCAATGGAGCGGATCACCATCTTATTCGCCCGAAGTAGACTTCCACAGGCAGCCGCCCACTCTCGGAATTGTGTCTTTGCAGCCGAAAAAACCCTCGTCTTCTCATCCTGTTGATCAGGTCTCAGAGGAGAATGGTCGGTCAAGGGAATGAAGGCCGTGGCAAGATGAAAGCCGAGAATGGGGTCGGTCCCGTAGTGTAACAGGTGGTGTTTCGACAGTGAGGCATAGAAGAGGGGGTTTGGGTTACTGACGGCACCGTTGGGTGTAGCGTCGGCGGACTTCCAGAATTGCTGGGAAGCTTCGGTGACTTCCATTGCGTTCTGTAATGCAGCGGGAGCAGCTGACCGAAGACCGGTGAAAGCTATGCCGTTGCCGAAGGCAATCCTCTTGTTCTCGATAGAGTGCTTGAGGTTGGCTGTCAGGGCTTCGGAGTTAGCTACGACGTTGTCGGATGCAGCCGCACTCTCATAACTGATCCAGACGGCACGAACGTCATCAAGGGTAGCCTGATCGCAGAAGGGCAGAACTTTGCCGTATGTGCTTGATTTCCACGACTTCAGAGTCTCTGATGCTTTGAGAAGCTTCTTGACTTGGGATGATAAGATGTGTAGGTCCGAGCTGTCAATGTGAAGGTCGTAGTACAAGTTCCAGGGAGTATTCCCGGAGACACTGTTATTGTCGATGAGTAGAGAGAACAAGAAGATGTTGCGTGCTTCGGATTGTTAGCAAAGACTCGTTGACGGGTGCAAACTTTGAACATACCCAAGATAGCTTCATCGATGTCATTGACTGTGATATCCAGCTTGCGACCAGCTGATGGTGAGTTAGTGGGGTAGATATTGTTTCAGCAAGACCAACATGGCACTCACGTAGTCCAATTTCATTGTAGGCCGTGTAAATAATGTTTCTCACATCGCCGCAACCAAGCAGTAGTAGACTGGCATCGACTCCATTGGGCAGGTTTTTGGCTAAGTTGATAGCTGGTGTATTGCCTAGCGCATAGAAATAGGACGTCGAGTTGGCAACAGTTGGGGTAAACATGGTGATTGAAAGAGAGCCTAAGAGAACTCGTGAGACGTTGAAAAGACTCGATAAAAGCAGAGAGGGATACGGAGTACGGTCTCTGTATGCTTAGAGTACGTAGGAATACTCCTATGAGGTTGACTTCCCGCCACCAAAGGCTTGCCGCGTGAACAATGTTGGAAGAGGAGGGGACGAATTGAGGTCTCAGACCAGCATGTGGTTGGTATAAGTCAAGGGGAGGAGCTCCCAAATTGAATGAGATATCACAGAAGAGAAGAATGTAAAAGTGAAGTCCGATTTGGTCTCCCTTCCCTCTTTCGTTGTACTCCAGCGAAAGTCGCACAAGGAAGACAGTCTCGAGGTTATCAAGAGTTTGGGAGCTGTGGAGGGGTCGATGACAGCTGGCACCAGATGAGCTTCGTGCCTGCCTCATTGTACCTGAGCTCACCGCCCGCATTAGCCACACCGACAGCCCGGCAGAAAGATCCGGTGGAGGCTTCAGCCACAACATTTCGATGCTTTTCGCGACGCCCATCGCGTTTTTGTTTCCTAGCTACAGCATTGGAGGGCCAACCTACATCTTGCGCAAAAATCAACGCACTTCCATCACTACAATAACTCAACGGCCGGACGACATCCTCTCCCTCCGAACTGCCTCATTTGTTCTCAGATCCTGAGACGGCCCTTCATCCCACGCCATTCACGACGACCACTCCAGGCTGAAGCTCTAGCAAAACAACTTCACATTTGGGCAGCTATGGCTCCCCAGCCAACGCCCCGAGTCAGGCGCACGTCGCAAAACACACAATACACGTATGTCGTAGAGGCAGCTCTAGAAATTCCTTTCAAGACAGCGCGCTGACCGAGCCTAGCTACAACCTCTCGCGACGGATCAACGATGTCAAGACCTACCCTGTCCAGTCTCCCCAAGGAGCTACGATCCTCCTCTATGGTCACGACAATGGCATTACGATAATATGGAGAGGTGGACGTCGCTTCAAGCCATCAAAGAAGCAACAGGCAAAACCTGCCAATGAGAAGCAGAATGGTGCTCCAGACGATGCCGTCATGATCATCGACTCCGACGATGACGAACCACCAGCCAAGGCAGGCAAGGCATCGGTGCCATTCACCGACAAGCCCGAATTCGAAGATTCCGAGGAGGAAGGACCTTACCCCGAAATCATCCAGACTCTCGATCTTTCCCTTGGCACATCTGTTCTGCACCTTGCCGTCCTGCCTATGACGCCTTGCCCTGCCGAAGATGCTGCGTGGGGAGGAGCCGATGTTCTTAAGGAAAAGATGGTGTTCACGGTTGCTTGCGCAACCAACGAGGTCTACGTTGTGACTCTTCCTCTTACACCGCCAAGTCCCGAGAGCAAGGCACGCCCTGAGCTGATGTCCAACCTTCTGGCTGGAAAGGCTGGGTCTGGTCAATGGGGGGAGAGGGTTGTTCTTCTAGGCGGCCAGTACAAGCGGAGCGAAGGCATTGCCATGTCATTAATCAGACCTAAAGCTTCGTCTAGCTCTGATCGGATAAGAGAACAGACCGGCGCCACAAGCGCTCCGAAACCTCGCCTTGTTGTCGCCGCACATACCCGCGAGGCGTCTGGCACCCTCCGTCTCTGGGATGTGCCCCTCGACGTCCAGCCGGGCGAAGCCAGTGGCCGAATCAACCCTTTCCAGACTGAATACCTTCCCAGCCCCCTCTCCAGCATTTCATTCAACCCTACGCACCTTACACAGATCCTTACAGTAGCCTCTCCGCACGCTGTTCGCATCTATGACTATGCGCTGCCGTCTTTCCCTCCGGATGACCAAGCCACAGGACCATTCCCAAGTCAAGGATCCTGGCTGCTCTCTCTATTCCAGCCATTCACCCGCCCTACGTCAACACGCAAACCTATTCTCGACGCCGCGTGGATTGCACATGGCAGAGCCGTGCTCGCATTACTCGCCGATGGCACCTGGGGTATCTGGGATGTGGATGGTGCTAGCCCGTTGGGCGCCTCCATCATGGGAAAGAATAGCTCTGGCATCAAGGGTGGTGCGATCACAGCCTTCAGCGCTACTGGCCACGTCGAAGGTACAGGGCCTTTGAGGACGACAGCAAGCGTACCGAGGTCCAACGGCAACGGCGAGTTTGTGCCCCTGACACCCCACAGCCGACGCGACGCAGCAGCTTCGCTCAGTACCGCAGGCTCACTGGAAAGGCTTGTGTCTGTCAGAGGCGGCATTGTTGTGACCCCCTTGCCCAGCAGTGCCCCAGGCTCCGGCTCAGCTGATGAGAGCGTTGTGCTTTGGATTGGCGGACTCGATAATGTCTCTGTCATCCCTGCCGTCTCACGTTTCTGGGATGCGCAGCTGCGCCGAAGCTCTGGTGGAGGAGTGAACCTTTTCAGCGGTACTACTCCAACACGAATGATCCGGTTGCACGATCTGTCCACAGGACTTCTCGGAGAACGATGCTGTGGTGTGGGTGCCGCTGTCAACTTTGCAAGACTGAAGGAGAATGATGGTGGCCTGCAGATCGAGGTCCTCATCTTGGGCGAGAGCCGGTTAGTGATTGTACACGAGTCCGAGGATACTCCTGGCACCAAGATTGGAACCGTTGTCTCGACGCGCCGACGTCTCTTTGGCGACAAGGGCAAGCCAGAGCCGCCAAGCGCCATCATTGTGCACTCTCGACCCGACCAGCCCCGAAACGTGTCGTTCAATTTGAGCGTTCACAAGACTAGAAGCCTGCGCGCGAAGTCAAATGGCCGCGACAGCATCGACGCCGAGGATCCAACACACGACTTCACGCTTCCTATCGGACGGTCCAGGTCCGGTTTCGGTTTCGCCGACACACTCAACGCCGCCGCAGATTTACAGGACGATGTTACGACGCGCGACGTCGAGGTGGAGATGTTGGATATCTTGGAGATTGATCAGGCATTGGAGGATCTGGATCACGACCGGGGTAGTGGAAGGAAGAAGGTCTTCTTCGAGGAGGACCAAGACCGGTCGTTCCATTAATGTTTGCTGCTGACGAGACCTGACCTAGACGAGACCAGAATGTACGATACCCCATGGGCCGTCCCGGCAACCGATCCCTTGCAAGTTCCTGGCACGAGCCAAAGTCAACATCATTGCCGCTGTGTCATATCTGTGACTTGTCTCCCATTTCCTTTTTCCTTCAATCACCATCCGCCACGGACCTTTCGAGGACAATGGCAAATCCGCACGTCAAGGTGGAGCGCAAGGAGAGATTCATCCTTGATCCAGCTCTGTATTACGAGCGGTACATCAAACAGACCTCCATATCCTCTGGGATATTTCGGATCCGCAAGGCACAAGATCGTTCAAGATGAAGTGTTGTCGGGGAAGAAGACTCCATGATGGGATGTGTCAACGCCGACGGTTTCTACTTTTTAGGACAGGGACTTTTATGGGTGGGGGCGGGTGGTTCGGTTTGCGGATTGACCACTTGCTCTCCCGGCCTTTTTATATCATGTCATCCTGCTATCTGCCCTGAATCCTTGACTCTGGTTTTTGACTGGAGGATGATGGGAGGGGGTGGGGGATGTCAGGGTTGGGAGGTGGTTCTGTCGGTACATTTTTCGTGCTTGCTTTCGATGATGTTATCGTGACATTTAATCCTCTCATACGTCGTTCTTTTTTATGATAGTGTTAACTCCGGTGATTGTAGTATCGCTTTCCGGGCTTTGTCTCGCGTACCTAGTGGCCACATGGTGAGATCGCCTCCAGTTCTCGAAGTCCTCTTTTGAGCAGCTATATCGATCTCGCCCTGATGTCGTCACATCTGTCCCCCAACCAACTGTCTATTCAATTCTTCTTCGGACCGTCACGGCACGTTAGCTCATCAGAAGCGATCCATCCTAGAAAAGAGTCATGCAATGTTGACATGCCACCATATCTGAAGGAACAGAGGATAGAGAATGTGAGCTGAGGGGAATTGAGGGCAGTCCTGGGTGGAGTATCGCGGTCTAGCTCAATTATTTGCGTGGTTTTACCAGCGAGGTCTGAGGATACTACATGTACCTTTTAGCATGTCGACGACCTCGGCGTTCTCGAACTCTCTCCTTGGTCTACAGAAGGTTGAAATACAGGCAGCTGTTGCTCCCAGCCTTTCAAATGTGCGACACCTTGCATATATGAAAGCTTGAGTGAAGTCGCATCTGCGATGATGAGGGCTCAGATGCGTGGTTTCCTCGCGCTCTTTGTGATTTGTTATGCGTGTGTTTTCAGACAAGTCAGCCTTGTCGCTTACGGAAGGCTACGACGCGCATAAGAGTTGACTCTTCTCGCTACTTGTCTCCGTCTTGAGAGTATTCGTGTGTGATATGAAGACAGCGGATGCGGATGCTAACCCTCACGGACGCGTTCCTGGCGCTCGACCTGAGCGTGCACCGCCTCCCTGTCTGTTTCTCGATGCAAGGATCCTGGCCCGGCCATACTTGGGAGGTATGGGCAGGGCCGAATGGCTACCTAGAGGTTGAAAACCTTCCCCCTGGATGCTGGGTACTAACCTCAACCTCGTGGAGATGGAGGGATTGGAAAATGTAGTTAGTCGTGCTTTTCCCTCATCTCGCCCAATACCTAGTTTTCCGATATGTCCCTTGACCACTGATGAAAAGGGAAAGAATATGAGTACTGAGGGAGGGGTTTTTTATAGCCTCTATATCTCTCCTAGCTCCACGAGGTAGCCCCGAGAACAACTGTTCAACTACCCACGTGAAGCATGAGGGCCAGGTGGCCAAGAAGCTTGTAACGATCGTCAAATCCTCCAGACTCAAAGAGTTCCGGTGGGGACATACCTAACGATTTGGTCTCAACACATGGGCTGAAAAAAAATAATGAGCATTTGGACGGGATATTCGCTTGTGTCGAGTGGATCTGCGACAGCCGAGCTGGCTTTGGGTTTACACCCACTCTCACTCGGGATATCCTTTCTATGGATTGGGACATAATTAACCGCGCAGTAGAGGCTATGGAGAATCTAAACTGTGCTCAATGTGTGGCTATCCACCAGAACTTTCTGTTCACGCGCGGTGAGACTCTCGATGTAGGCTGTGCCATTGAGATTGAGAGGGTTCGCCCCAATCCCCAGGCCTCTTTCAATCCTCTAACGTGGCCCTGTCTAATATCTGATGACATTGGTGAGATCTGAAAGTCGTACATGACATATCAGGAAGACATGCAACATGGAGTCAAGGGCTGAAGACCTGGAAGACAATCATCCATCTCTTACGGTGTTGTGGGTCTAGGATGTTGAGCAATAATTCCTTATTGTGTCATGTTGCAAAGATATCACAACTATAAAGAGGGTCTTGAAAGTGTGTTGTGATCAATCGCAATATTGATTTGACCTTGCTAAAACGCCCCATGGAGTCACCCTCGAACCCCTTTCCATGCTATGAGGTGGTGATAGTGTACAAGCAGTCGCGCGTGGACATATCCAGTCTAGCGGCTTTCGTAACGCATGCTTAGAAATCATTGTCATACATCTTCCGTCACGGAATTTTTGGTCTCGAAAAAAATCCTGACTGGGCGCCTTTACAGGTTGCTCTTGACCTGGTCGGCAGTACCCTTCGCCTTGCCAGCAAGCTCATTGGCCTTGCCCTTGGCCTCACCCTTGAGCTCTTGGGCCTTACCGGCAGCTTCGCCCTTGAGCTCTTGGGCCTTGCCGGCGGCCTCGCCCTGGGTGTTGGGGACGTTTTGCTTGACCTTCTCGGCGACGTTGGCTATGAAGAAGTTATGTTAGTATCTTTCAATGTTTTAAGGGAAGGCGAGAGAGGGAAGAGTTAGGGAAGTAAACGTACCACTAGCATTGATACCATCAACAAGCTTGTCGCTGACCTTGCGGTCGACAGTCTTCAGACCATCCTTGACGGTCTCTGTCGCGGACTTTTGTGCGGCAAAGGAAGTGGTGAACGTCCTGGGAGCAGCGACGGCGGCTCTGGGGATGACGCGGGGAATGGTGGCGAGACGGCGACCGGTGGCTTCGATGAGGAAAGACATTGTGATTTGTGTGTTTGTTGGTTGTTTGCTTGTGGGAAGGGTACTGGTGATGACGAGTTGTTGTTTAATTCGTTTGAAGCTTTCAAGGTGATGATGTTGTGATGAACAGTAAGGTAGGAAGGGAGGCAGAGAAGTAGAAGTGCAGCCGAAGAGCTCAAATATGAAAGACACAAGAAACCCGGAAGGAGCTACCCCTCGCTCGCGGCTCGCGTACCTCCCTTAGCTTACCTACTACTGTCTGTGTCTCCCATGGTGAGGAAGGGGGAAGCTAAGCCGAGTTGAAGCTGAGCTACGTATGAGCTACCCGTGATGTCATGGGGTTGTTCCATTGAGGCGAAGAGAGGAAAGGGCAGTAGCTGCGTAGGTGACTTCCGTTAGCACTAACACGGTCTGGAACACCGCGAATGCACTGACCCGGCTGCACTCCGGGGCAGCAACATGCGTGCATGCCCCCCCCAAACCCCACTGGGGGAAGGGGAGAGAAAGAGGCGCGCTATGACGTCCCGGCAACCACCAAGACAATTGTATCACACCTACATCATCGATGGCGGACCAATCCCTCCAGTCTCCAGCCGCTTAACATTTGATCCAATGCACGTTCAATGCTGCCGCAGTACTTTTGGGAATTGGTAAAGGTACTGTCCAGGTCCCAGTTCTCGAGCTCTTTGCACGGAATAAGCGGTTGCTGATGGAGAAGATGACGCCATATCTACTTACGTTTGCCCAGCCTTCTCATCACACCACCGGCTACATCGAGCACTGTGCCTGATGCTTTTAGGGTACTTGCATAACCTCGGTCTTCAGCGTTTAGATAGCTCTATCAGCAACAGGGCAGGACGGAATGAATGATAGAATCTGGCTAGACAACCAGCATGGCAGCCTCTCAGCTCTCTAACCCCACCTTCGGCCCTAGTTGGCCCCTGAAGTTCTTTGATTAGCCAAGACTGAAAGTAGGATGTATCAAGTCAAGCCATTGAAGCTTCCAGCCACGATAAATCTCGATCTCATCTGTGCCACCCGGGACCCACCACCGGTACGGATCCGAGGTGGGGCTTATATGCTCCCCCCAGCCGACAGACATATCGAGACTTCTGCAAATGCACATTCTTGCGTATATGACCAATGGGCTATTGTTTCCCAATTTGATACTGAAGACTAGACGACACATTGGACACAGCTGCATCTTTGGATATGTAAAATTTCGAACCATCGAGGTTCTTCTGATGAACTAACATCATTGTGGTCGCAGGGCCATATCCAAGCCATAAACGCATAGCCACCGTGCCCTAGGTAGATCCAGACAGCTAGATATTCACACATACTACACAACCCTTACTGGCCCTTGAACACAGGCTTCCTCTTCTCCTGGAACGCCTTGAGCGCCTCATTCCGATCATCAGTAGCGACAACCCGCTCATACATCTTATTCTCAACCTCCTCCCTCGCCCACGCAACAGCCTGAAGCCCAGCACGAATCGCGATCGGCCCGCCCTCGCAAATCTCTCCCGCCAGCCTCACGCTCTCGCTCAGCACCGCCTTGCGCGCCGCCAGCAAGACGCCCTTATCCTTGTCGCCCTCACCCGCCTTCTCCGCCTCCTCGTGCGTGATATCCACCAGCCGGTCCGCGATGCCCAGAAAGTAGGCCTCAGGCGCAGAGACGCGGCGGCCTGTGAGGATCAGGTCGCGCGCGCGGGAGAGGCCGATGAGCGCGGGCAGGCGGTGGGTGCCGCCGGCGCCGGGGATGATGCCCAGGCGCGTTTCCGGGAGGCCAATGAGGGCGTTGGAGGAGAGGACGCGGAAGTGTGTTGAGAGGGCGAGCTCGAGGCCGCCGCCGAGGGCGATGGAGGAGATTGCTGAGATTGTTGGGATCGGGAGGTTCTGGAGGGAGGTGAAGGTGGAGCGGAGGTTGTGGAGGAACTCGTCGGTCCTGCGCGCGATATGTCAACAAGCTAGCTCTTGTTCGAAACGTCGACGAGATACCAATCAATTGGCCCCCGGCAGGAGTTGAGGTTCGTCGTATAAGGGGGCAACTTACTCTTCCTGTGTGAAGCCCCGCCTCTCCTTCAAATCCGCGCCAGCGCAGAAGCTCGTCTCGACGGCACTGGCGAGGATGAGAGCGCGTGTGGGGCCCTTGACGTCCTTGCCGGCGGCGCCGCCAAAGATAGCCTGCGGCGGCACCTCGGCGCCGGTTTCCGGGTCATACTGGGCGTGGACGGCGTCGACTTCGGCGCGCAGCTGGGAGAGGAGGGCTTTGGAGAGGGCGTTGCGCGCCTTAGGCCGGTTGAGCTCGAGGATGCGGACGTGGCCGGACCCAGGCGCCGGGAGCTGTGTGACGGTGATGAGTGGCTGGTTAGAGTCTGCGGCCGTCGAGGTCGAGTAGAATGCTCCCGCGATTGCTGAGGATCTTGAGGGTGTTGTTGTGGTGCGCGGGATGCGGATCGCGATCCGGAGGGGGGCCAGACGGGGAGACATTGTGGCGATTGAGGTGGAATGCAGTGAAATGCAGAAGCAGAACAAGCCAAAGCAAGGAATTCGAGATTGAAGCCAGAGTTCTATTGCGATGATGGGTGTTGAGCGATTCGCAGAATACGATGCAATCGTTGTGCCGATAGAGCTGGACACTATGCCGAGGAGGAGCAGAAGCTCCATTGGGTGAGCGGGCAATGACGTTCGCACCAATTCGGGTTTGCTCGGCTATTTATGGAGACATTTGCACAGTTCCTGAGCATAAAAAGGTACGTACTTCCTTCTGGATTCTCGGTGAAGGCAAGCTCACAGCGGAGCTCACCGAGCACGGCAGGCGGGGAGCTTGGATCACACACCTCCGTCACACCGAGGCCAAAAACCGCCCTTCCTTCCATCGACGATGCTTGGCATTCAACAAGAACACATCAAACAGTCCAAAACACCACGATCGAAGAAGTAATGGACATCAACATGGACACCCGGAAGCAGCCAAGCCAGAAGCTCATCTCATCATCAAGACGCTATCAAGGGGCGTTCTTGGCCCGTGCACAGTGACGTCCACGTTCACCTCACGTTCCTGGTGCCAAGCGCACACGCCAAGCTTTTCTGTCCCTGCGCAAGGAACAAGTCTGGCTGAGCTGTCGCGTGTCTCAATCGACTTGCTGCCGCTGTTCTTAAAATCGCCGCTGTTCTTAAAATCGCGCTTGTTCCCCTTCTCTTGTCCCTCATGTTGCTGCTAGTTCTGTGACTGGAAGACTAGCCAAAAAATTATGTCAGACAACACCACAGAAAGCATACTCGTCCCCTTCTTGGGGGCTTTCCAAGCTTCCTTATCGGTGCTGCTCACTATATCCGCCGGTGTCATTGCCGCACAGTATGGCCTTCTCGACGACCGCAGCAGCAAGAAGATTTCGACTTTTTGCGTCCGGATGGCTCTCCCTGCTCTCCTGATTACGAACGTTGGATCACAGCTTGACCTGGAGACTGTAAGTTCCCCGGCCCACCCTTCGGCACCTTATATCCGTCTCGTCTGACCCATACACCAGGGAATTCGATATGTCCCAATCATCATCTGGGCCATATTTTACACTACAGTGTCAATTGGCATCGGCTTCGTCCTGACAAAGGTCTTTGGCATGCCCGACTGGGTCATCCCAGCCATCGCCTTCAATAACACCACCAGTCTGCCCCTCTTGCTCGTGCAATCCCTAGACGCCACTGGGATCCTTAGCTCCATCGATGACAGCTCTGGCGTCGTCACCAAGGCCAAGAGCTACTTCTTGGTCAATGCCATGATTGGTAACTCCCTCACATTTGCTCTTGGGCCGAAACTTCTCAATGGCCAAGAAGAGGACGCCCCCGACAAGGCCGAGGGTGACGATAACGACGACGAAAACGAGAGAAATGGCGAAGAAGATATCGAGTCACAAGAGCAGGACGCCATCGAGCACAACGAGCAGACCTCGCTGCTCCCAAATCGCACCGTAACCAGAATCACACGCACAAAGTACAGCGTTTACGGCAAGGGCAACAAATACTGGTCAAATCTATCTCCGACCACCCGCTCAGCCCTCGAGTTCATGTACAGCTTCGTCAATGCTCCCGTAATCGGTGCTCTCATCGGGGCTCTTCTCGGTCTCGTCCCCGCCCTCCACCGCCTCTTCTTCAACGAGCCTGAGGAGGGCGGCTACTTCAACGCCTGGCTCACCTCCTCGGTCAAGAACGTCGGCGAGCTCTTTGCCGTACTGCAAGTCATCGTCGTAGGCGTGAAGCTGTCCAAGGCGATCTTGCAGTACAAGAACAGGGAGGATTCGAAGGAGAGCCAGGTGCCTGTGGTGCCTTTCCTGGCTGTCACGTTTGTCAGGTTCATCCTCTGGCCTGTCATCTCAATTGGCGTCATTTATCTCTTGGCTAGCAGGACAGAGCTGCTGACCAAGGATGCGCTGTTGTGGTTCTGTCTGATGCTTATGCCGACTGGACCTCCCGCTATGAAGCTATCTGCGCTGGCGGATGTTGATGGGTCTGAGGATTCTTTAAAGATGTTGATTGCCAAGTTTTTGACTGTATGTTGTCCATCCATGGACTTGTGCCTTCCGACATTTGTGGTATTTGCTGACAAGTTTCTAGATGTCTTATATCATATCACCTTTGATCTGCTTCACGGTGGTTGGTGCTCTGAAAGCTAGCGAGGCTATCGTTGCCAAGTAGACACTTGGTCTTTGGCTTTTTCAATCGATTGGGATAGATTCCTAGGGGCTTCTCTAGTTCCAGGTATAACGTACTATCGATATCATATAGCCATCTACAATTGAATCCACGTGTGATCTTGCTTCGGATATGCCTAGTAAGCAACTTTCATGGACATTTGTTAATGACTACTGCATGACAAATAGTAGTTCGTGCGGTTAGGTCCCACGATTTGACTCCCGTCGTACCCTTTTCTCTTCATTGCGTTACCCATCTTTCCATCCTACTGTTCCGTCCAATCTACTCTCTAAACTGTTTGAACGAGGTCAGCTTATTTCACTTGAGTCAGGCGACAAGCTACATACCCCAGTGAGGAGGGGCTTCAAAGGTACCTTAGTCGTTACCTCTCCCTTCTTCACATCATACTCAAAGCACAACATTCTAATAGCACAATCACCCAACTGTATGTGATCTCTTGAGAAGCGTCTATGGTTAGATGTGGTAGGTCATCTTGTAATACCTTGTTACATCTAATTTAAATCCCCCCTCTTTCGAAGCTTAGAGTCGTGTTATGCGCTAGGATTATGTCGATTTTGAGTAGGAGAACAAGAAGCAGAAGGCTAAGGTGTTGGATTAATATTTTTTCGTCCAAACATAGAAGCTCACATCCTATTTGGCTTCGTAGGTGCTTATGACCACTAACTTCGTTAAGTTTGCAGTGTTCCGGGCCATGTTTGAACAACCCCCTTCCCCCCGGCCCGAAGTTCGCATAGACTCATCTCAGCTACAGAAAGCTGAGGAGATTTGTAGACTCTGGGATGAGGTTAAACGCGCTCCATGGCCACTTCAATTATAAACCTGACAAGGCTTGAGCAGGGTTGTTTGGACTTTTCTAGAAGATCGTACCGAGCAGGGTAATTGGCTCAGTAGAGTATACAACAAGGAGAGAATGAGACGTAAATCGCTCGGAATGTGCTTTCAACTCGGAGAGATCAACAAGGGGCACAAGATGTATTCTGATAACGTCAAGTGCCTTTGTATGTATATTTTCATAAGCCTTTGAAATCTGCTTGATGTCTGCCACATTCACCGTCGTTGGAGATAGTCACCCTGCTTCCCATGGCCAAGCCCGGATGAGTCGTCCGAAACAAATCATCCCGGATGCTCCCTTCACCATTCCCGTCCTCTGTGTCAAACCAGAGCTCTCCGTGATAATTTGATTCACTCATGAACCTCTCCCCACGTCTTCACCATCAAAGCTACCGCTCTTCAAGTATCCGCTTCTCACATTACTTCCAAGTTCCGGTGCCTTCCACCTCGCCCTTTACCCTGAATATTTCCACAAAGCCTTCCTTCCCTCCAACGGACAAAATCTCTTCTCGAATCCATCTCCATCTTCCATCAAACCACGTCTTCCAACGCGGCCATCGTCAATACATCAACCGCGAAGATGTGGACTGGACGCGGCATCGAGCAAGCTATCGCCCGCAAGAGACAGGGACGCCGCAGAGGCCACAACACCGCCATGGAAGTCGACAACACCACCATGGGCGTCGAGATCATTACTCCGGGAGTCAAAAACCTCGCCATCACCGACGCCCAGCGCCGCTGCACGCTCCTCACCATCCCCTACGAGATCCGTCGCAAGATCTACATCGAAGTCGTCACGGGCTCCGAAGTCAACTGCGCCCCCTACAACCGTGCGGTCACCCGCCTCATCGGACGCCAGCGTCGCGGCCGCGGCGCCGCCCCTCTAGCCTTCACAGCCACCGAAGAGCACAGCGTCTTCCTCCTGACCTGTCGCCAGATCTACGAGGAAGCCCGCTCCATCTACTGGGCCCACTCCCTCGTCGACGCTGGCAAGCAGCACTTCCGGGCGGTGGAAAAATTATTCAGTTCTTTCGCTAAGCAGAACGCCGAGCATATCCAGGGCGTCGTCGGCAACGTCAGATTCTCCCTGCAGCCTGCTGGTTTCCTCCTGTCCTTCCCGCGCGCCAAGACGGTTCGACTTTCTAACCCCCTTGTCACTCACTTTGCAAATGAGACTTTTGCCAGTGTCGTCAAAGATGAGGAGTCTATTGTTGCGCATATCGAGAACAGAATGGAGTTCAAGGGCTTGGACAAGTTGATTGCGGATGTCCGGTTCAGCGAGGGTGTTCAGTTCTTGGTTGCTGCTGTCTTGATTGGTCACCCTGTCAAGAGCGACGGTACTCTGGGTGAGGATAGACACCACAAGTACAAGGTCAGTTTTGATTGTTATTTCATTCGTCGCGGGATTGAGTTTATAGCTCTGTCATTGCCTTGGCTCGTATAGTTCGCGTTGTCTTTTCTTTCTCTTTCCTTTGGCCCTCCTACCTTTCAACGCGGAACCTCCTGCTGACCTTGATCCATTTCAAATCTTAGCACTGTTTCTACAACATGACCACTGGCAAGCTCTTCGTCATCGACTTTGAGAGCATCCGCGGCCCCATCTCCATTCGCGAGACCGACGAGGACGACATCAATCTCGGCAACTTCGAGCATGTCTTGGAGGATCGCTACCTTCGCGGCAATGAGTGATGCAATCACTTGTCGACGCCTTACCATACCATGTCATCGTCTGAAAAGTTAAAGATGTGCAGTGTTTGCTTCAAACATGGAATTGAAGAGGGCGACGTATTGAGGCGGCGGGAGTAAACATTTTACCATTCAAGTGGTGTTTCAAGAATGGGTACAGAGGAATTGACAGAGTCTGATGACAGTAGATACGAAAACTAAAATGAATCAATGACCAAGCCCCTCTGGTCTCGGATAATACACATCGTGACACGTGATTGGGAAGCTCCAGGATCCCCATTAGAAGCCACTCCAATTGACTTGCCCACAGGAGAGGGAGGATAAAGTTCCTTGGCTAGTTAAGAGTGTGACAGTTACCAGTCAATCGGACTTCGTCATGGAAGAAAAGCTGGCTAATAGGCAAGAAGCGGACTTAGCGGGGAGAAAGGATGTCAGCAAGGATGCCAAGAGATCACTTAAAGTACCCTTGAACCCTGATCACCATGTTCATCTGAAGGCAAGGGCGAGCTGTAATTAATACTGAATCGACTCATCCCTCAAGCTGACTCGTATTGGAATAGAGGAAGATGGGTAAGTCGACTTGTTTGATTGGTGGATTTGGCCTTGATTCCGACTCGCTTTTGAGTGCTTAGATATTTACTGATTACTGTCTCATCAATCTCGATACATTTGCCAAGCATATTCTAAATTGAAAGGGCTCTGTATCATTAACGATATTGACTTGTATGGGACTGGGTACATACTTGTATAGAGATATAAAGATCATTACCTTCCCCAGACAAAAGCAATGACCTCACTGACATATCTGCTCGACAATTGCACACAGCCGAATCGCCGCAACCCAGTTTCCCAGTCAATCAATCTACACAATGCAGTTCCAGACGCTCTTCGTTGCCGTTGCCGCCCTCATAGCCGCGAACGGTGTAGCCGCCAACAGCTGTTCACTCTGGAATGGCAAGTCATGCCCTGCCAATCAACCCCAGACCTGCGGCGACGGATGTTGCTGCGAAGTGGCCTTCGTCGGTTGCACATGTTAGAAGTATGAGGTGAGAATTTTGCTTGAACAATGACATCGTTATTTGTAAGCCTTTAAGCTGACGGACACAACTCAGGATTGAGAAGTGACCCTGCTGGCTTGGGGTTTAACTACCTGGATTTGGCGAGGTGCCTCTACATAAAGGGCGGTTGAAGAATCAACATGGTGAATCTTCAGGATTAGAGTAGCTTACGCCCTTTCTTCGAACTTATTTTCTCATGTTCTAGACTATGGCCTAGCAAAGAACCGAAGATGATTATCTAGAAATACCTCTCATAAGCCTTGGCAGCATCCAAGATCATTTTATCGAAAGGAATCCAACCCTGGCCAGTGGCCTTTGAAGCTTTCGAGGCATCGACCCTTCGCGACTCGGGGGGCTCGCCGTAGTCTTCCAAATACCCCTTACCTGGCTCTCCCTCTTGAATGATATCCCTCCTATCAGGGTACGCCTTCCTCAACAGATCGCAATACGCCTGAATATTGGCAAAATTACCGTTTCCACCAGCAATGTAGCGCTGCCCATCGGCCACGTCCGGCCTATCGGCAGCAAACACGATAATCCGCCCAACATCACGAGCATCGACGTGCGTCCCGTTTCCAGGTCCCACAGGCGGTACCTCCTCGCCGCTCATAACACGGTACGCAGTGATTGCAGTATCGCTGAGCCTCTTGGGGTCTTCAGGGAGAATGAGCGGTGGACCAGCAACCCACACGGGATTGACCGCCGTCATGCTAAAGTTGATCTTCCCCTTGTTTTTTTCCTTGAAGTCCCAGAAAGCGCGTTCTCCCTTCACTTTGCTAGCGCCATAAATCTGATGACCCGTCGCCTCGGCGCCCGCATTCTCGAGGATCTCCTCCGCCTCATCGTTCCAGTCCGCTTCCGAGACAACCCGCCCCTGGAACTTTGGGCTCGAGCCACGGATCGCCACAATGGACGACATGTACACGAAAGACTTTAAACCGGCCTCCTTTATCGCCGACTCAAGGATGCCGAGCGTGCCCTGCACAGCCGTCCCTAGGACCTCCTCTACATTTGTGTTGGCAAAGCTGACGGGGGTCGCGAGGTGGGCTATGGAGGTGACGCCTTTGAGTGCTTCGTCAAAAGCGCCTGTGACGGTGATGTCTGGGACGATGGCCGTAGACAGCTGGCCTGATGAGGCTTGTGAGGGAAGGGCGGCGGTGAGCTCATCTGCGGAGCGCTGGGTTCTGACGGCGGCGCGGACGGAGTAGCCGGCTAGGAGGTAGGTTTCGACTGTTCGGGCTCCGATGAAGCCGTTTGCGCCTGTGACTAGGGCCAGACCTTTTGTTGACGACATTGTTGAGGCTTGGTTGGGATGTATGGAGATGGAGAGAGTGAAGCAGATGACCCCGACAGAGAGCAGCTTCCAGGAAGTTTTCTTGGCGTAGTGCTTCTGGGTAGCGGAATGAGTATTGTGTTTATTTACCTTCTCAAGGAGTCAAAGATGGCATGAAGTCGGTTGAATGAGACATATGTGGTCTTGGCCCGGCTTTAAGTGCTAAGTACGATACAATGGGACAGTAGTCTTATCGCCAGTTTATCCCCGTGTCTTTGTCAGAAATCCCTCCACGGATAGCGTAATGACGCTTTTGTTCCTAGCGTGCAGCGAGGCGCTTTCGGTGCCAGTCAGATTTTGGCGCGTTGAGGGCTGCGCTCATTCATAAACTGATTCGGCCTCATGAGATGATGTCACGAAACAGGAATGGTATCAGCACTTGTCAAGCACTTTGCCACGTGCTTTCTCACGTGGAGATCACACTCACTTAGTATATAGACTGCTCTCATGTGCTCATTCTAGATGGGTTACTTCAAGCCACTTTAACCCACTTCATATGCCCATTGCTGCGTGCCATAGGTCGTGACAGATGACGAGTAAACATCATATTCACTTCCCGGTACATGATTCTGAGTGGCGCTTATGTGGTCTCGTGGATCATTTGACTTCGTTCTCATTTCATTCAATTGTCACTACCGTGTGTACAACTTCCCTCTCGCCTAATTTTTCTTGGCATCTGCTGTTAGTGAATGAGTGAGCCTACCACCAAATTACTAACAGCCGAAAACTCTTCACCTCCCCTTGCCGGAGCCCGCATCCGCGATGGCCTCACAGCCGCCGTCGGGCACCGGACTGATGTCGGCCGACCAAGCCGACCCCGAACCAGGCTCCGGGACACCTCCGGAGCCGAACCCCACCTCAAGAGCTAAGCGACGCCGCGACGCCGAGGCACAGCCGACCCGGCCCAGCCTAACGGGAAGCCAGCTTGATGCCACCACCGACGCCCCTACCTCGGCCGAGGGGCCCGCAGCCTCTACCGCATCTGCTCCGAGCGGATCTGCCACAGGGTCCGTCTTGACAGCCCTTGCAGAAGAAGCTAGACAGTACGAGGCACGGAAAGACGTCTTTCTGACCATTGCACGGTCCGTCGACAGCGTTGTCGCCAGCTTTGACGGTTCTAGAAAGCAGATCGCGAAAGAAGCCACTGCCTATGTCATTCAAACCCTCAAGAGACTGATCAATCACGAGACAAGCCCAATAGCGGCCCGGAGTTGGGCGGCTGTCGTCGCACCGATGGCGGGCAACACCACTGCGGCGACCCGGAGCGGCCAGAGCTGCCAGAGCTCTGCCCGCCCGAAGGCCACACTCCCCGCCGAGGATCAGCCGCAGGCGCAGCCGAAGGAGGACCTCCGCATCTTTGCCCGCGTCCCGGAAGAAAGCTTAGCGGCCGCTCGGAAGATCGCACCGTTCGCCGTACGACAGATCGTCTGTAAGGCCGTTGGCCTGGGGCTAGCGGACCTTCCCCACGTCTACCATATCAGCACAGGTTACTCTCTGAAGCCGCGAAACAAGCAAATACAGGAAAGACTACTTGCAAGTAAGGCAAAGCTGGCGGAATGCCTCGGCGCCCACCAGGTCGAGACGCCTATCAAGTGGTACACTTACGTTGTGCCGCGATGCCCAACAAAACTACACAGCATTGGCGGGGACGTCCTGGACCCAGCCACACTCGTTGAAGATGAGGTCTTCGCACAGACAGGACAGAAGCCTGTCCTTGCTCGACCGTCCCGCCTTGGGCCCAACCCAGTCACGAACGAAATATCTTGGCTCATATCATTCACATCAGAGGTCACGCCCTTCAGGCTCTTCAACCAAAGCGGCAGATCTCTGCCCGTCAAGAAACGAAGGACGCTCATCCGACACGACCCCGGCTGCCAGGGCTACCACTCCAACCGGTTCTGCGGACGACGACCGATCTGCAGCAACTGCGGAAGACCTTCCGATTCACACGAAACGGGACCCTGCATGGCCAGGCCCCAATGTGCCAACTGCTGCGGCCCCTTCCAAGCCAGCCACACAGACTGCCCAGCGAGGCCCTCGGCCGTAAACGGCGTCGTCTCCCTTCCCGGTCGAAAGGAGCGGGCTCGGATCCGGAAGGCCGGCCAGAAAGCATCGGACACTCTGTACAAGGCTACTCGATCCGACAGTAGCCAGGAGGCGGCAGGCGTCCCTACCTCCACCAGCCAGAACCAGCAACCCGGCGCCAAGCGCGCGCGCACGAGAACGCCCTCCGCAAGCTCGATCGTTTGCCTCGGTGACGGAAGCACTGACAGCAGCAGCATGGATGAAGACGAGGCGGACGAAGGCGAAGGCGAAGACTCCCCCGACAACACCTCCATCGACCGTCCCGTGCTACCCATGCCAAGCAGGAGCCAACGGGCAGCACAGAAGCCAAACTACAACGTCGCGAATGCCTACACCCACCTCGAACTCGACTCGGAGACGTAAGCCGAGAGCGGCGACCCCACGGATGCTACGCGTTGCGCAGGGCAACGTCGGAAAGATCTCCCCGGCGCACACGGCTTTCCTGCAGCTCTGCTGGGAGGCTCAGATAGATGTGGTCCTCGTCCAGGAACCCTGGACGGGCTGGAAGGACGGAAACGTGCAACTGAACACGCACCCGGGTTTCGACTCTTTCGTCCCGGTCGACTTCTGGGACAGCGAAGGAACCAGACCAAGAGTATTGACCTACACACGCAAAGGGATAGGGATGACGGTGGAGCAGCAGAGGCCTGTCCACACGAGAGACGTACTGTGGCTGGTGGTCGACAAAACGACGACTATCGTCAACGTGTACAGACAACCCCGCGACCCCCACAGCCGCACAACAGGGATACTGCTAGAACTCAAACCCCCGGAGCGAGCTTTGATCGCGGGTGACTTCAACGCGCATCACTACTCTTGGGAGCCCGGGACGAGGAACGGGAACCGGGGAGATGACATCGCAGGCTGGGCAGACGGCCACAATCTCTCTCTTATCAGCGAAGTTGGGGTGGCAACCCAGGATTGCGGACATGTCCTGGACCTGGCTTTCTCTAATATCCCTTTTGCGCACGCGCAGGTCAGCCCACAGCTACACCCGGGAGCTGACCACGAGGCCATCGTGGCCGTCATACCACTACTCAAACGCCCAGTGTCACAGGGAGAGGGCCACCCGCAGCCACGGCCACTGTCAGTGCCCGACTCGGCGCTGCCTCGGCTGAGAGACCTGATCGAAGGGGGGCTAGCTGCGATGCCCAATCTGGGGGATCAACCTACTCCGGAAGACCTGGACGGGCAGGCAAGTCACATCGTCGAGCTCTTCTCCCGAGCCATTGAGGCGGTCGGCAAGAAGAGAGGAAAACATGGTAAAGGCGCGGCTTGGTGGACGGAGGAATGCGCAGAGGCCCACAGAGCATACCGTGCTGCCCGCAACCAACAAGCCTGGGAGACGGAGCAAGATGCGCACCTTTATCTAATGGAGAAACGAAAGGCGTTCCTGAGCACGGTGAGGAAGGCTAAGCGAGCATACTGGGCCGGAAAGATCGATGGAGTCGCTTCAGACCGGGACCTGTACCAGATCATGGGTTGGCGGAAGGCGAGCCTACTGACCAGAGCACCCCCATTGGTTGTGGACAACCAGACGATCGAGGATACTAACGAAAAGGCTCAAGCGCTTCGGGGAGCCCTTCTCGACAGGTTTAGTGCGGAAGATGACGCACCGGGTGACCCGTTTGACGTACCCGTCGTCCCGAGGCGAGCGATTACTTGGCAGGACAATGTTAGCGGAGAAGAAGTGAAGACGGCCACCTTAACAAAGACAACGACCCCTGGTGTGGACGGCATCACAACACGCCTCCTCCAGGCATGCTGGGATGTCATCTCGGAACCGGTCAGGCAGCTATTCCAGTCCTGTATGCGGGCCGGCCACTTTCCTCTGCCCTTCCGCAGAGCTGAGGTGGTCATGATCCAGAAGGCCGGCAGGGATGCCTCCAAGCCCGGGTCCTGGCGGCCGATCGCGCTCCTCTCGTGCCTGGGCAAGGGACTAGAGCGACTGATAGCCAGAAGGATGGCGTCCCTGGCGATTGTCGAGCGCATCATCAGTCCGCAACAGATCGGGGCTCTACAAGGCAGGTCAGCCGTCGATCTGACGACCTGCCTCACCCACGACATCGAGATGGCCCTCCTAAAAGGACTCACGGCGACACTTCTGACTATGGACGTAAAAGGGGCGTTCGACTCCGTCCTTCGGAACCGGCTCGTCATTAGACTGCGTCAGCAGGGATGGCCACATGGCCTGACCAGACTGATCTTTAGCTTCTGCTGCAACCGCACCGCTAGAGTCCGACTGGAAGAAAGCACAACGGAGTACTTCCCGCTGTCATGCGGGCTGCCTCAGGGGTCACCACTATCTCCCATTGCCTTTCTGCTCTACATCGCAGAGATACTTGAAGACGACCCGAACGCGCGATTCGGGTACGCGGACGACATCGCCACTCTGGCCATCAGCCCCTCCCTGGAGAGCAACGTCGCAATACTCAACCGAAGCGCAGCCGGCATTCTCAGATGGGGCTTGGAGAACAAGGTCTCCTTTGACCCGAGCAAGTGCGAGGTCATCCACTTTACTAGGAAGCACGGCCAGCCAGCGGAGCTGCCAGAGGTCCGGGCGGGGGATTTGGTGGTCAAGGCCTCGACGAAACCTGTACGCTGGCTGGGTGTCTGGTTCGACAAGAGACTGTCCTTCCGGCACCATGTCGACGCAAAAGTAGCTGCAGCAAAGAGGGCAGCTCAACATCTGAGACAGCTTACGAACACAAAGAGGGGACTCCCAGCGGCCGCCGTGCGAAAAGCCGTCGTCTCCTGCGTACTGCCGATCGCGCTCTTCGGCGCCGAAACATGGTACGCAGGTATCACGAAGCCGGCTTCGAGACGCCAAGCGGAGACAGACACGAATCCGCCTCTCCAAGGAAGACCCGTCAACACAGGCCAAAAGGGGCTCGTGCAGAAGATCGACAGCGTCATTACAGCGGCAGCAAGGGCCGTTCTGCCTGTCTGGAGGACAACGCCAACCAGTAGCCTCCTCCGAGACGCCGGCTTACCGTCAGCCAAAGTCGCCTTAGAGGGCGTCCGCTTACGGGCCGCAGTCCGACTACAGAGGATTGATCGCCGACACCCGCTAGTCGCGCGGCTCTCCCAGCAGGGACAGCAACAGACGAGACTACAACGGACGGCTGAACTTCTGCCAAGATGCGGAAGACCAGCGTTCCTTCAATCACAGTACCTGCCAAGCTCACAGGATCAGATAGTAGTTCAATGCAAAGAAGAGGCTGCGAAAGCTTTCGAGCGCTGGCTAAAGACAGTACCGGAAAGCCATATGATCGTCTTCTCGGACGGCTCCAGGGCGACGAACGGAGCCGTGGGGTACGGCTTCGTCATCTACCGAGACTCCAAACGCATAGCACAAGGGTGCGGCCGACTCGGACTAGCAGAAGTGTTCGACGCCGAGGTCGAAGGGGCGCGAACCGGCCTCAGAAGGGCTCTGCTCACCAATCGCGGTCATCCAATCCACATATGTATCGACAACACCAGCGTTATACAAGGCATCCGCGGCAAGGCGCCGGACTCGTCACAAGACGCGTTCCTCGAAATCCAAGAAGCGGCCAGGATATTTGATATACGGACGCACTGGTCCCCGGGACACCAGGGCATCGAAGGAAACGAGGCCGCGGACCGGCTGGCCAAAGAAGGAACGACACTGCCGGCGCGGATGGGTCAAATGGCAACACTAGCGGGCATCAAGCGGCTTGCAAGGGAAAAATTACAAAGCCAGCACAGGAGATGGTGGTATAAAGAGCGAAGGCCGCGGTACGCGGACTTGGGGCTTGAGGCAGCTCTGTCCAGCCCTCCTGAACTGGCCTTGCCGCGGGCTACGTTACATCACCTGCTGGCGGCACGATCGGGTCACGGGGACTTCGAGCAATATCACCGACGTTTCAACCACGACGACGCTCTAATGATGTGCTCTTGTGGAGAGGCGAAAGACGTGGACCACCTGGTCTACTGTCGACTAACGCTGGCGAGGAGGCAACGGTGGCCGACCCTCCACTCTCGCAGTATGCCCGAGCCCATAGGCCCTATGGGATCTCTCGAGGCCTACTTCAAGAGATTAATCACCGACCCACGAGGCTTCGAGGCCTTTCTCCGCGTGACGGACTTCTTCCAGAAGATCTGTCTGCGGTAGCAGCATCCACACCTACGTAGATGTGAGTGCGGACTACAAAGAACCTCCCGATTCCAAGGGACGATTTGGGAAAGAATGAAACTGGGGCACCAGCGGGAACCGGGGACAGACAGAACGCGTAGTGGCCACAAGGCATGATTTGGAGGACGATGTAAAGAGACGACGTACTGTAGAGTAGGTAGCCTTGGCTCACGGCCCTCCACGCCATATACCCTTCGGGAGGTCTGCGGTAAGGGCTCTAGCCCGGCCGCCACGGCGTTAAATACAACAACAACAACAACAACAACTACCGTGTGTATTGCTAATATGTAAATACCTCGCCAAATCTCAATCCTGTCTACCTGAACCGTTTCTTTGGCAACCAAGGTAAAGGAAACATGTATCTTCCACATTATTTGTCAAGTCCTCCGGCCTCACGGACGGCCGACTGTGCATTATTGGCATGAGAACCAGTCTCAATCATCCTGGCTACCTCCGCATCATCATGCGGCGCCCTCACCTTACCGACGGTCGTGAAATCAGACCGCGGCCGCTTCACAATGATACCCTCTCTCGCCTCGCCCAACGCGCCACCAACACCAGCCTGCCCCGTTCGCAACGCGGCAAGCGACTTGTGGCGCTCCGAGAGGAGCTCGTCCTCGGCCTCCCAGCTAAGTGAGAGCAGCGCGTTCTCCTTGGGCCGGACGGCTGGGTGGGTGAAGAGAGACAGCACGCAAGGTCTCTCGCCGCTGGTCTCGGTGTTGCGGCCCGTGCCGTGCCAGATGCGGCCCTCAAAGATCATGGCGGTACCGGCGGGCGCCTCGCAGGCGATTGTGCCCTCGCTGGTGAAGACGTTTCGGGGGCGGACGTTCTTGTTGTGTGAGCCGGGGAAGATGCGGGTACCGCCGTTCTTCTCGGTGAAGTCGCACAGGAGCCAGGAGATGTTGAGGGCACAGGGCTTGGTGCGGCCGTGGCCCATGATGCCTTGGTCCCAATGGAGGACCTGGGGCATGCCGCCGGGGCGGGCGATGTTGATCTGTCATGATAGCCTTAGTATTTTGTCCCTTTTCGTGAGAAGGAAGAGTGCTTACGTTGTAGGACCACAAAAGGGGGTTGTTGCAGCCGAGGTACCACGGCACGACCTCATCGATCAGGGGGTGGTTCAGCAGGTCGAGAAACTCCTCTCCCTTGTTGAAGATGTTCCAGATGCGCTGATTTGGCTTCTTCGGGCCTCCGTCAAACGTCGCCACGCCAGCATTACGTTCACCAGCTGCCTGCTCCTGGGCACCCTTCTTGAGAACGGCGACTTGCTCGGGGGTGAGCGCGTTTTTCATCAGACCATAACCCCACTTTCTCAAGTCACGCTTTACCTGCTCGATATCCTCCGTCGGCTTGGGCAGCTCGTCGAGGTTCAGCTCATCCTTTGTCGTCGGGGCATCCGTGGGGTTCGGGGTGATGAGGTCTGCGAAGCGGATGGCCAAGGGGTAGTCACCCTTTGTGGGGACGGCCGACATGAAGACGGCGGTCTGCGGGTCATCACGGCCCTCAACCAGGTCTTCGAATCGCTCCGGACGCCATGTGAGCTCAAAGGCAGGCTCGGCGACGTCGGTTGGTGCCGAGTCGAGGAGCTTGACTGGGCTGGAGCGGGCATCGACGTAGACGGGGTCCGGGTCCGTGAAGTCGCCTTCGGCAAAGGTGACCTTGGCCAATACGTTGAGCTCCTTGAATGCCTAAATTCCGGTCACCCATAGGTTAGTCAAGATGGCTCCTCCAATGGCTGGCTTATTCGTGGAGTTATTACCTGTAGCTTATCGGCAAGGATCAGCCGTGCGAGGTTGCTCTGTGCTGTGAAGCGCTGGGCTTTGTTTCCGTAGCTGACGGAGCTGAAGTCAAGGGCCCCGAGGGGCTTGGAAGGTGCTGGCATAGACATTTTTTTGAGATAGATGCTGAATTGATGCTCGAGGATGGTAGGATGATGAGAAGTGCAGATGATTGAAAAATGATATATGTTTTGTCACTGCTGGGAAAGCCCAAACAGTTATATGTACAGAATCAGCGATACTGCTAGGATGAGAGTATATGCTTCATGTCTGGGCATGTCGCCTCGCAACTCTAATCGAGTTGTTGTTGAAGCAACGCCATACGTGAACGAAGCGTTACGGACAACAGCATCGTAGACTTTGACCGATGCCGTGCTCGCGTAGCTGCGCCGGGCCGTCGTTGCGAACAGAGTTGCAACCTTTCTCAACGTCGGTTCCCCTCAGTTTCTCGGTCTCGGTCTCGGTCTCAGTTGTTTTACATGATTAAGATTGGGCTTGACGTCGTACTCCCCCACAAAAACCCTGGGGTCGCTGAACTCAATTCTAATCAGCCAGCAAACCCGTAAGAGAATCTGGATTACATTTGAAGAAGGGCTGTGTAGGCACAGCTGGAAGGCATCAGTTCGTAAGGGCCCTATAAAAGGTAGATAATCAACGTAACCCCCTGCTAGTGTCAAGGATTTAGGATAGATTACACTAAAAACCTTCGTGCGGGATGCGATGATTAGCCTCTTGGCTGCCACTCTGCCTACTTCTAGTCGTTGCTTATTTGTATTATTGTTGCTAACAACTTGTATCCATACCTCGCTCTCGCACTCTATCGGCGGCCGGGAAGCATATTAGAGCTCGGTACCACAGTAGCTGGGAGCTTGGTGCACCTCGCCTCGTCCCTGCGCCCCCTTATCCCCCCGACGCTAGATCGCGCGAACTTAAGTGCGCCGGACGATACCGCGGGCGGCGGCAGTTGAAGCACCGCTCCGCGGCGTGGCGTTCTTGGGTTCGGGCAGTAAAGGTCCCCGGGCCGTCCGGGGTGGATTCCGGTGCACGCCGTACAAGGAAGCTTTCCGCCGAGTCACTCGCTCGGCGGGACTAGTTGGTGGGCACTGAAATTCGTCAGTGGACTGTGCCTAATGGGTTTCTGCCATAATTGTCGTTCGGGTCGATGGCAATCTTTCCTGCTTGATTCTTTTGGTCTTGCTTGGAAGCTAACAGGTATTAACCGTCGTTGAGTATTAGCCTTGAAGACTTTTGTAAGATACTCACAATGTCCCTCACACAAAAAGAATACACTGCGGAATTTCGGTTGCACGCTGATCGCCTGTGTCAGTTTCGGTGTGACGTGTATGCGTGAATAAAGTAGGGATGACACTTGGTAATTAGACATTTCCCCAAGGAGATCTGTAGTCCATCGAGTTCAAGCACCGCCACATGAAGAGCACCCAGCTCGGATGAGCCCCATGAGGATATTTGCCATAGCAGTGGCTTAGGAGATGAAAGGTAGGGAAATCTTCTACTTTTCCATGCACATCTTGGACTTAGTTAGTTAGTAAACTCGCTCTCGTGACTCGTCTTCGCTCTCGCGTCCCCTGTCTTCAGCCACACGTAGAGCTTATTGCGACCCCCATTACCACCATTTCCTAACCAATGGTCTTGCGCAGCTTACGCGACTCAACCGCGATCCGCGGCCTCGTCTTCGTCTTCGCCATAGCACCCGGGTAATAGTCGACATAATCTCAACCCAACCCAATGAGGCGCAACTAAACTCTGGAGCGGTTGTTCGGCATCGAAATGCCTAGTCTGCAAAAGACATGGCTCATGACCTAGGTAGGATGCGGGTGAGGACTTATGCGTAGACGGCAAGGAGAACATTGACAGGACTATATCTTGTTTTATCTCCCGACTTTCTGATATCATCACTTTCCTCACCTGAAACTCAAACCTTCTTCAAGTTTGTTTATCTTTGCAGCTCTTGGCACTCTGCACGGCAGATACTGAAAATGGTACAAAACAACTTGGTACGGGCGCTTTCTGCGCTTAAGTTTGCAGTTGGTGCCATCGCTACGAATAGTTCATGCAAGTGTGTAAGTTTATTATTCCCGCCAAGATGGATCAATCCAGCGTACCAGGTCTTCGTCTTAGATGGACTAACACAAGGCCGTTTCGGACGGCGATTTGAAACAGGCACCCAACGACGCTTGCTGGCCATCTACAAGTGACTGGCAGCAGTTCAACACTACGCTCTCGGGGAAGCTCATTGCAACCAAGCCAGTCGCTATTTCTTGTCATCCCGGTCCTGACTATGACGCGACTCTGTGCGCCAGCATCATGGTGGACTGGTATAAGGGAGAATGGATGTCCTCTCACCCCGTCGGTCTGGACTACCCCCTGAACATCACATGTCCTCCCGTCCAGTCTCCATCGAACTCGACCGCCACAGCAGGTGCTTGTACTTTGGGGACCAACCCCGTATATGCCGTCAACGTGACAGAGACCGACGACATTGTCGCCGCCCTGAAGTTCGCAGAGGAGAAGAATCTTAGAGTCGTGATCAAGAGCACCGGGCACGACGTCCTCGGCCGCAGCGATGGCTTCGGCGGCTTGGAGATTTGGCTCCGCTACTTCCGCAACGGCATCACCCCGCAAACCTCGTTCCAGTCCTCCACTGTTTGTGCGGCATCAGGATGGACCGGCAGTGCAATGAAGCTCGCCGGCGCCTACATGTGGGGCGAGAGCTATGCGGCAGCAAAGGAAAACAATGTCGTCGTTGTGGGCGGAGGAAGCTCGACTGTCTGCAGCACGGGAGGATGGATGCAGGGCGGCGGCCACGGCCCGGCCAGTCACACTTTCGGTCTCGGCGCCGATCAAGTGCTTGAGGCCGAGCTAATCCTCGCCAACGGCACCGCCGTCACGGTCAACGCTTGCCAGCATCAGGATTTGTACTATGCCATTCGTGGCGGAGGTCCCAGCTCCTACGGTGTTGTTGTGTCCACCACGGTCAAGACGTATCCGCAAGTCACCGTGGCTGTTCAAAACCTGCAGTTTGGTGCACCTATCGGAACTTCCAAGGCCGCTTTCCTGGACGCGCTCGCAACTCTCTACACATCTATTCCGGAGCTCGTGGAGGCTGGCTTTGCTGGCTACAGCCACTGGCAGGTCGACGGACAGTCTGCCTCCTTCAACAACTACACCACGACGTACGAACACTCCATCTATGTCTTCAACAAGACCGCTGCGGAGGCCGAGGCCGCGGGCAAGAGCCTTCTCGACAAGATTTACAAGTTCAACGACACCCTCTTTGTCAACTCCAGCTATGTGGCTTTTGACGACTACTGGACCTTCTTTGAAAAGGTCAGCGCCGATAACAACCCCGTCGGCCTCATGGCCGCCTCTGGATCTCGCCTCCTCGACACGGAGGCCGTGAGCAATCTCACAGCCGTTCGCTGTCTGGTCGAGACCCTGGCCGGAAAGACAGGCGAGTACGTCACAAACGTTATCTCCATCGTCTCAGGAGGCCAGGTCTGGGCCGATGCCGCTCAGGAGTACTCCGCCGTTCTGCCCGCCTGGCGTACCGCCGTTTTGCATCAGTCCGTTGCTCGCATTCTCAGTGCTGGCGTCAGCGATGCTCGCTTCAAGGAGGTCCATGACGACGTCACGTTCAACAAGATTGGCGCTATGAAGACTCTTGCCCCCAACATGGGATCGTACATGAACGAGGGCGACGCCTTTGACCCGGATTGGAAGGTCGATTACTACGGTGCAAACTACAACAGACTTCAGTGTATCAAGGAGTACTACGACCCTGGCGAGCTCTTCTACTGCCCGGCTTGTGTGGGAAGTGATAAGTGGGAAGAGGACTTCGTTGGGCGTTTGTGCCGCGCGTAGTTGGATAAGATGAAGAATCTACATCACATTCTGGTGTACCCATACATCTCCGGTGCACAACTGATGACAAAGAGAGACCTAAACTTCCAATTCTGAATCAATAGACTTTCAATAGACTTTCAATAGACTTTCAATAGACTTTCAATAGACTTTCAATAGACTTTCAATAGACTTTCAATAGACTTTCAATAGACTTTCAATAGACTTTCAATAGACTTTAATCACCAACACTTGAAACTTCACGAGACTTATTGATGCGTATTATCACGTGAATTTGTATGGCTCTACGGAGTGGATGAGTACGGCGAAGCTCACTTTTTATCAACCGGTGAATCTGTACGAGAGACGCATCATCTGTGAACGGAATTTTAAAGCTTCAGAACTGCTCGAAAAACAAAGATGCTACTACATCCTATCCCATCTGTGAATTTGACTGTGTTCCATTAAAAAATTGTATTAGTAGGTAGTGATCTTCCCACCAGCTTGCAGTGATTGGAGGCGATCTTCAGATACTTCAATGTTCTTATCACTCCATATAAAATGGGGGTTTGAATTGACGTATTATGTAGTGAGAACAGAGCGAAGCCTCAGTTGACGTAAGGCTAAGATGTTTGCCGTTCAGAGGGATTGTTGCTTGACGAGATTCTCAAGAATCGAAGTTCACAATACTCTTGAGGGACCATGGCATAGAGTATCTTGGTAATGGTTTACACATGTTTCTATCTAGCGACTCTATGATAAACATTACGCACTAAATAGTGTTTTGAGTATGTACGAGACGGAAACGATTAAGTCCCATCCTCGAAAGAACTCGTAAGGGCTTCATGCTTGGCAAGTATACTGTATGTGAGCCCATACATAATGACAAGATACTTAGTTGATAGTAGTCAGAGAGATGAACGGGTGTCTAGAGCAAGAAAGAGTCAGGGTGGTCGTTGATGAACTGCATAGCCTCAACACGCCAGTCATCCCTGGTAACATCAGGCCCGCTCTCCTTGAAGTTGAACGTCTCCAAGCCCTCCTCAGAGTACCTCGGCCACTCAGCAAAGTCCAGACCATGGTTGTTAGGGTCCAGAGTGCGGATGAAGGAGATAGCAGTGGCCTGGTAAGCCTGGGTATTCTTGCTCAAAGCATACGGCAGACCAGCAAACATGTAGAACCACACATCGAAAGCATGGAATGAACCCAGCACGGGCAGGTGCGTCAAGAGGCCTAGATCCGGCAGCAGGCCCGCTGACGGGATGCTCACGTCAGTGACGTAGTTCCACACGGTCTGATCCGAGACGTTGTAGTGCGCAAGGAGATTACGGCGCTGCGCCTGAAAGCTGAAGTCGCCCACCACGGCAGCCAAGCGCTTGAAGTTGGGCGTGACGGCGTTGAGAATGCCTGTGTTAAAGGGGGAGCCCTTGGTAATGTCTGCAGGGTAAAGCTTCATGAGGCCGGCCATGTCGGCGTCGGATGCCTTGGGCCACCAGATTGTCTGGAAGTAGTTGGCAAAGTCCTCATCTGAGAGAGTCTCGAGCTGGGCGAGAAGAGAGAAGAGGGTGCCCTCATCGCGCATATCGCCGGTGATCAGTGGCACCGAGGCCATCTTGCCGGCTGCGGCGAGGCGGTGGGGAGAGTCCTTGAGGTGCTTCCCGTCGGGACGGAGGGTCCATGTCGAGGCAAGGGAGCGAGGCCCAAGGACTAGTTGAAAACATCATGTTAGCAGAGTACCTTACCAAGACACAACTCACATCGAGAATGAACTTACGCATTCCCTCCTCGTTGACCGAGGCCATGATATCATCAAAGTCAGCAACCTTCAGGCAAGCAATCTTGTCCGATGCACTCGCACACCCAGTCCTCTCAACCATGTGATCAAAGAAAGGCTGGGCTCGTTCGGCACTCTCAACCATGACCGGACCTCCTGACAAGGCCATGGCGCCGCGGAATAAATCGGTAGCGCCCTCGCCCTCGTCCCAGAGCAGATGTGCAACAACAGACCAGCTACCAGCTGACTCGCCCATGATGACGACCTGATCAGGGTCACCACCAAAGTCAGCAATGTGCTCCTGCACCCACTGCATGGCGACCCGTTGGTCCTCGAGACCCAGGTTGAGAAGGCCCGCCTCTTCCATCTCGCGTGAAGCAGAGAAGCCAAAGGCATTGAGGCGGTAGTTCGCCGAGACGCCAATGATGGGTTGGCCCAGATCGACCGAGGTCCGGACAAGGCCGCCAACATTGTAGTTGAGCAACTCGCCGCGGATCACGTCCGTTTCGCTGGTGTCGGTGAAGGGGCTGCCGACCTCGTAGCCGCCGCCATGGATCCAAATTACCACGGGCAGCTTGTCGCCCTTGGTGGCGTCCACCGGGGTCTGGACATTGATGAGGAGGCAGTCTTCGCTGCGAGTTCGGCCTATGGTGTTGAAAACCGTATCGGCGAGGGCGCCCACGATGGGACCGATTTGCGTGCCAAGTTTGCCCAGGACCAGACTGCTGTTTGAGTCAGTGGTCAAGATCGAGGTCGTTGTCTTTTGCGGGCAGATTGGGCCATAGTCGCTGGCATCAAGGTCACCTAGCTGCTCCGTGTAGAGCTGCGAGTGCTCAAAGCGGCCAGCTGAGGCGAAGGGGATGCCTTGGGCGAGTTAGCAATGTCACTCTCGGCAATCCGTTTCAGTACCCCTGTTAACTCATGAAAACGTACCTAAGAACTCCTTGATATTCGCGTTTACACGCCCGGTGATGTTGGCATAGCTGATCTCGACCTTGGGGTTTAAGGTTTCACGGGATGTGATGGGCTTTGCGGCGACAAGGGCAAAGTGGGATGCCGCAAGGAGGGCTGTGAGCCCAGTCCATTTGGACGACATGATAGATCAGTGAAAAGGGTGACAGATGTGATTAAGGAGTGTAGGTCAGAGTTGAATGCTCAACTCGTCAGTTGGATATCGAGTAATGCAGAAACGGAACAAAACGAGTGAAGCCGCAGAGAGCAAAGATTGAAGCTGCTTCTTGCAGGACGCTCACGAACCCTTGGACTCAAGGGGCGCGGTAGTTGTATTCTACGAACTCAATCTGATCCCCCAATACCCGTACACCGAGCATTCCGGACCCTCACTGCTTCAATTGCGATCATCCTGAGAAGTGCCAAAGAAGTCTTGAAAGGACGGAACATGCTCCGTCCTGCTATCTTTCCAACCCCAATTGACAAAAGTGTTAGGGTCGTGAGGCTACAGAGATGATTTTAGCTAGTCATGGCTAAAGCTCAAGAAGAAATGTTTGGTGACGATCAACGCTGCTCCATATCCTTGATGGAGTTGAGTCTGGAGACTGGGGGCTTCTGGTTTAATATGTTTTCTAAGTTTTTGAGCAGTTCAAATTTTATTTTACCCCTTTTGATCTATACCCATGGAGTATTGCCCAACGTGGACGCCGATCACTGAATCTGGCTGATACCCCTCTCAGGTCGATATTGGGCGGTGTATGGATGTCATCGCCGCCGCGCCGGCCTTGATTTCTCCGAAAACTTTCCCAAAAACTCTCTGGAGTTCGGACCAGGGGCCGGCATATGGAAGATTCAGCACTGCATGCCTCTCAAGATGAGAACCAAGATGGGTCCTTGTCCCCTTATCTCGATCTCTAGGGAGTCTATGACCAGTTCATCTGGTAGTAACCACGCATCGGGAGCCGATGGGATGTCGATTCCTTTTTGTAAACCCCTTATCCGAGCATTCAACATCGCAGGGGATCATGTCGACCCCTGGCTGTCATTCTACGAGGGTGGACCACGCGGCACCGGGATGCCGCCGATATTGAAGTCGGGAACAACAGGCCTCCGTGGATGACAAACAAAACTTTCTCATGAGCACGGACGTGACTTAGGCCATGGGTTTGAAACCTTCTCCACGTGTTCATGCTCGAATGGGACAAGAGATGCCAAATCTGACACAGAAAAAATGTTACCTGCTTGTAGTGAATGTGGTCCCACCACGTGAGGGCAGGCAGAGCAAAACACCAAGTGCGAGACAGAGACGATGTGTTAGGATATGACCAAAGCTGCTCGAAAATGGTCCAAAACAATTATTCTTAAGGGCGAGATATATCGCATTCTAACTAAGGTATCTTCCAAGTTCCAATTTCCTCCAACAATATCGTGTTCCGCGTTCATAGACAAAGAGAAAGGCTATCATCAGTAGAAATACAACAAATTACATGGTATCTGATAACACCTAAACATGCTGCCTCTCCTTCCGCTCCTCCTCCCACGTGACGTCTCTCTGGACAACAATCGTATCCATGGGCAAGTCCTCGCCGAGAACGTCACGCTTGTCGCTGGTGGCCCCAGAAACCGAGTACTTCATGCCGCTGCCGTGGTGTAAGTACTCCTCAGAATCGTTACCGGTAGTCAGACGCTCGTGGTTCGCGGAGCGCTTGAAGTTGTGAGAGACCCCGGGGCGCGAGTTACCTCCAGTACCTCCGAAGGTTGCGGGGCCGCCCGAGACCTGGTTGGACTTCTGGTCCCGGGTCGACCACGGCGTGCCGTAACGGATCCTGCGGTATACCGGGACGAGAGTGACGGCACAGGCGCCGATGATGGCGATGTAGATCTCCACGACGGTGGCGGTCCACATGAGAGCGTATTGCTCTATTTGAACGAGTTAGCGCGAAATGGTTTATGGTTGAAGAAGATGGGGTGTTTACGTACGTGTCATGTCTGTTACGCCTATTGAGTAGAGGGAGGCTAACGAGCCGAACCGCACGAGACTAGCAACCACCACACTGTCTCACTTGTTAGATCGTGCCCACAGACGCATGTTCGAAAATTTTCGAGATCTACTCACAGACTGCCTAGCGCGAAAACGCAGCAGATGCCGATTCTCTTGCTCGAGCTAACCTGTAGCTTCATGGTCTCACGGATCGGGAGCAGAAGCGTCAAGATGTCGATGAGACTGTTGGCGATCGAGTTACCGACAAAGTAGAGAATCAGGTCGATGCAGGTACCCGCGCCGGGGTTCGTCGTCTGTTCCCACGTGTATGCGAGCGGGCGGCACTGCAAGCAGTTCGTGATCAAGATGGCGATGAGCCAGCCGATGCATGCCGCTGAGATCGTGTAGATGCCCTTTTGCATGAACGGCGTGGGGAAGACGCGCCAGTAGAAGGCCAGTAGAGACAACTTGATCAAGGGCGAGGAGAAGCCGTAGCAGAACTCGGCGACGACAACGCACTGTAGCAGCGTTAGTTTCTCACGGTTTGACGTCCTGCTGTAGAATCAAGAGCTGCATCTAACCTTCAAGAACGTAATCAGCTGATTTGGGTCTTCAGCCATCACATCAACGATGCTTCGTCCCAAGCCGCCGTGAACCGTAGCCTCGATAGTGGTGGCGCAGAAGGCATGGTTGATGATCAGACTGACCAGCGCCAGCCAGTCGTCGAGACCCCATCCCAAACCCGTGAGCTTTCGTGCCCAGAATCGTCCGACACAGGTGATGGTGGCTATCACCGCAAGAATGACATTGATGGCGATGATTGCGGTATCCGTGTGCGCCCCATTGCTGCTCGTCGTTGTTGTCGTCGAAGCCATTTTTTATCCAAATCGTCCCTGGTATGACCTGAGTCGTGTATCTGGTCAAGGAGAATGACCAACAAGCCCAACCAACAACTGTCAAATATGATGACCAGAGCAGGAAGGTGTCGACTGTCGCGGGCACAGGTGGGAGGGATTGTTTATGCACGATGAAAGCTCCTTTGGTGGTCCTCCGGGGGCAGAACCAAAGTCCAGTCTCGATCCTTCGTATGCCGGGTGCGCCCCTCGCCGCGCCCCGTTGATAGACATCAGTCTAGCATCAGTCTAGAATGGCCAAAATTTGGAAACATGTCGTAATGCCTGTGCCCCAGTGTGGTGCCGTCGGACTCTCAACACTGCGAGCGAACTGCCCGTTGTAGGCTTGCAAAGTCGCAGACGGGCCAGTGTCACGCATCCTACCCCAGCTGCCGGCCTTGAAGAGGACTACTTGCCGGTGCCGGGATACGTTTGTTACTTGGAATTGCGAGTCATGTGACGCCCACTATCCGTGCTACTAGACTCCATTCAACTGTCCACCCCAACACCACACTCGAACGAAGGACATGACTCGCCAAGACCCCCCCATGAGTCCACCATCACCAATTGCTACCCTATCAAGACGTATCAAATCGCTGGCTTCTTTTCAAGTGCTGTTTGGCCGAGATTGAATTTGCATTGAGAACTGGATCTAGGCGGGGCCGCGTAGAGGAAACCTCGAGTCTTCAACCAGGTCCAGGTCGGACGGATTACTCCCCAAAATGTCGAACTTCACCCCTGGATGCCGGAGTCTAGTCCCGAACTCTGAAGAAATCGCGGATCGCGGAAACAAAAAACATGCAGAGTTTTTCATGGGGTTTTGCTGCCCCCCAGCAAATTGCCTTCTCGAATGGGGAAAGGAAAGACGAACTCTGCCTGAACTGTATCATTGACGATCTGTCGTGGCATGTATTAAGCGGACTTATCCTTTGCTCGGTATATCAAACCTGGCTGACGAGTTCCCCTGACTGCTTCCCCTTTTGTGACCCTGGTGATCGGCATAATCGTACCGAGGCTCTCATATACTCACTCGAAATCTCTGTAACTCTGTAACTTTCCACCGAAATATTCACTTCTTTTCGACGTAGTTACACGGCGATCACTCACGATGGCCGGCACTCAAGGGGGAAGTTTTCCCATCCTCTCATACCAACCTATAAGAATCTTTTATCAGATCTTCGGCGCCCTCTTCATCCTCTTCCCCTGCTTGCCGGTATGGGCCATCAAGGCCTTGATTCCATCCTGCCGGCCTCATCCGAAATGGGGCTTCAAGCAGGCCCTCATGGCGCGCTTGACGCGAAGCATCGTTGATCTCTACTCAAACGTGGGCATCACCGAAACGCATACCCTCAAGCCAGGCAAGGAGGGCGACCGCTTCCAGACCGCCGACCCCTTCCCTTCAGATCTCTACCTCGGCCCTCTGGCCTCGAACCCTGACGTTAAGCCCACCACCGTGGGGGGTACCTGGTTCCCAGCCAAGCCCGATGTCGAGAAGGGCTTTGAAGGCAACGTGGTTCTGCAGATTCACGGCGGCGCCTTTGTGCTGGGTGACGGCCGCACGGGATACTGCGGCTTCATGGCAAACACGCTCATCGAGAAGGCCGGCGCTGGCGCCGTCTTTGCGCCTCAGTACCGGCTGTCTGGCTACGGCAGTGGCGCCGAAAAGGCTGAGAACCCCTTTCCCGCTGCCCTGCAAGACGTTCTCACCAGCTACCTCTATCTAACACGGACCCTCAACATCCCGTCCAACCGTATCGTGCTCTGCGGCGACAGCGCGGGCGGCAACCTCGTGATCGCGCTGCTGCGTTACCTCGACACCTACGGACCGGACCTCGGCCTCGCCATTCCCAGCTGCGCGGTGCTCATCGCCCCCTGGGTCAACCCCTTGGCCAGTCTCGGACCGGATTCAGTGTACAAGCAACACGAGCACTGGAGCACCGACTATCTCCCCGTTTCATTCCTGCGCTGGGGCGCAAAGGTGTACTCGGCCGGAGTTTCTGATGAGAACGTGCCTTACGTGACGCCTCTCGGTAATGCTTGGGGAACCAAGGTGCCTGTCTTCGTGTCCATGGGTGAGGCTGAGATCCTAGAGACGGACGGTACTGCGTGGTGCCGGCAGATGCAGGAGGCGGACAGCACCGTCAAGGTGTCTTATGAGGAGCACGCTGTTCATGATACACTGTTGATGGGCGCCATCATCGGCTGGACTGAGAGCGCCCAGGCTGTGGCGACGAGAATCGGAGAGTTCTTGAGAGAGGTGCAGAGTGGGAAGGTGTCTCAGGGGGCGGACGATGCTTGAAGATGAAGGACGTAGTAATATGTAGACAGATGTATGCGTAAGTATAAGAGTATTTAATAGTCAACAAAAGACCAAGTTCTGTACAAAGGCCTTTTTGTTTCGTGGTCAGTGATGAAGGCTTCCAGAAATGGACTCAGTTGAAAGGAACTGGAAGTCTCCACAGGGAGCAAGTTGCGGCGGCTTGAAATTGCGAAAGAACTTGCGCAGGCTCGAGTTATTAATAGTGTGTTTGAGTATTCATCAAAGTCATCATGAATTATGAGATATGTACATGTTGAAACTTGAAACGACGATCCAAAGTAAAATGTCGTGTTGTTCCCGGCTCCAGACTCAAATACGCAGAGAATCCCCGATCTCGTTCAAATACGCGATCGCCTCCTCACGATAGTCATCGGCCACAATTTCAGCGCCAGTTTCGCTCCACAGAATCGTTGACCTGCTAGTCGACTCGTACTGCGGCCAAGTAGGTACATCACTCATGTCGTGCTTGTTGGGGTCCAGGTTGTTGACAAACGCAATCAGCGTGCCCATCATGTGGCGGGAGTTGTTCGCCGGCAGCGTGCCAAAAAAGTTCAACACGACATCACTCGCGTGGAAGCTTCCAAGATACGGGATCGCCTCGAGCGCATCGGCATCGGCATAATCAGCCGCCGTGACGTCGCCTAGCGTCGCCGAGCCATCCAGGACCGCCGCGGGCAGCGCTTGGTCGACCTGATAGTTTCACTTGGTACCCGGCGCGGCATCAAGTAGCTGCCGTCGCTGGCTCTCGAAGCTGTAGTCACCAGTGATGGCCGAGATGCGCTTGAACTGCGTGTATAGCGCGTTGTTCTCGTCCGTGCCGAAAGGTGAGCCGGCCGTCTGGTTGGCCGGGTACAGCGTTAGAATCTGCTCGAGCTGCGCGTCGGTGGCGTTGGGCCACCAGGTTCTCAGGAAGTAGTCCATCACTTCGTCGTCGGTGGTGGTGCTGGCGGCGTTGATGAGCGAGAAAAGGGTGCCTTCGTCCCGCATGTCGCCCCAGAGAAGAGGAACGTTGGCGATGGCTCCCGCGCTCACCAGCTTGTCGGGGCTGTCTGTGAAGACCTCGCCATCGGGGCGGATGGTCCACGATGAGGCCAAGCTGTTATAGCCGAGGAAGTATGGCACCGTTTGCATGTGAGTGTAGATGTCATCGTAGGAGGCTTCCCTCAAGCAGGCGATCACGTCCGTGGCATCATTGCAACCAACGTAACTAGCCAGAGAGTCAAAAGTTTCCTGTTGTCTCTCAGGGCCATCAACCTTGAGCGGTCCGCCGGAGCTCCCAACAGCCGCCCGGAAGAGACCCTCGTTGTCGCCGTCGTTGGCCACGAGATGCGCAGCCACTGACCAACTGCCGGCGCTCTCGCCCCAGATAGTAACCTTATCGGCGTCACCGCCAAACGAGGCAATATGCTTGTGGACCCAGCGCAAAGCGTTACGCTGATCACCAAAGCCTAGGTTGAGCAAGCCAGCGGAAGCCAGCTCCTCAGAAGCGCTGAAGCCGAAGTGGTTCAACCGATAGTTGATTGAGGCCACGATGACGGGCTGTCCCATGGCAACACTTCGCTCGACAATGTTGGCAGCCTCGTAGACCACTCCCGGGTTTTCGACGTCGGCTTGCATCAGTGAGCCGCCCGCGCCAGCCTCGAAGCCGCCGCCATGTATCCACACTAGCACGGGGAGACCGGCGGTGCTGCTCGTATTCTGCGGCACGTGGATGTTGATCGAGAGGCAGTCCTCTCCCTGCTCTAGGGTCGACTGCGAGAGTGCGGCGACGAGGGTGCCGGATAGGCTGCCGAGGGGTAGCACGGAGGGATCGATGGAGGAGGGGAGCTCGTGCTGCGGGCAGACGACGCCGTAGGCTGAGACGTTTTGCACGCCGGGGACGACGGTCTCGGCTAGTACCGAGTGGTTAAATCTCGCGGCAGTAGCATAAGGAATCCCTAGCAATGACTGTAATTAGTATCGGGTCTGACATTCGAAAGGAGAGGAGACGAAGGTAGCTTACCAAGATAGTTCGATGTGCCGGTCCTGTCGTCGTTCCTGCCTTGGAACTGGGCATATGAGGTGTTGACGATGGGTGTTGAGTTTCCGACGAAAAGAGTGGCGCCGGTGACGATCTGAGTTGTTGCATGGCAAATGCCCACCGCCGAGGCGAGGACGGCAAGTTGTTGCAGCATGGCGTGAAAGAGTGGACGTCTGAGTTGGACAGACAGGACTTGGCCGGGGATGAGAAACTGAGAGCAGACTTGTCTTTCTGAGTGAGATAGAGGGACCTAAGGACGATATTTGAATACTCTAGCCAAGCCTCTCCCGCCGGGCCGTCATTATCCAAACTGTTCATGGCTTAATGCGAAGCCGATTCCGGGAGACCCGTAGGAAGTCCCGGAGGACTCCCGATGAAAACCCCCGATACAGATTCATTGACCGGACAGTGACGCAAGCCAGCGGTCTAAGCGGTCTAAGCGGCCTCCCACCACACATTATTGGAAAATTAGATTGCTATCGCGCTTTTATGCGTAGAATGCGAGGGGCTTTCATGACCATTCGACACGTGGGATAGATGAAATATTGAACTGGTGGGGTTATATGGGCAAAAGCCAGAAGGAGAACTGGAGCCGGTTCTAGACGTCGGAATAGTCCATGACTCGACTACCTTGCCCGAATCACCAACAGGGTCAATCCTTGTTACCACATGGGATGACAGTAGAGATGACGGCTCCATCATCACGCAGATTGCTGAATGCCCCTAGTAGCGGGGACACAGTCTACCAACCGGTACGGAGTACCTACGGATACAGAGTGGCTGTGGCGATTACTGGAAGTGTCTATGAATAGTCGTGAGAATCTCGTTAGCCATGGAAATCTCGTCACCAAACTGTCTTTCCTGTTCAAAGTTCTGATGCCATACATTACCACAAAGTCGGTGAGGTAAAAGTGGAGATTTGGAAGAATATGTCCTGCTATTGAATGAAGCAACTGGCATGATTATCACGTCTTCAATAACTTGCTTGTATGGTGTCACGAGTTATGGCAAACAGCATTGGGCATATGAAGTGGGTCACGAGTGGCTTGAACTTACCTATTTAGAATGAAGAAAAGAGAGGTAGTCTATATATTGAAGGGAAGTGATATCCACATGATAAAGCATGTGACAGAGTGCCTGATGAGTGTTGATACCATTACTGTTTCGTGAAATGTGGCCAGCAATGGTCATAGTTTGGCTCTGTTGTGACACTAAGACTCAACACGGCTCGAGCTTCTCTTCAACCTACATACTCGAGACGTATTAAGTCCGAGTTCGATGTGACGTGGTTCCGGAAATCAACATGATTTGCCTTTTCTCTCCCTGCTTTACATGCGTGACTCCCAACCTTAGATCTTTTCCCGCAACACTTCAATATAATGCCTTTCTATCTACAAATTGTCAATGTCGACCTCTGCGTTCTGTCGCCTGGCCACCGATACCTTTGCTGCACCACCCGAAGACAAAGAAAGACCAAACTCCTGAATCGTATGCTCATATCCACTTCCAAGCTTCCAATCGTACTTGAGCAACAAGTGGCAGAGGAGAACCTTGACCTCATTTGAAGCAAAGAACCTTCCAGGACATGCGTGCATACCGTGACCGAACCCCATATGTGCAGCCGACGTGCTCACCAGATGAGCCTTACTATCCATCTTGGGATCTCCACGCATTCGGATGAACCGATAGCCGTCAAATTCAAGAGGGTTTGGATAATTGTTGGGGTCCACCATTGAACCGAGGTCGGTTAGACATTGGTCCCCCTTCTCAAGTACCAGCCCATTGGAGAGCCTGACCTGGCCCATAGCTTTCCTGTTCATCGTTGCTGGGAAATAATTAGTCCTTGTCATAACACTTGAAGAATGACGTTCTATCAACTTACCAGACGTCGTGGGTTTCAGTCTTTGTGCCTCCTTGATGCAGCTATCAAGAAGCTTCATGTTGTACAAAGCTAACTTGGTCCAACCCTCTGCCCGGAGAACCCCTATCATCTCAGCACGGACAGCCTCGATCAACTGTGGCCTTTCCATAAGTCGAAGCATTGTCTCCGTTGCTAGATCAGTAGTAGTGTGTATGGCCACAACTGAGAGGCCAAGCTGGGCTCCGACAGGGTCAAAAGGACTACCCTGTGACTCCTCCATAACCCACTGAATCGCGTCCTTATACGAGGGTGCGATTCTCCCTTCTGCCAAAGCCAACTTTCTCTCATGCTGACGTTTTTCCAGCACCGGATTCAAGACACGCCTCGCCTCTGCAACTTGCTCCTTGAGCAGTCGGCATTGTGGAATGAAGTAACATGCGATGGGGCGAATCCATAAAGGGTACTGCCGAAGCAGTTCTGCGGCTAAGAAAGTATTTCTGCTGTAAGAGCCGGTAATATTGATCCACGCAGTGTTTCGACAGAGCTCATCGCCAAGAAACACGCGCGAGGACAATCGGGCGACGAGATCGAGAAGTGCTGCCTGGAAGGGAATCTCTCGCCATTCTGTTTTCCTTTAGTCAGGCCCCTCCATAAAGTACTGAGATGATCAGATGCCTTACCTGTCGAAGTACCCAGAATAAGACGTGTGGCATAATCAGCTTCCAGTGACAGAGGCGCAGTTATCTCATCTGCATAAGGACTGTAATTAGCAGGTGAAGCACGAATACATGACTGAGAGATCCTCACTGAGCAGCTTGGTAATCTTCTTGTTGATAGTCCTGTGGAGGAGATGGTCTTCTCGGCCGTCAAAAGTGAAGCCCTCGAACCCGGGAATGTTGGGGTGGAAATTCTCCACAAAGACTTTGAGGAAATCCAGAGAGCGTTCGTTGCGAATTTCGTCAGCGTGCTGGGAGGGAATGACGATGAGATCCCCCACGTCGGTGAACATCCTATAGGGCTTTCCTTTGAAGGCCTCTCGAGCATTTTTCATCAAACTCCGGGCATTCATAACGAAGTGTTGTTTTGTCTTTCGGCCAAAAAAATCCCACGTTGGGGGGCGGTTGATGTGAGGAAGATGGTCATGGCGCCCTGGTATGGAGACGTATGTGAGTGTCAAGGTCAGGACTACGAAGAGCAGGCCGAGAGCTGACTGCTGCGGCTCCAACGCGGCGGGCCAGCCGCTCCAGGACAAAGAAGGATTGGTGAAATTCATTGTGAATTTGACGTTGAAGTAGAGCTGTCCTCCAAGTCAGTGATGAGCAAGTACGTAAAGTTAGAAGGGTAAATGCTCCAAGAATGATGTTATATAATACAGATCGGAGTCCTGGCACACCGCGACATCCCGAGTGCTACCTGAAATCCAGAGGTAGGCCCGGCCATGGACCTACTGTCGTCTCTATCAAGGGCCAAATTCTACGTGTACAAGGCCGCGTTGTATGTGAGCGAGTGGATACCTTGGGCACTCGCCGCGTACACGATGTCTGTTGTCTCGAAATGTAACCGCCATGGTCCAATGAGTTCGTCGCATATGTCATTGGAACTTGGCAATGTCGTGTGTGCCTCCTTGTGACAAGTAAAACTCTGCTCTCGTCGCACTCGAATACTCCGTATTAGTCCGTGCACTTGAGCATGGAGAGGCCTTCCGGTGGGATACTATGTGGAGAGGTTGAGCTGGCAATGCTCTCAATAGTTCTCACAGTGTGCGTGCGTCGGTTAAAGGACCGGAATCTCCTCGAAATTGAACTACGACCAATTATTAGCTCATAAAGTCCCAAAGGGTGTTCTTACCGTATGGTGGCATATCCTAGTGCAGGTTCGTGTGACCATTACGAGTGTCGTTGTTGAGGCGGGATGGTTTGATTGCCGAATTAGGCAATGCGGGATGGAGGGGCGGAACTTGAGCACAGACAGCTTGAAGATCATCAAGCAATCTCAGAGCAGAAGATTGAATAGTGGGAAAGGATAGATGACAAGGCCTGTCTCAGAGTATACGCTTCTTCTGCCTTCCATCGAGTTATTCATATCAAACGTTTTCGTCCTACTTCATATATCTGATGAGATTTGTCTCCCTGCACCATCTTTCACCAAGATGGAGGCGTTGCTATGCGATTGAAATAACAGCCATAGACCAGATCTATCATCCCAAGCAACTTTCAAGTTTTTGTTTTATTTTACATCCTTGACTTGGTAGCATAATGGAACTACGACATTAAAGCACCATTATTAGACTTAGGATAGAAGGAGAGTAGCCATCAAGTTGAGCGATGCCTTTCCAAATTTGAATTGGCTTCCTGCTCGTACAACTGGGCCAGCTCGCGAAGAACCCAGCTCATTCGTGGTGCGACTATCAATCACATATCAGCCACAGAAACTCGTCGTCATTTCAACAACTTACCACCCCAAACCCAGGTATCATCATAGAGCCCTGCCCAGACACGAGCCAGGTCCGCGGCGAGAGAGCAAGATTGAGAGCAATCCACGTCAATCTGACCGAGAAGGTAACGAACATTACCGAGAACCTTTAATTCTCCCGACGTCGTCTCTCCATTCGTAGACTGCAGACATTCGACCGTGTGAACCCACTTTGTCACTAGAAGGGCTGACAATGGTTAGTATGATGAGATCTTATAGTTATATCTTTATGGGAGAATCGAGGCATACCGGCATCCCACCCTGCCAAAGCATGTTCAACACTCCACTTCAACGCCGCCGTCTTTTGCATGAGTAAGACCCCCGCTCGGATAGGAATAGCAAAGCCTTCCAAAGCGCAATCAATAGCCATGGTCATGTACCCATCCCGCTCCTGAGCAGTATCAAAGTAGCGTTGCAAGATGACCAGCATATCCTGCTTGCTCTCCTGAAAGAGTAGCGAGCGGTCCAAAGACCGAAAGTTGATGAAGGCTCGGCCATACGAAACACGCAAAACTGCAAATGCATTAAACAGCAATGGGCCGTCGGCTTCGCTCCACGTGCCGTCGTTGCCATCTCGTGTCTCGGTCAGTAAGTCTCTACACCTCGAAAGAGCAGCCTCTATCCTCTTGGCGTCAGATTGGTGGCTTTCTCGATAGCGTTGTGTCTTTCCGTAGCATGCGTCTTTGCCGTGGGCGAAGAACCAAACGGCTATAGCAACTTGATGCATCACGATGGAAGCTGCGAAGGGTGACCATATCCAGCTTGCATCTGGTCTTTCTTCCTGTATGCTGTTGCCAAATATCCAAGCAGTCGCTTCACGAAGACCTAGGGGCGAAGAGGGTAGTCTTCTCTGCACAACTGACCTCCATTCAGAAGCCGTCGTGGCATCCCATAGCTCATCTTCGGCGGGCATCTCAATGTTGCACTCCTCTAGCGCCGCAAAACCTGGTACGATACCGTATGCGATGACAAGCAGATTTCCAAGAACCATGCAACAACACATCAGGCTTCAGGATGTTAGTCGGAGAGAGAGATTTTTGACGACATGTGCGTATTCTTACCGCTTCACCGACTCATGCTCGACCCAAGAATGCCACTGAAAGAGGTTCAAGTTCGTCGACCCAGGCTTGGCGCGGGACATTCTTGATCGGAAATCCTGGGTTGATATGTAAGCGTGTGAAGAAAATGTCTCGAGATGTTAGAACGCACTGCTGATAGGTGACCACAGCCGATGAGAGCTTGACGTATCAACCGCGGCTCGCCGCTGAAAGAAGTGAAGAAGACAAGAATGAAGCGCGTTTGGGCCAGGACCAGAGGCACTTGGTCCGGCAATGGCGAGTCTCGAGGTCTAGCCCAGTCATCCATTATTTCTGGGGTGTCCTGCAATATCTCAAAGTCTATACTCGCTAGAACGCGTTCGGCTGTGAAATAGAGCGACGAGGCGACTTTGCGTTGAAGTCTGTGGAGGGCGCCTATGGCGCAGATGCCCAGAATCAGTGGACTAGGAGCGGTCCCCAGCTCTAGCGTCTGCAGGTGCAGGAAGGGGAAGTGAATGTGGAAGGCATCCACATAGGAGTTGAAATATTGCTGCAAGCATGTGACCGACGGTAGTTGGAAATCCCCTAACTGCGCAGGGGTGAGATGTGATTCTATATCTGCTAAGCAATGAGCTCTCATTTCTTCTGTAAAAACAATTTTGTGACTCTTTGTCGTCGTTGACTTTAGTATCCGTGGCGACCACCTTCGTCGCGGCCCGAGTGCGCTTCGGTATATGGTGTGCCCTTGTGATAGCGTCGGGACCCCTTCATATCTGTTTGAAGAGTTGCTTTGGTCGCCTGGGGGGTTGCTTTGAGGCAAAGCTGATGGTGGTGGAGGGAGTTGCTCGGGAACATCTTCGGATACTGGAAAGGCGAAGTGATCAAAGGTTCTACCCAGGAATGGGTCAAAGAACTCTAGCGAAATGTCGCTGAAGTCAAAATTCTCAACCTCTGACATGAGATCGTAGTCGAATTGGGGTGAAGTTTCGATTGCAGCTGGTCTGTCGACATTGACCGATGGTAGGCTGCCTTCAGATGTCAACTCATTAGTTGTTCCTATGCGGCCCTGCGAAGTTTGGATGTTTTCGTTCAGAGTGACCATAGATGTTGATTCTTCAACATGTGCATTCAGAGAGGGCGACTTCTCTGAGTTAAGAAGTCCACCAGATTGCGACTGGTCCCGGTGGAACGTCTTTTCATGGCGGGTCACGAGATCACTGGCCGGACATCGTCAGTCGTGAAGTGTTATCTAGAGCTCCTTCCTCAACTCACTTGCGTGCGAAGCGTCGGCTGCAGATACGACATGAAAACGGCTTCTCTTGTGAATCTAAGTATCTTTAGCCGACAACACCAAGTTCACAGAGAGGTTGACCCAACGGCTTCGCTCATGGCGATTGCGATGCTCGCTCCGCTTGAACGTCTTCGGACAGATCCGACATCGGTGCTGGACTCCTGCTTCTTTGCGGAAAGAGATGACAGACATCCCAGGAGCTGTAGTGAAGGCCATAGCCGCATGAGTTACGTGGTTGATGAACTAGAGGGGGGGCTCTCAGATGACGTTGGCTTGGTCGTCCACCAGAAAGCGTGGAGAAAGAGTTTGAAGGTCAAAATGCCGGTGACGAAGGACGGACTGTTTAAGCCTCCGTGTCCGACCCTTGGGATCTCCACCAACCGGGGCCGGCGGGCGGCCCGCTGCAGGCTAGGGGCGCGCGGGGTAAATTGTCCGAGTAAGTCATGCGCATTATTTATGTAACTCGAATGACTCTGTAGACAGGGGGCAGTTTACATCGCATCTTAATGGGTGAGTTTTGTACAAACATCTTTGCTACTTTGGTGTTTCCTGGGCGTAAATTCTGTCATTGGCACAAAGCTAGCGAAAGCCCGTGAAAGCCGCCGAGCATTGCAAATCCTGAGACTGTCATCTGATCTAAAATAATGGTTCTGACAACTGTTTACTGATCAATCTAAGCTAAGTGTATGGGCCGGCATAGATTTGCATTGTCGAGTGATCTATTGGTAGCATTGTTTCAATAAGAAGATTGAGCAGGTTCTCTAAGGAGATCTAAGTTGAAGATGCCGCAAGCGAACAATTGATGCTACTACTACTTTCCAGCTCTACCAGTGGACCTTGTTATTTGAATACTTACTTCTGAATTGAGTGCCGTCTCTTGTCCTCTTTATACGGCGCAGCCTGTACAGTCTGTATGACACATTAGTTGCACGATCTCAAGCGATCAAGACATCTCTGGTGTACTTACCGCCCTGATGGTCTTCACAGGAGATCCTTCAGACCCCCATTTCACCTCAACGACCGTCCCGGGGGCTGCATGTTCTTTGGCAACAATCCCCAATGACACCATCTCCTTGAACCAATAACTGTAGCACCGAGAAACAGCGCACCCGATTGTCTTGCCCCCCAGCAGGACTGTACTACCGACCACATTACCAAGCAAGCTGCGAGGCATCTCCATGTACTCAAAGGGCTCCGGTCGGAACAGAGACGCAAAAACGTCAGTCACGTCTTCCTCGTTCCAGACGAGCGTCACCAGCTGGTTTGGAGGGCTGTCTTTGAGCTTGAGGAGGGCATCGCGTCCGATGAAATCGTGGTCAAAGTTGATGAGCCAGCCCCAGTTCAGGTCGAATGGCGTGAAGTGGTAGGAGACGGGGTCTGCACCGTGACTCCCGCTGGCTTTGGAGAGATAGTGGTCAAAGTCGAAGCCGATGTCTCGCGTAAACTGACGGAACTGGAGAAGTTCCTTGTCATCCGCGGGCGCGTGTACGGCCGGGATGAAGTCGGCGGCCGGGGTTGCAAATGCGGCTTCAACCTGGTGGTTGTGTGTTAGTTTCTTTTTAGGGAGACGGGAGCGAGGATGTCTTACGTGGTTAACCATCTTTGTGCGGGCACCTAATTGACGAATATTGTGCTTCTTGCCAGCGTCCACTATGGAACCATAAATCTTTTTGGCATCCTTCGTCGATCCCCAAAGCTCGAACCCGAGTTCGCCGGATACACCTTGCCTCAGACAGAGGAACTTGCTGCCGTCGATCTCGAGCTCTTTATAATGCATGAACTTGATATCCCGGACGCCCTTGTCAGTCACCTCATCCAGAAGCTGAACGCTCCGAGGACCTTGGATCTGAAGAAGGAACCAGTCATCAGTGACCAGCTGCAGAGTGGCATCAAACTTCTTTCTCCCCTGTTGAAATTGGTACACGAGCCAGACCGTCCCGGGACCGCTTGTAAACAGGAAATCGTCCTTTCCAAGCATCAGGACCAGGCCCTCACCGACGACGCACCCGTTGTCCTGGCAGAAGATGGCATGCTTCGCTTGTCCGGGCTTGAAGTTGGGCCAGCGGTTGGTCGAGATGTATTCGAAAAAGGCTTGCGCCTCCGGACCGGTGATGCGGGCTTTGAGGAGCGGCGACCAGTCGCCAATGTAGCAGTCCGTCTTCCAGGAGACGCTCTCGTCGATCCAGCCCGAGTATTCGTAGGCTTCAAAGGTTGGGCCGAAGCGGGACCAGGTGTTGACGCTTGAGTCTATGGGAACGGCGGGAGCTAGCGGCACAAAGTGCTTCTCGCTTCCGTCGTCCCACCAAGGTTGTGTGGCTTGTTGGTCTTGAGAGTTGGATGTCATCTTGAAGTGTGAAGAAACTCTTGATTGGTGCCAAGGATTACGTTTTGGAGTCTGAGCTGGTTACTCGCTTACTATCGTAGATTTTTTTCGTTCTTGTCTTATCGTATCGGTACAACTATGCTTTATGTTTGACCTTTTACTAAATCGTTCACCCACGATCTCTCCACTCGTTGCTGTAAGATGAAGTCATCACCTTCCTGCTGCTAGGCATGGCATGGTGGGTTGAGAAGTTCAAACAGCAACTAATACATCCCAATTAGGCAATGCGGGATGTCGTGTGGGATGTCTCCACCCCTGCGATGCTACTCCACTTTCTCGTGAGGGGGGCGATGGCCCCCGATTTTGACGACGGACTTTGAAGTTGCCGAACATTGCGGTCACGATTTCGAAGTACCCTGCAGATCTATGTGTGTTACATTACAGGTTCGTGTTCAGAGTCTATGAAGCCAGCAGCATCGAACTATTGGCCCGTCGGATCGATGTATCGTTGTCACTGATGTTGATGCCCCGCGGGGCCCAGAAGTCTCAATTTATTGATTATACCTAGGGGGGAAGACGGCAACCTTCCAAGAAGATCTCAAGTGTGTACATCTGCAAAAGAAAATTGATTCTATCGCGTCCAGGATACGGTTATCACGAGATTGTGTTGTAAATTAAATCAGCGGATACAATACTGGGAGATGTGCGCTTATGAGGTTACTTGAAAATTTAAACTACTAGCTCTGCTCTCGGAAATAATCAAAGAAAATAACAAACTACCTGTATGATAAAATTTAGGCCAATGCGAACCTTCATTTTGGACAAAAGTCATCTATAAGGCTTTGCCTAAGCCGAACCTCTCTGAAACTCCTACGAGTGTGGGTTCGCGTGACAATATCAACAACGTAACTTGCGTACAAGTTCCCAGGTCTACTTGTACTAGTATAATCTCAAGTGTAGAACGAGGACCCTGTCTGCCGACATCATCTATCTCCCTCTCCTTTTGACAAACTACTCTCTTACTTTGGACTCCCTCAAGGCTTTAACCTCCTCCTCCGAAACCAGCACAAAATCATACGTCAAAAGCCGCGTCGACGGCTCAACACCATACTTCTCAGCCAACCCATCAACATCCGAAACAGTTCCCAAGTCCACAATCAGCGACTCCTTGACTCCAAAAACCGCATCAGACCTCTCAAACGGATCTCCGCGAAGATATAAAGCTCTGTATACACGGTCAGCAAAACTCACATCAGTAGGTGGACCAGGAGTTATAATCAAAAAACTTACGTGATGAGACGATCGTACCCAGGCATATCAAACATGAAATGAAAATGGCTAGGCCGATACCGATGCCTTCCCAACGTCGTCAACAACCTCCCAACAGGCCCATCCCCCGGAATAGGATACGGCACCGGCACAATCGCCCGAAAAAAGAAACCTCCCCCCTCATCGCTCCTCACAACCGCCCGTCCGTCGGGGTTCTCATACCCTTCATACTGAACATCATAAAACCCCTTTGAATCCGTCTCCCACACGTCAACCTTACACCCAGAAATCGCCTCCCCGCGCGTGTTCCTAACCGTACCCACAACAAGCATCGGCTCCCCCTCCCCATCTCTCGAAATCATCTCCCCGTGCGGCACGTCTTTGGCCTCATGCGTGTGAAACGGGCCCAGCACAGTCCCCTCCGTCGCCCCGGTGCCCTGCGGCTTCGGATGATCCAGCGAATCGACGAGCAGCGAGAGACCCAGCACGTCGGAGAGAAGGACGAATTCCTGCCGGACAGAGGTGCACGTTTTGCCGACGTCTGTAAGGAAGGCGATGGCGGTTTCCCATTCTTGTGTGGTGAGATTTGTGTCACGGGCGAAGTCGTGGAGGTGGGTGACGAGGTGTTGGAGGAGGTAGCGGGTGCGGGTGTTGGCGCATTTGGCGTTGATGGCGTGGACGTTTTGTGTGATGTTGGATGTTGTTAGGTCTTTTAGGGATGGGTGGGAAAGGTCTATCTTGGAGAAGTCCATTGTTGCGGTTAGTGCTGGATTAGTCAGATTAGACGAGGTAGAGTTGGAGATTAACGTTGGATCAAGGTCTTACTTTGGAAGCAGATGAAGAGCAGTTTGAATATACCGTGGGCTTTGATATCAAGATCCTCTCGGAATCGCAAATATCGTGATGCCCCCCAGATAGGGCTTTGAAAGCCCGGCAGGGGAATGTCCTCCCGCAGTTCCGGACAGGGTATGTGGGGAGTAACTTGGCAGACATCTCGCATATTCGAATGATGGAAGACAAGATATAATCTCATGCCCAAGAAAGCTCCATCATTATTCATCACGATTCTCCCCAGACCTTCGATCCACCACACGACCCCTCCCCCGCGACCACCATCACCCGGGTCTCCTCCCCCGAACATCATCCCACTTGGTTACCCCACAAAGCCACACGTCCGTGAGCATCCCACACAGCCTCTTTTCTGCTGCACCCCCATCGACGTTGAGAAGCAGGGGGTTGACATCAGGTACTAAGTTGTCCCCACCAGGCTATCTTGATGTCATGGAGGGTTGATAATACCAGGAAACTCGAGTAACCCCAAGGCATATAGTTCATCCTTATAGATCTGATTCATAAGTAGTATCAGCAACCAAGGCACGCGCACAGCAGTCCAATTCCTCACTTCTCCCAAAGAAGCCTTTCCGAAGCACAATAACCAACTTAGTAGGCATCTCCTCTACAACTCACCTCATCAACAATGGCATCTCAAAACCACCATGGTATTGGAAAGGTAATCCTCCAACCACCACCACAAGCCCTTCCTCCATCCATCACCTCCTCTTCCAACCTCACACCGAAACTAACACATACGCAGGTAATAGTAATAGGCACAGGCCCAACAGGCCTCCTCCTCTCCCTCCTCTTAGCCCGCCACTCAATCCCCGTCCTCACCCTCGAAAAATCCACCTCCCTCTGTCCCCTCCCGCGCGCAACCCACTACGGTCCCCCCGCCAACCGCGTCCTCGCCCGCGCCGGTCTCCTCCCCCGCGTTCGACAGCACGGCATCGAAGTAGGCGGCGCCCGCTGGCGCAAACCAGATGGCACCGTCCTTGCCAAGATTGAAAACAGCAGGCTCGGGACGGACAATCCGGACCGGATCTCGTGTCTGCCGCTGAATCAGTTGTGTAAGCTTGCGCTAGAGGATTTAGAGCGGGAGCCAGGAGCGGAGGTGCGGTGGGGGTGTGAGGTTGAGGGGATTCGCGAAAAAGGAGAAAAGGCGGTTGTGAGGATGAAGACTGCGGAGGGGGTGGAGGAGTTGGAGGCTGATTATGTTGTTGGATGTGATGGTGCGAATAGTATTATCCGGAGAGAGTTGTTTGGGGATGAGTTTCCTGGGTATACGTGGGATTTGCAAATCATTGCTACAAACGTGAGTAGAAGTGCCCCCCCCTCCCCTTTTTCCCTTCCACAATATTTGAACAGTCAAAGAGAGATAGGCAAGACAGCCACAACACCGAGCAGGATGCTAACCAGAGGACAAAGGTCTACTACGACTTTGAAAAATACGCCTGGGTAGACTCCAACTTCGTCATCCACCCAACAGACTACTTCATGGCCGCCAAAATCCAAGACGATGGCCTCTGGCGCGTCAGCTACGGTGAGGTCCCCAACCTCAGCCACGACGAGTACCGCCGCCGCCAGCCCGCAAAATACGAGACCATGCTGCCCGGGAACCCGAAGCCGGACGACTACCGAATTGTCAACTTTAGTCCATATAAGGTGCACCAGCGTCTCGCGCCGCGTATGCGCGTGGGTAGGTTCATCTTGGCTGGGGACGCTGCGCACTTGTGTAACCCGTTGTAAGTGCTCCTGTGACTAGGACCGATGTAGAAGAGAAAGAGAGAGGCAGAGAGAGAGTCCTGCCTCGTGTCAAACCTCTAACCTTTGGCATTGATAGCGGCGGCATGGGCCTCACAGGCGGTCTCGTCGACGTCGGCGACCTCTTCGACTGCCTAGCAGGCATTCACGACGGTCGAGCCGACGACGACATCCTCGACAAGTACGACCACTACCGACGAGAAAAGTACAACCAGTTCACGAACCCGGTCTCCGAGGCAAATCTCAAGAGAATGGCGTCGGACCCGGACGAGGTCGAAGCCAATGACCCGGGGATCGTAGCCATGCGCGAGGCGGATAAGACCGACGAGGCTGCCGTCGCGTTCCAGCTGGTATGTCCCTTTTTGCCTACCCTGTTCCTTTTCGGCTAGGCTTCGCGCAGTGATGATCTGATATGAGAATTCATATAGGGTGTGTTGGGGCTGGCTCATGATATGACGCAGTATTATACGAAGTAGGGGTGGTTGGGGCAAGGGACTTGTCAGCTATGAACTTGGCAATGTTTTGATAATTGGCTTGGCAACATCTGATCTGGACTGCACGCTGAGATAGAGTGAAGGGCACTATTAACTCAAGATCACTATCTGGATGCACATCAACACGCTTGGGTCTGTCGCCAAAGACAACTACGTGGATACTATCGTCAGTGCTTATCGTCCCGTAACTCCATCCAATGCCCACAGACATGCTATGATGGCCTAACATTCATCTGGAGAGTCACCGGAGTATCCATCTGTCCACAAAACAACCATTGTCTCGAGAACGGGAATAAAAGACTTGATGACGAAGCCTGAGCGCCTGGCCAAGCAGAAGCTTCTGTCACGACGCTGCCGATCTTGATAATCCAGTGCAGTAGAGTGACATTGTGACAATCCAACCACTTGGTTGCGTCGCGACACGAAGTTCCTTCGTGTCCGTATGCATTGACACATCGGTGGGATGTCATCCATGGAGGTTCGTAGCAGCGAGCCGCCGCACGCGGCCAAGGTCTAGATTCACGAGCTGGCGATGCTCATATTGCTCGTATATGCTCGCATTAGGGACGAGGTGTCCTCGAACTCAATGACATCAGGTAGTCAATAAAAGATGGGAATAATGATTAGGGAAAGAGGAAATATGCTTTCACTGCTGAAACAATAGTTCACTAGAACGGCAGTGACATGAGGCGACCTAGGATACTGGCGACAGAGACCAACACGGAATGTACCTGCGGGTTTGGCAACCAACAATGCAACGACGGACCGTAGATACGACCTGCGCATTGCACAGAGATGGAAGATGATTAAGTCATGTCGCCGACTTGGGACCGAACTTGGGATGGTCCTTGCAGCGGGAGGGCCGCCGTGGACGTGCGGGGACCGAATAGACGGCGCTGACAGTCGTCGACGTTGTTTCGAGGGACATGGAGAGGTGGCTCGCCGAGATGATCTGGAGAGTTGCAGCTCGCTTCACACGCAATGCGAGATTCGACTTGTCGGCCGATTGTGGAGGGGGGTTGGTGATCTACTGATCGACGGAGCCGGCTCATCTCTGAGAGGATCCTAATCCCAGAGCTGCAAGATGGGAAGGAAGGTTTTCGTAGATTGACCCAAGCTGTCAGAAATCTGCTCTAGTTCCACGAAACCACGCGGTATAGGTAGTCAGCTTGTGGACAGCATGTAACCCCAATTGGCTGTATGAGATTGGCTGACTGGAAGAAATCTTGGTGCTTCGACACGAAGGGTTGACACGCCAAGAAGGGGGGCCTTTGGAGGAACTCACGCACTGTCGCAATGCCGGTTCGTGGCGAAGGGGCAAAAGCTGGAGGCGTTTGAGCGAGCCGCCGAAGGATGTTCGTCATGCAGGCAGACAGCGTAGTGCGAACGGGTTGCGCTTTGACATGTGTACTTGACGTCGGAGGTGAAGAAGGGTCGTGAGGGTCCAGTTGACGAACGCCGACTGGAACCATGGCAAGGAAACTGATGACATGGAAGGTCTGTCGGTGTGTTTTAGGTTTTGTCAGTTTAGCGCGAACATCAATCAGGATGGGGGCCACCAGTGTTGGAGATTGAGTCGCTAAAAGGCGGGCTTGGATGCGAGTGGGAATGGGGGCCGAGCCCGCCCTTACTTGAAGGGGGAACTGTTGGTCAGTGGAGTAGGGAGAAGGTCGTGTTCCGCAGATGTACGGATAGGTAGGCAGGTATTCGTACGGAGTACAGATTGGAAGCAAAGCCGTTGGAATGTTATTGGAACTGCCTGGCGATCACGCGGGGAGATGCTGCTTGTGGTGTGGTGTGGTGGATTGGTGGTGGTGGTTGGTGGCCGGGACACCTTCCCCCGTCGAACTCCTTGCCTGTTTGTAAACCATCGACGCCCGTACGAAGGCGGTGTGTTGCAGCGTCTAGTGTAGTGCAAAAGTTTCTGGATTTCCAATGGCTCTTGAGCGAGGCGATTGGTAGAGCGCGAGAGGATAGGCCGTCTTCATTACTGAGCCAGGTCGTCAGCAACGTGTCGGCCTCGACTCCGCCGTCAAAGGGGGTGGGTGGTGTCACAGACCTGCAGGTCCAGTGACGGACAATTAACCACCCTCGTTAATAAGACGTCGGCATTTGGGGGCCAAGCAGATCTCCAGAATGAGCGAGTTCCTGGTCTTCTATTTGAATGTTTGGAGAGGAACTCGTAGATAATGTTGTCGCCGCCATATGTCGCATTGCTCGAATGTAATTTGAGGGTCCTAGATGCTTGGGGCTCCTGGAATCATGATTCTAACGTGAACATCTTTTCCAAAGGAGGTCGCAAATACCATTGATAACCTGGTAGCGAAGGGGTACCGTCTGTCACAGGCCTCGTGGTCTTCGATAGTCCCTCGCATAGCAGGCCCGCGAGGCCCAGACACACAGACTATGTTCCATCCCGTCGTCCTGTAATCCCACGATGGACTTTCGCTCCGCTAGCAGCCCGTTAGGTGTGAGAGGAGGGTGTGATGGTGACCACTGTCAGGAGGGTGTCGAGGCAGGCGAATAAGCGACAAGCACGAGGTGGCGGGAAAGGTGGCGCAATCCTGCGTATGGCACGGGCCTCTGGATGCTAAAAGTTGGTGTCTGCATCAATTCAGGGGAAGTCCATGGGTGTCTGCATGTGCTTCCAAGTGGGCGCAAATGAGTGGGCGTGTTCGCAGAGTGTGAATGGACGCGATCGGATCGAGGGAGGCCGAGGCAGCGGATGCGTGGACGGGAAGAAAGGCAAATGTCGAGCTCGCGACATGAATAGCCATGATGAGACGGTTCGGCGAATGGGATATGCCATGTTCTGTTGCGGACGGGAAGCTTGCGGATTACGGGATAGTCGTCTTTGTAATGGCGAGAGTTGCAATCGGGAAATGTGTGTGCGCCGTCGGTATACGAATGCTGAGGTAGTTGATCCAGCTTCCGCTGGTCACTACTAGAATCTAGTTCAGGTTTATGGATAGGATGGTCAAGGTTGAGTCTCCTCGGAAGGCGGAGGTGTCAGAAGTATCCGCATCGTGAGGTGGGATTGTCGTCAAGGGGCGGCCCCGAGAAGGACGAATTGGCATAGACCCAGGTGGTGGTATCCGTTGATGTTCGTTTTGACAGACAAACATTGTCAGTCCCGCAACAAGTCGAAGTGGTATCGGTAATGAGCATCCGCCATCAGCAATGCCAGCGGGCAGCCAGCCAGCGAAGTGGAGGAGGGCGGACGCTGTGCCGTGTATTGCCCCCCATCTACTCCGTATGGTACGGATAGAGAAAGCTAGCAAGCCATCAGCCCCTGGCGACGGGTTCACGAACCCCGACGGTGGTGTCTGGGATCCCCTTGGGATTGGCTTCTCTTTTGGGACAAGAGCAGTGGTGGGATGGCTGCATCTTGCATTACCCCTGCAGCCCTGTCTCCTCTTGTCCCTTTTTTCTGGACAATTATGGTCGGCGTGGTGGAAGAAGGCAACGAAGGATTGGAGCGGACAGTGCAGGGTGTGGGTGGCCCCGTCAGAAAAGGAGGCTAGTCCAAGGCGGCAAGCCTGCCGTCGGTCGCGGTGTCAAGGTGTCGTGGGTGTCTGGCGCTTGTGGTGTCTCGTGTCTTGCAGGCCGGCCGTGTTTTGGGGTGCCACGACGGCGTTGTAGGCTAGGTAGCGTACTTGGTACCGTGGCGTGGGCTCCCAGTCTGAGGGTTCAACGGTTGGTTCATGTCGATGATGGATGTGGCAGATTGTTTCTTTTGCATTGCTCTTCTGGCTCGATTTCCATCATCCATGGCGCGAAACGATTGCCTTTTGAAAAAGCCCAATGTTGTTTTGGAAATGAGCATTACAATGATTGGTGGAATTGAGGGGCGCCAGGAGAGAGAACAGGACGTGCTCTGCAGACGGGAGAGAGAGAGATTGAGATGAAGCGGCTACTTCTTTGTTCCTCGCGGGCGGGCGGGCGGTCATGATGAACAAGGTGAGCATTCGTACCTTGATCGCAAGAGACGTAAGGAGTACTTCGTAAGCTTGGAGGATTGGAATAGACTCGGAGTGACAGAATATGGAGAAGAAAGCAATAAAACAATACTACCAAAAACAAAAGAAGAAAGGAGGGGGTTCACGACTACGGGGCACGTCGGGGGGGGTACACCGTTCGCAGTACAGGAAAGGAAAATGCAAAAGCAGTGAAAAGGAGAAACCCTGCATTTGCAGAGGGCTCTTTACCAATTTGGGTCAGTTTGGGTATCCGTAGGTATGTGCTTTCCTCATGTTCCCCAGCAGCAGCCAAGGGCAACGGCGAGAAATGACATGGAAGGTGCGTCTTGAGGGCAGTGACCACATGTCGCAAGGCCCGTGACATTTCTCAACTTTTTTCTGTGGACTGTCTACGGTTTAGGTAAGCACCTGAGGGTAGAATATCTGGCGAGGAAGCTTTGATGTGTTGGTTCTTTCCTCGTTTCCCATGACTGTGGATACGTACCTGATATGTGGTGGATGAGGCAAGTGCAGCTCGAAATTTACGACAGTGGAGGAAAGAAGTTGCTGGTGGGCGTCGCGGCATAGCAGGTGCAGAGGAACATGGGATACTCTGAAAAACCTGGACGGAAGGACCATTCGTCTGGTGTTTCCTCTAGTAGTATTTCTGGATCTCTGGGATATTTCTTTACCTACCTACGTACCCTACCTGGATACCTTAACAAAAGTAAGGTAGGTGCTTCGTCATCCAGGCGAGGCATCAACTAATATTTGCTTCCATATACCTCAAAAGTACTCCGTAAAGAGAGAGAGAGAGAGAGAGAGGCTAAGGCAAAGTCAGACGGATATTGATGCCGCTGACGAGTGCAGTCATCATCGTCGTCGTCCTTCTTATTACCCTACGTAGTTCTCCGTCAGGAATACTAAGTAATCCCCAAGTATCGGATATGATGAATGTGGAATATTGGTGTCCGTGCTCCCCATTGCTCTTTTCCTTGCATATTGATATTGTTGTTGTTATCGTCTCGTCTGGTGTTTCTCTTGCCTGGGCCCGACTTTTTCGGACAGGGACAGGGTCCCTCCGCAACACCGACCGAGAAAAGACGCCAACACCGGCGCATTCAAACTCCCGTATCACCTGCATCTCACAGAAATCATACTCTGTATCCTGTATCCATACAATTCCATCTTGAGTGTACCGCGGATCGCGTCGTATCGCATCCGCTGTGTAATTAGAACGTCTGCTAATATGCAGGTCCGCACAGAGACACAAGAGTCAAGACATGCAGCACCGCCAGCAGCAACACGGACGCTGCGTCTAATTACCTGACAGATTACGGATCCAATCCTTTCTTGACCACTTCACCAAGTAAGGTACCTACGGATACTGATGATGCAGAATTCTGCAAATGTTGCTTGATAACTTGATACCAGTCCAAAAGACCAAGGTCGCAAGTTCCATGTCCCGTCGGGTGGACCACAGTAATACTTGCCTGAGATGTTGTCCGCTGTTCATTTTCTAGTTTTATTGACTAGGTTCCTATTCGTAGCAGTCCCGATTCTCATCCGTGGACCATGATCCCCATCCCTCTCTCTGTTCTCTGAAGTATGGATATTCCAACCCCTGCCCGGTCCTCCTTCCTCCCCCCCAGCCTGCCCATCAACGAGATTCCCTGCCACGCCTTGCTTGGACCCTACCTTCCTGGTGGTACCTTAATTACCTCGACATGGGCATGGTGTTTGCAGGTACCTTACCTTACCTGTCCGTAGGTATTACGGGTTGCTTGTCTCCATTCCTCCTCTTCCCTTCTGCTTCCTTTCCTTCTTTGCACTTTTTCCACGTGTGTTTCATAGGTGGCTTGATGCTCATCAACAATACCTTATTACCAACAAACATCGCAGTTACCTTGCCTTTCTCCGTAAGTAGGCCAAAGGCCAACAATCCATCCATCCATCCACCCATTCACCCGTCTCGCCGTCTCCCTTCTCTAACTGCTTGTGCTTCAAGCAACCAAGCACCCGACCACTACCACTACCCCCTAGTGCCCTGGCACGCCTGGCACCGCAAAACATCCGAACTGTGACGAATGCACACCTGCATCTACCGTCCCTTACCGCGACCCATCCAACCTTGCCAAGTTGCCATACGTATACTCCGTCCACTACTCCGTACACTACGCTTCGCATGCCACTTCCACTCGGTACACTCCAGTCTCCGCATACAGATACTTCCAGCTATATCCATGTTTACCACGCAGACCATATTCTGACGATCCAATTCGAACTAATAATACTTCTTAACCCTTGGCTCGCCCACTGCCAACACAACCTCGACCTGTACTCCGTACTGCGCGCATCTACGAATACCAACGTACTACTACTGCGTAGTCTAGTACGCCGTAGTCGCATCGTCGCCGTTTTCTCCTCGCTAGCACAAGAAACAAGTGAACCACCGCCACAGACATACTTCACACACCCACGGCACCACACCCTCGTCCTCGTCCTCGTCCTCGTCCTCGCACTCGCCCTCCACCCCTCTCGTCCCGACGACCGCCGATCACCACCATCCATCCGGAGCCTAGCAAGTCCTAGGTCAGGGGAAGATTGAGGGTAGCATCCATCGCCTCTTTCGGAGCATCGTACCAACTTTCAAGGCCCGTCACTAACCCACCAACAATTCGCCTACTCAATACCCCGTCCCAATACTACCGCTACTAGCACGAATACACACTACCGACGACGGATACTAATACATAATCAAACCTTCCCGCGCACATTTTCCCGCTCCTCGTGGCACTCTTGGCCCTTGACTGCCCACCCGCCCATGCCAAACGGGGGAAAACGGCAAAAGCACCACCAGAGAAAAAAGCAACCTGAACAGCAGCCCAGTTCAGAAAAGAAACATTGCTGCAACGTCGTCCGCTAGCACCTGACACCACCCCTCAAAAAGACCCAAAGAAGGGTCCAAAAGGGGACTCGCTCGAGTCTTCATTTCGGTCACTCATTACTCGCTTGGGACTCGTTCACCCGGGAGACAAAGCCGACCCCAACCCCGAACTTCGAACCCAGCTTTGTGGACATTGCGACGCCTGAGAAAGCCCACTTTGACCGTCAGTCTGCCTGTTCAAGCTTGCCCGCCGCCTGCTCGCTGTTCAAACTCCAAGGCCCCCTCCAGGCTCTGATTCCTGTGAGCCCGCCGGCCGACATCGACTGACTTACGGCGTTGCTGCCACCGCCATCGGATTGGATCGCTTGACTCCTGGTGTCGCATTGGATCTACCGCGTTGGTCAATATTGGGGCGCGTCCCAACTCTTATTCAAGCGGCCGCACCTTGGCATCTATTTGGCGCCGGCCTGCTTGCTGCTGCTACTGGCGACTACTACGGCACCTTACTGCATATGCGCCTTGCGCTTGCGCTTGTCGGATTGGATCTGGAAATGACTTGAAAACCCTTTTCGACCCCCACGATACCCTTCCGTCTCCCCCCTCCTTCACCATGTACGCCGACATCCCGAGACGTTCCAGTCGTCGCCGTCCCGACCTCAACATCAACACCTCACCTCCACCCGCCGCCTACGCGAACAAGCCCGCGGCCGCTGTCGCATCACGAGGAGAACCTACGACTGCGCCTCCAGTTCCTCAAACACCACCACCGAGCAGTAGGAACAGGCCGCCGCCCACTACTTCGTCCTCGTCCGTTGCCAAGGGCAAATCCAACAGTTCTCGGGCACTACGAGGCCCTGCTCTTTCTCGCCATGCCGACGACTCTTTCCTGGTAGACGCTCCCGATTCGCCCGACAGCTTCGACATGTCCTCGAATAAAGGAAACGATAATCCCGACCAATCTCGTCCCCGCGATTCCCACGATCTTTCCCTGTCTCCGCGAAACGTTACGCGCGACTCTCTCATGGCCAACATGCTCATGTCTCTCGACCAGTTCTCCATGGGTGGTCCAGTTGGTGGGCCCTTTGGCAGCAGCCCGCCAAATACGCACGACGAGCCTTCGCAGCAGTACCAATACGATACCGACGGAGGAGACGGATTCTCTCGATCAGTGCGAGGCGGCCGCCCCGGCCACACATACTCCTACAGTTCCGACTTTGACGCCGACGATGCGAGCAGGATATCTTCACGGGGTAGGAGAAGCAACAGTAGTTCCAACTTCCAACCTGGTCTGCATCGCATCAGCAGTATGCGCGAGCCGCTGCGAAGTACTGCCAACTCGCAGCGCCACATGCACTCTCGAGGTGGTAAGGGGAGCACAAAGAGCAGTAGCTCCAACAGCATTGATGCCGGCTATGCCCAAGTGCTCAGTAGCACGAGGTGGGCTTCCGGCTTCGGTGGCAGATCCTCGAGCTTCGACTATGGTCACCGCCCACCGGCCTTGCAGGCCACACAACATCAAGCTCAAGCAAATGGAGCTCCATGGCACATTGAGTTCTCCAACACCTTTTTTACCGACGACTACGATGCCGCGCCGACGCCTACGGTGCCTGGCGGGCCCCGACGCATGATGCCGCCCATGACCCCCCCTGCCGCGACCATTCCACAACCGCCCATGCCCGCATCCACGCCCGCAGCCGCACATGCACCGTCGACTGTGGCTGTGGAGCCAGCCGAACCGCCGCCCATTGTCCTCGAACGCAAACGGTCGAGTCGGTCCGCTAAAAGCACATCAACATCCCGCAGAGCAGACAACAACAAGTCGTCCAGCACTCCACGAGAGGAAGTGCCCCCAATGCCTTCATCTGTTCCGGCATCTTCAGCTGCGCCAATATCGTCGCCAGCAACCGCACCCGTCACGGCATTCGAGTCTGAGTCGTCGGCACCCGCGCCACACGTGGGCTACGGCAAGACAAAAGAGCCCGTGCACGCAGCTCCGATTCCGACACAAGCACCGTCGCAGCAAACAAAAGAAAAACCGGGGTTTTTCAGGCGAGTCTTCGGCTCGTCTAGAAGCAATGCCTCCAACAATCCGCCCGAGACGCAAAATTCCACAGGCATAACGTCGTCAACATCTGTGGATTCTGTTGATCAGAGGTCTGGGAACCGATCTTTACACGTTGCCAACCAAATGAAGCCATCCGCCCCCGCCCCGCCCTCGAGGGATACATCTTCATCCCATTCTCATCATCACGTGCTGCAAAAGAAACCGAGCTCCTTCTTTCGTCGCAGAAAGAAGTCTGTGTCCGCCGATGAGGTCCCTCCTGTGCCAGCTGCTGTCACTCTCGAGCCTCCAATGCCCCCCTTGGTGGCCCCGATCCAATTGCCTATTTCCAAGGACAAGCTTTCTGCGAAACCAGAGCCCAGCCCAATCAGCAGTCTGCGTAGGGTTATGAACCCATACCTTAAAGGCAGCCCGGTGACGCCAAATACGCCCTTGACACCCCAATCTGCTCCCGTGCAACCTACCTACTCCGAAATGGCCTCCGATTCCGCTCCAGTGTCGAACGGTGAGAGAGCCGACGAACAACCGCGATCCTTCTCCCCGGAGTACGACCCGAGTCCCAATGCACGAATAAGAGAGGTCCGCCCAGGATCTCGTGGTGATGACGATGATTATCACCCAGAGCATGAACGCCGAACCGACACGCCCACTAGACCGCCCCCAGAGCCTCCCATATCGTCCGAAAAGCGAAACAATTCCTTCCTCGATATTGATGGCAGTGACAATGAGGCAGACACCGAGTCGAAGCGAGGCAAGACAAGGAAAGATAGGAGTCACAGATCTGCCAAGACGAACAAAGAACCGTCACCGTCACGGAAGGCGGCTTCAGACCGAAAGGATGATACCATCAGAGGCAGGAAGAACAACAGACTGGCAGTCGCTCCAGCAGACTCGGATGATGAAGGCAATAAATCAACACTAATTTTGCCAATGGAGGGTACTAGATCTGCCAGCCGAGCGTCAGGGTCGACCACCACCGAGTACAAGTCTGCAATGAGCGGCACTCCCAGCGTCCGAGTCGAAACCACTGAGAACAGCCCCAAGGTCCTTGGCACGTTTGAGGCCATGAGCACCAAGCCTCTGGACGAGCCCGACTTCGTCGTTGGAGATCCAACGGAAGACGACCGCCAAAAGGCCCAAAAGATCTTTGATGGTAACGAAGACTTCATCCAGAAGGAGAAGGCCGCTGCATGGATGGGCGAAGAAGGTCCCGTCCGGCAAAGGACATTGCAAGCTTACATGGATCTGTATGACTTTGCCGACAAAAGCATTTTGCAGAGTCTCCGCTTGATCTGCGAGCGCCTCGTCTTCAGAGCAGAGACACAGCAGGTTGATCGTATCTTGGTTGCCTTTTCCAAGCGTTGGTGTGATTGCAACACCAACCATGGATTCAAGGCTTCCGGTATGTTGCCACCGTCACCCCCAACCCAAAGGAGCCCAAGCTAACATGTTACAGACGTCATTCACACAATCTGCTACTCAATCATGCTGCTCAACACTGATTTACACCTGGCTGACATCGAGCACAAGATGACGCGGAGTCAGTTCGTCAAGAATACCATGACTACAATCACTCAGGCGGTGGTTGAGGCGGCCCCTGATGCATTTGAGCGGCCGACTATTCTACCGGGTAAATCCAATAGCGCTCTTGGAGGCGACGATTCCAGACCGTCGATCGAAGAGCGTTTCGTTTCGCGCCGACTATCGTTCCGACCGCCGCCGAGAAACGAGGGAGACGGGTCCGGAGACCACTGCCACGACGAATGCGGACCCTTGGTTAAGTCGCCATTTGACGGTTCGATGCGAGCCTGGGAAAGCCAGGTCGAAGTCGTCCTCAAGGACATTTACGCCTCGATCCGCGACGAACGATTGCCCCTCTTCGGTGCCGATCCGTCCAAGAACCTGGTGCCCAACACCCAGAGCGGCCTCTCCGTCATTGGTATGCTGAAGCGAACGCCTAGCGTTCTGAGTAAGGCCCCGTCTGAGAGTCAGGCATCTATGCGTGGGCGCATAGCTGAAAATGGCCGTGCCAATTCTTCCAGATGGAATTCGAAGAGCAGGTCACGACCTCGTATGGGCAATCCGGGCTTCTCTTCGTCGCGAACGAGCTTCGAGGACGGAAATTCAATTTGGAGCCCTACAATATCGTCGGCAACGTGGAGTAAGCTCTCGCTGGGCCGAACGCAAACATCGATGTCTGTGGATTCGCTCAGCTCGTCATTCCGTGGAGGCGACTATCAACAGTCCATCGGATTTGCCAACGCCCTTAGCCAGGCCGTCATCCGTGATGATGAATCCGGTCTCGGGAAGGAGCCGTCCATCATGAGCGACGAACTCAAATCTGCCCAACTACTCGAAGACGAATCCCTAGAGCTCGCCGGTCCTCCATGGGTCAAGGAAGGTATGGTGATTCACAAGCACCACCTTGATGGTATTGAGAAGAAAGCCAAGGACCGTCACTGGAATGAGGTCTTTGCCGTCATCCAAAGAGGTCGAATGAGTATTTTTTCCTTCGGCACTAACAAGACGGGACGCAAGGGCCGCGGTCGCAATGCAACCAAGGGTCCGGCCATTGTGGGAGGCGGTAACTGGCAGGAAAATGCTACTAACCTGGGCACCTTCAGCCTAAGACAGACTCTAGCATCTACACTGCCACCGCCTGGTTACTCGAGAGCTCGCCCTCACGTCTGGGCCCTCAGCTTACCGACGGGTGCGGTCCACCTGTTCCAAGTCGGAACCCCCGAGATTAGCAAGGAGTTCGTCACCACGGCAAACTACTGGAGTGCGCGCTTGAGCACCCACCCTCTGGTCGGCGGCATCAGCAACATTGAGTACGGGTGGAGTGACGCCATTATTAACAACGCGCTTGTAACGGCCATCAACGAACAAACCGTGGGGCCGGCGACTGGACGCCAGCGTTCCAACTCACGTCCGGGAAGCAGCGCTGCTGGAAACCCTCGACCTAGCATGTCGAGCTTCCGCTCAGCTGCTTCATTGGACCATGGTTCCGGAGGCCCTTACAGCTCAGCCAGCCGCGGTAACAAATTGCCTGGTGACAGGATTCATGTTGCTGAATGGGCACCACCGACGCAGAGCATGCGGCCCAGCAACCTGCCAGAAGAAGAGCAGCTCGAAAGTCTTCTTGCCTATGTGAAGGGCATCGAAGACGAACTTCAGACGCACAACCAGCTTCGCAGCCCGATGCTGCTCGCCTTTACACCCCGCGGCAACAACGCCGTTCGCGCTATGGCGAATTGGGAGCGCAAGAGTGCCTATCTTCTCCGTGAGATTGTCAAGTTCAGGACATACGTCGACTGCTTGCAACAGGCTGAAGCGCGCAAGACTGAGATTTACGGAGAGAGAGATTTGGCTCGCAGAGCCGCGAGGGGAGAATTGGATGAGGGAGAAATTGAATTCGACGTCGAACGAGACACGCCGATCAGGACTTAGATGGACTTGATGCATACACTATGCTACGGAGAACGAAGACGGAGGTGTTTGACGGGGAAAACATGAAGCGGTTCACGCGCGCGCAGAGCCGAGCCCACGACGATATGACCACATTACATTGGACTCTAGGAGTTTGAGTTTGGGTGGGCGTCTTTTGGGTGTTGGTTTTTGACACACATCATCTTTTGTTTTGTTTTCTTCACTTCTTCTTTATTTGTACAAACATAGTTTGATACCCAGACTTTTTTGTCAACGAGCCCGCTTCTGCAGCGTTCTCTATCGTTCTACGGTGGGGAGTCGCCAGGAAGGGGTGTTTTTTTCCTTTGCCTCAGTTAATCCTTCTGTCTGGGAGATGTGTCTTTCCCTTGATAATAGACAGGAGGAATCACATCTTGCGTTTGGATGATACGGCGGTCTCGCTGAGCGAGGGAGGGAGAAGTTTGCAAAACACACACGCATGGCCTTCTTACTCGCATTGGGAGGGATGGGGCTCGTCCTGATTAATGAGGTGTAAATAGTAATACGGGGCGGAAAGGATAAAGACAAAAAATAAACGGGGAAACATCTTTGGTTTGGAGTTGGTCTTCGATCTTGAATATGTTTTTGTGATGTGGTGAGCTGAGGGTATCTAGGCAAGGGGCCGGGTGGTGTGGTTGGAGTCGGCCCCTCACTTCGGCCCTGTGCGGCCGTGCCGTGTCTGGCCCAAAGAATTGGGAGCCGAACCGTGTTGAGCCGCTTCGGGGCGGTTGAGAGGAAAGGTTGGTTCCCCGATAGTATCTCGACGCACCTGGGGGGATTCTTGGTTTAAAAGCCGAATGAGCAGCCTCAGAAGCATCTACAGTAAGTATTGAACAACATCGGATAGCAATTGACTGAGACTATATTTGAGGACTAAACACCGGCAATTTGCCTCAGATGGAGGTGAGAATAGTGTCTATCAAGTAGTGAAATCATTGATGGTTCCTGAGATGCAAAGGCCAAGGTTTCAGTAGAAACATTACCAAGTTGTGCTAAGCCTTTATGAAGACGCTGAAAGCTTTCACCATGCCATCATGATCCTCACCAAGGCCACATCCACGTTCAACTCTTTGGAATGGTTCCATGCCAAATGAGTTACGTCCCATTGGTTGAGATGTTCCACCATCAACTAGCCGCTATCCCCGCCAGGCTGCGTGGGGCTCGGGAATGAACTGCTTTCTTTCTTCACGTCATCCACCCGGCATTCGGTATTTTACCCCACACCATTTTCTCTGATGTTGCTTACTGAACCTTCAATTACTTTACCTTTTGCGTGCTTCAACTACAATAGACTTCTTATACCTCAATTGAGCCTTTTGGAATATTCACCGCCGTTTCGGGTAGACTTCAAGTAAATCTGAATCGATCCCTCTCAAAGGTAGCTAAGCTGAGTTTCTGTGTGGTAAACACGCACCGGGAAAAATCGCAGTCTTTCACGTGTCAACATCGGACAAAGCTGACAACATCTCCAGGTCGCGTTGCCACATTCAACATGGACCCTTCACAAGGCGCGCAGTCACTACCCCCGGAAGCGATTGCTCTCGCTGGACGTATGTATGATAGCGCGCGGAAAGGGGATATCGCCATCTTCCAGCAGGCCTTGCCGGCTGGTTTGCCTGCCAACATGACGAACGAGAAGGGCGATACACTGGTACTACTAAGATGCATCTGGAATCTTTTCAGGTTCTACTACTAATAGTGATCTTTCATTTAGCTCATGCTGGCTGCCTATCACGGGCACGCGGAATTGGTGAAGCTGCTCGTCCAGCACGGAGCTGATCCCAATCGATTGAACGATAGGGGCCAGAGTCCTCTGGCTGGTGCGGTCTTTAAGCAAGAAGATGGAGTCATTGAGGTCAGTCGTTCTCTCTCTAGTGCCTCTGTTTCACCTCATCGACCATGGGTTTGTTCTGTGGCACATTCATCTGACACTTCGCACCAGGTTCTCCTCGAAGGCGGCGCGGACCCTGACTATGGTAATCCGAGCGCGCTGCAGTGTGTCGCCATGTTCAAGCAGGAGGAGAAATGGCAAGACAAATTCGAGTCAGCTTCTGGGAAAGGCAAAGCGGTTGCGCAGGAGTAGGAACTACTAGCATGTTTCAATGATGATACCACGCTCCGATTTCGCCACCAAAACAGATAAATCTCGATGATAGTCATTTGTATTGTCAAGTATGAAGTGAGACTGACCCCATCTCCTCAGATTTGACAACGCAACGACATCGCTGCCTTTAATGCTTCAAGCATACATGGGTGCTTCATTTACCTAGTACAGCAGAGCTGAAGCATTTCCTTGGACCTAGCTCGTTCAAAGGGTGGCTAACCTGTCACCCATTTCTACTGACTCTAAGAGTAACATAAGAAATCAGCCATCCGCAGGGCTAGCCTCGGCTTCTAGAGAGGGACAATTACAAATCCCAGTGCCTGTATCAATATCCAGTATTGTGTGCAGGTTTTCTATCACAAGTGGTGCCAAGTAGAGTTTGTAGCCTATCGATTTAAACATGAGGCCGTGAGCCATATCCATGCGATCTTGTTCAGGCTGCGAAATCATCAGTGAGGTGCTTGCTCGGATCCGTCGAAATTCTGCTGGGAAAATCGACATCATCGTTTGGGAGTGCGTATACTTCATTCAAACATGTCAGTATTTAGTTCAAAGACGTAAGTGTGCTGGATCATGGCATACCACCCGCCCGGTAAGCATGATATCGTCATCCATATTCTAGAGGGTAGTTGACGATGGATGAAGTAATTGACTTTGTGTATGTTGACCTGGCAAATCAGTTTCAACTCCCATATCTCCAAATTGAGAGGCCGTACATTTGCTCGTCCATTCACGAAACACCGCTGTCCATCTGCGTCATATCGTCAGCGACGTCGTCATCACATTGTAGCGATGGGTGTAAAAGATTCATTGAGCTAACCGCTTACTCATCATCGGATGAGAGGTCCGATAATTGGCCTGTATCAAAATCCATATCCGACATGTTGAATCGGAAAATGATCTGAATCAAACGGAGTCTCTCGTGTGTCTCCCGCAGAGTTGCGGCGGAAGTGGAATCGGGAAAGAACGCAACAAAAGAAACCAACCAACAGACCTGGCCACAAGGGGAAGCAGACGCTTTTTGAGGCCAGCCGAAGTGCCCAGAGAGGCCATTCAACCAAATGTAGCCGGGATTCGAGATTCAATTATTGCGGTTGATTGGTGATCGCAACCCGCTTGTCGGTGCAAGTACAGGGCACGATGCAGAACACATTCCCAGATCGGGATACCTTGTCACCCACAAGTCCGCAACCCCGATCGGCTGTACTAATTGAGGGATACTTTGGTGTGTGTGTGTGTGTGTGTGTGTGTGTGTGTGTTGAGGGAGTCATCATTCAACTGTCGGCCCATATCTCAACTGCTTCTTTACTCCTCTTTGCCAAGGTCTTGCGACGACGTGGCTTGGGCAAGATCGCGAACTGAGTTAATTTTGCTTCGAGGGAGCCTCGCGATAGTCTTTCAAAAAGCAGCCTTAGAACTATGGAGTTCCGAATCTGGGATATGAGATACTTCACTTCATTATCGACGACGATGATGTTAAGGAATGCTCGCCGGGAGGCTTTCGGTTGGAGAAAATGAGTAATTACAAGATGCATGCCTACGACAATGCCCCTAGAAGTAGAAGCGCCCGTAAAGAGATCAACCATAATGAATATGTTGAGCTACACGGGACACTGATTCGGCTGCGTTTGTTTGCCCAATTGATTTGGTTGCACAACGTGGGAACCGTGCTCTCTACGAAGTGCGTAGGTATATGTATTACTTCCATTCGAAGCTCACTAAACACGATGCTCAAGTCCGACATCTTCACAATATATCAACCGCGCTCTACCGTCCTTTTCAACCCTCGTTTGTTGATTTTCTCAACCTGCCCCTCTTTCAAAACTATCCACGCTAGTAAATACGAATTTCCGATATCTACAATTCTCACAAAAAAAAAAAGCTGTTCACAGTCGCGAAACTGATGATAATCTTCAAGAACATCATGAATAGTCCAAGTCTTCGCCCTCTATATCCCTATTACACTTCCCTAGGCCACATTTACGACACTGCAACAACGCAACATGCACGGTAGAGATCCATGGGAAAACGTCATTTCGATAGCTAGCGAATGAATGCGATGAACCATATTGGGCATACGAATCCCTATTGACATCTTTGGTCACCGCTTGCGACAGAAAAGGAAATCCAGTACAGCCTCTCTACCTTGAATATTGACGTAATCAACATCCGAGGCCCATCCAGCCACTTTGGTAAAAATAAAAAATAAAATAAAAAAGGGTTCCTGGGCATCTTATTGTGCTGTAACATATGCCAGCTCTTGATCTGTACCTACCTAGACTAGACTAGAGTTTCTTGGCTCAAGCAACCGCCAAAGTCAACATAAAAAAGTGTCGCAAGCCGCAATGATCGCCGCGGGGCGATGCAGCCTGTAATCAAACGTTTAAAAATGACCCAGCTAATCAGCAGAGCAAACAAGTACCCGTAGCTTATTGTGTAAAGTCAAATGAGTAGAAATCACGTATAGATCAATATGTGTACGCGTGACGTTGCGCTTGGCCTTCCACGAATCAAACATCTTGGCATGGTGGCTTGGAAGTTTATACTGTCAACGTCATCTAGAGCCACAATCAGTGTCGTTCTGGTTAGAGATGCAGGCCTTCAATGTCATTTATCCTAGCGAGTCAACCTGTTGCAATGCGATATAGACGTATCGGGGCCTAGATATCGTCCTCAGTCAATGCTGAGAGTCAGGCCTCTATTCCGCTAGAATCATCTGCAATCAATTCACATTTCTTAGGTATCTATCTAGCACCAAACCCCATGATTTTGTCTTCACTCAAGCTTCCACGTCGTCCCTGTGTTGTCAAACCATTCTTCAATAGCTGTTGTGGCCTCTTTGTACTCGACCATGACTGTTTCCTTGGGCGTGAATGGTGGAGGTTTGTCCCAGGCATGCTTCTCGTCCTCGACAACACGTGTGCTGATTCGGCGCCCGCGGGATCGTACTCTTTCCGCAAAGGCCTGTCCCTCCAATAGCAGCATGTCGTGCTCGCACATGCACAGGTGTACCGGTGGCAGGCGATCTATCATCTCGTCTGTCATGAGACCAGGTGAGAGGCGCGGATCACCACGTTCAGTCCTTGGTCTGGGAGGATATATGTACGACGCATCAAACAGGTCAGTCATGCCCTTGGGAAGAGTCATTTCTGGCTTTCCACATGTCTTTCGCTTCTGGGGCCTAGTCATAGTCCAATCCAAGAGCGGGTAAAACAAGACTATACCGGAGATATCGGGAACAGGTAGCTTAAACTTGTATCCCCACCGATTAGGGTCCTGGAGAATGTTCCAGCTGGCAAGCGCAAGTGTGCCTCCGGCCGAGAAACCCGACAGCACGACCTTGTTTGTGTCGATGCGGAATTCTTCGGCACGTGCGACGATCTGGAGAATAGAGTCGGCGGAGTCCTCCACCGGCGTGGGGAAGGGATAGCCCGGAGCCAGGCGGTAGCTAACGGAGAAGACGACGGCATTGAGAGCCGTGGCAACGGAGCCAGCCCAGCGAGCATCGTCAGTGCCCTGTCCGAGGATGAACCCCCCACCGTGAAAGTTGATGACCGCAGGGATCTTGCCGGTGGGTTTGCTGGAAGAGGTGGTGGGAGGAAGATAAACATCGACCCTGATCTTCTCGTTACCGCTCCACTCCGAGAGGGTAGAGTCTAGCCAGATGACTCTATTCGCAGCCGGTGGGACGGGAGCGGACAGGTTCTGCAGGCCGAAGGCCAAAGCGGCCCCCGAGCGTAAGGCAACAGCGTTAGCCGTCAAGCGCCATCGCGCGATATTTTCGAGTGGATTGTCGTACTCGTCGTCGGAAGCGCCGGCTATGCTACTGGCGATGCTGCTGGCGACGCTATCGGCCTTGCTCGCGGCCTTGCTGTCAGCCTTTCGTTCTTTCCTACTGGCTCTACTGTCTTTGGAGACGTTGGAAATGTTGGAAATGGTGCGAGTAAGCTTGCTTTGCAGCATCGGGAACGCGGACTGCGCGGAGCGCGTGCGGGAGTCAGGAGGTGTAAACTAGTGGGTATTGGTAAGGCTGGCAGGCAACGAGGGGCGATCGGACATTCAAACGGACATTGGATCAAATGTCTCAAGGTTAGGTTGCAAGCGGTGAGAGGGTCAAGTAAACAGTGATGTGCCGGGTGTATCGGAACAGGTTCGATTGATAATAGGTTGAGAAGGATGGTACTGAGGGACGGAAGAGATGGGGGATGGGAGAGGATGTGACAAATCAAGTGTGCGGAAGGAATCTTCGGGATGCGTCGTCGAGCAAAGACTGGAAAGGTTGAAAGGCACGGCAAAGAAGTTCCGCTGGCGGGAAGCTAAGGATTCCGGGCGGGTGGGAGGAAAAGCATCAGGTGTCGTTGACGTTTAGGGAGGGTTTTCTTGGCAGTGGTGCCTTGCCTTGCTTGGCTTGGTGTCTCTGATGCAATGTAGATGTGGCCGGTGTGGCTCAGGTGAAGATCGATAGGTAGCTGTGGCTGAGTTTGACGTCGTAGTGATGAAGTATCTTGATGGCACGAGATGAACATCAGGGTAGTGTCATTGTACGCGTGTTAGGATAGTGAAGAGACATGCAAACCTGAGACGAAAGCAAACAATCACATAGCAATAACATTAGCCGAGGCGGCAGCAGGCTGGTGTGCAACTCCAAGGCAGGGGAAGGGAGGCATCGAGATGGGATGTCATAATGAGAATGGCACCACCAAAGAATGAGTCAAGGTAGGTAGGTGGAGTTCAGTCAATCGCAGTTGCAGTAAGGTGAGGTCAAGGTGAGGTTGCCGTCTGAGGTGAAACTGAGAAGGAGGGAATGAATGAGGTGGCTCGTGAGGCGGCGACTTCCCACCAGGGAGGTCGTGCCGAGGGAATTTGACGTCATTTCTGGTCCCGTTTTGGGCCATTTTGGTACGGTGTGGGGCCGTCGTTTCCGGGATGCCGGAACCAACTCACCATGGGCTCTACAGCAGACTTTAGAGTACGGGGTATCACTGTAATGTTTGTCTTGTTTCCAGACGATACCAGAAGCCTAACCAATGGAACCATCTTTTAGACAATTTCTACATCCTGGTCCGGCACTGTTCCCATGAGTCGATGCCACGATGGTGACCCCGACTCCACCCTTGTACGCGGGAAGGAGCGGACCTGCTTCTGGGACGATCCCCGGAGCAAACCGTCCACGAATGGCCACGATATTGGAGGGGTGTGTCAGCCACGCAGAATCTCGGAGCCGATGTCCGTGACCTTGCCGGCTTCCATTCCTAACCAAATATTCCTTTCCTTTCCCCAAGCTCCCTTCCTTGCTATGCCTTTAATTCAAAGCAGTGACAATTCCAGAGTTACCAGGCGAGGTACATCCAACATGTACGTATCGTTTTGCCCCACAGCGAATGACGTCCCGCTGACACCACACGGCCGAAGCTTCCTCGAGGAAACAGAGGAAACTTTGACGGGGATTGGAGCTTCAAGGGAAGAGACGGGACGATTGCACGGGTCCACGCTCTTGCTCAACCTCGACCTACGACCGGTCTAGGATCGCTCTTGTCCGATACGATGCGATGCGATCGATGGTCTGGCACCTGCACCTTCACCTGCACACATGCACTTGCAGCGTCAGGCGTCTTGTTTTCGGCAAACTTTTCTAGTCTTTTCTTCTGCTCGTGGACCCTCGTGCCCATCGTAGTCTACTTTTCTCGTTCGTCCGTCTGTGTACACCAAGTGGAGGACAGCTACGAAGGCAAGCACGCAAAGTACCAAGTGGTACTCGAGACAACAGCTACTTGGCGAGTATAGAGTACAGGCTCAAGATACCCCGGTTCTCTTTTTCTCATGACCATTTCCTGACGTTCCTTTCTTCCCCTGCCTGCTAGCCCAGACGCAATGTCACTTAGTCTGCATCATCCACGCCCTGCCAGGATGCCGTGTAAGCGTCTTGGGTCACCTAATGCGCGGTCGGTCCTTACCTTCAGAGCCAAGCCGAGTCGTAGGGCAGCTCCACGCATCCCATGAGGCTCGGCCTTCCTGCCCACTGCCTCTGCCAAGGTACCGGGTACACGTCGCCCAAAGTCTATCAAGTACACATGAGAAGTAACCTCGTGCCCATGCGGAGCTTGAACGCTCGACGGCCGCGATGAACCATGACGGATCCCGACTTTTGTATCATTGCCCATCTTTTTTTTTCCCTTCGGTCCCGTAGTCTAGTCCCGGTCGAGTTCACGCCCTCGCAAGCCTCCGCCCTTCCGCTGCCCGCTGCCCGCCTGCGTTGTCTTATACCTTGCTTCCCGCACCCAGATATCCTGGCATCTCCTTCCTGTCCCCAGTATTTGAAGCTATTCTAGACCCAACGAATCTACTTGTTTTGACTAGGACAAATCGTAAGACTTGTTCTTGCGTATCCTCGCACCTGCAAGCAAGCTAGTCGCACATAAAAGCCACCTCATCTAAACTTCACCTCGAGGACAACAAAACAAACACCATGACGGAACACGAACTTCCACGGCGTTCGTCGAGCACGCTCTCCCGCATAGCTCAGAGGTTCTCATTCTCCACCAAGACGTCACCCTCTCCGACACCGACCCAGACTAGAACGACTCTCTTTGAAAAGACCCGAGCCTCGAGCTCCAATAGTCAATCAAGCAAGTCCAGCAAATCCAGCACCGAGCGAAGCCCAGTACGAAGCGGCGAGCTTAGGCGCCAGCAACGGGGGGAGAAGCTTCTTCGCCAAGAGGAAGAGAAGCGTGAACTTGAAGAACGTCGTCGAATCGAACATGAACAGGCCCGCAGTGCTGAGGACGAAGAGACTCGGGCACGCTATGGCGATGGTGACGAAGGAGACTACCCGACTGAACTCACAACCATCGGCGAGGCAGTCAAGCTGGATATCGACACCAAAGTGACCTTCCGGGCGAGGATCCACACCCAGCGGAATATCTCGAAACACCTCGACTTCATTCTCTTCCGCGATCAGACCGATACGATCCAAGGCGTATTGGCACACACGACGCCCAACATGGTAAAATGGGTTCAGAGGCTGCACCCCGAATCCATTGTTCAGGTATCTGGCACATTGAAGAAGCCCGTACAGGAAGTCAAGTCTGCGCATCACCACCATGTTGAGGTAGACGTCTACTCCATCCATCTTCTAAACCCAGCCAAGGCACCTCCTTTCACCAATTACCAACCACCAGAGAGCATGAACTTCAGACTAAACAACCGTATTCTCGACTTGAGACATCCAAGCAACCAAGCACTGTTCCGTGTACGAGCCATGATCACACGCAAGTTCCGAGAAACACTAGACAACAGCGGCTTCATAGAAATCCAAACCCCTAAGCTACAGCCAGCAGCCACCGAGAGCGGTGCCGAGGTGTTCAAGCTGAACTACTTTGGGAGACGCGCATTCTTGGCACAAAGCCCTCAGTTGGCAAAGCAAATGGCCATCTCTGCCGACTTTGGCAAGGTGTATGAAGTAAGTGAATTCATACAGGTCCTGAAACTGACATACACTTACACACTCAGGTTGGTCCCGTTTTCCGTGCGGAAAACTCCAACACACACCGCCATCTGACCGAATACACCGGGCTCGACATCGAGATGAAGATCCACAAGCATTATCACGAGCTCATCAGAGTCATTGATCAAGTACTCAAGAACATCTTCACAGCCGTTCAGGCGATGCCCGAACTAAAGATCATCCGTGAGCGGTTCCCGAGCGAAGACCTGGTCTGGTTGGACGAGACCCCCATCGTCCCGTTTCCCGAAGGATTGCAGATGCTCCGTGATGACGGCCGCGATGTGGCCGAGGAAGACCTTTCCACACCGGATGAGATCCGACTGGGTGAACTGGTTAAGCAGAAGTACGGAACCGACTACTATATCCTGGACAAGTTCCCTGCGAATGCTCGCCCATTCTACACACATAAGGCAGACGACCCGTTCTGGACCAACTCCTTCGACATTTTCATTCGAGGGCAAGAAATTTGCACCGGAGGCCAACGTATCAACGATCCCACGGAGCTGCGCAAGAACATGGCCGATAAGGGTATTTCAGAAGAGGAAATGGCCGAGTATCTGCAAGCTTTTGACCTTGGTGCACCCCCGCACGGTGGTGCCGGTCTTGGTCTGGATCGTGTTGTGTTCCTTCTCCTGAACCTAGGAGATGTACGATACGGCACTCTCTTTTACCGCGACCCGAAGTCGTTGCCCCAGCGGTCGTTCACTCTGCCTCACCCAAATGCCGACACCACCAAGGCCTGGGCAGGCAAAGAGATGCCACGGCTGGAAGAACTCATCGCCAACTACGGCGATGCCAGCAACACTTCGTGGCTTGATGAACGATTCGAACTCTGGCGGCACAGCAGTGGTGCCGCGGTCGGCTACGTCAAGCGAGGCAAGTTTGCCATGATCACTGGAGACCCTCTCTGCGATCGTGGTCAATACGAGGAAGTGATCCCAGCTTTTATTGACTTTGTCAAAGATGAGCTAAAGTTGACACCCGTATGGATGTTGGTCTCCAACAAAGTTCATGAAATCCTGGGACGCCGCATCGGCTGGCGAACCATGAGCTGCACCGTAGAGCAGCGGGCTGATGCCGATCAGCATACTACGCCTGACGGCCGCGCCGCTCGCCGCGTCAAGAAGGAGGGCATCAAGGTCCGCGAACTCAAGCCTGATGAAGACTTCATGCGGCGCGCCAATCTATCTATCGAGGCATGGAAGGAGAAGCGCAAGGGGAAGACGCAGGTGCATCTCACGGAGATCCGTCCCTGGATCGACCAGGCTCACCGCCGCTACTTTGCCGCCGAAAAGGACGGCAAGGTCCTGTGCATGGTCGTGCTTGCGCAGCTGGCACCTCGATACGGATGGCAGGTCAAGTGGGCGCTCGACTTCCCCGACGCCCCCAATGGCACGATTGAAGTTCTCGTCGAACATGCTCTCTCGGCCATCTCAGGCCCTGTCACTTTTGGCGCCGGCGTCAGCGAAAAGTTCATCCCGGGTGAGCACCTGCACGGCGTCAGGGCCAAGTTCCTCAGCAAGACCTACGCCGGCATCGTCAAGAGTCTGGGTCTCGGCAAGAAGGCCGAATTCAGGGACAAGTTTGGAGTTTTGGGCGAGCAGGTCTATCTCTGCTACCCGCGCCGCGGCGTAAGTCTCTTTGATCTCAAGCAGGTCGTCAAATTCTTCATGGACGAAGATGAGGCCAAGGTTTCAGCCAGTTGAGATGGTGAACGACAGCGGGAGTGGGAAGCATGGAGTTGGTCTCGCGACATTACATGCATGGCGTTTGGCTTTGTTCTCTTTTGCTGCATTACCATTACGATACCTTTGCGTTTGCGCCGTTTTTGGACTCTTCCATTATTCTGTTCAAAATCGTTTTTCGATACCAGCGCAGACTCGCATTCAATGCTTCTCGCATGTCAATGCACGCGTTCGGAAACGGTTCTTACTTCATAGCACTATCTGTATATCCCCATGGCATTATCCCGTAGCAGAAGAACCCACAGACATATTCATACCTCTAAAACGATTTCCTGTGAGATTTGCATAAAAAGTATAACTCCGACCTCGGAGGGTCCGGAAACGTTGAGAAAAGGATGCATGTTCCGAGGTTGAGCGTTGGTCACTATGCAGTGTGGCGTTCCTTTCATCCGTCTCACATGCTGCATTACATCGCATCTATTATCCCACCGGCCGGCAAAGTGTGTTGCGTAGGTGTGGGAGGCAAAATGAGGGAAGTTGAACACCAATTTACTACTTTTGGTAAATACCGTATTGAGCAAAACGTCTCGCCTACCATGGGGGAACACGGGGGTGTCTCTCCAGGGGGAGGGGGGCTTCTGGGATCCGTCTCAGTTCTTCCAATCCGAAGGCGAGACAAACGCAACTCGAACGACAGTATAAACAAAAGGTCACGAATTTTTTTTTGAAAGCGGCAATCGTAGTTCATGAGTTCATGATTGTTGTCATAGCAGTACAATTGGGATATCGTACACACATCTTCTCCCCGCCGCTATTCGTCATCCGTAGGCAGGACCGTCTCGTAAAGAAATACCGGAGCGCGAAACCTCTCCCAAAAAGGATTGCAGACCAAATTCCAGACGTGACCAAGATAAGAAAAACGTGACTAGCTAGCTAGATGCCCCGAAAACTCCTGGGAATCAGTTTATCCTGGGCCCATTACTCTCTCTCTCTCTCTCTCTCCACCTGCCAAACTGCGGGCTAAAAGACTGGCGAAATTGCTAAAACAATAGATTCTGATAAGAGGGGTTGGGAATCTCAATGAGTGACTGATTCATGCTGTGACTCCCGTTCGGGAAGATAAGGCCTGCATGACATAGAGCCGGCATGAGGGTGTCGGTGTCTAATTCAAAGACGGGGGATTGAGGTTCCTCAGCGCGTCCAAGGACGACATGGCAACTTCCTTCTCGAGCTTATCCCAGCACTCGGGGTGTCCAAGGGCCGAGATCCAGTAGTTGCCCTGGAGATCTTTTCCGAGGATGGTGAACACATTGCGAGAGAGGATGCTGCGCGTCCGGGCCAGAGAGTGGTGATAAGCGATCTTACCGGGTGGAGGGCGGTTGAGTACTTCCGCAATGGTAGCATTGGCGCTGTTCTTTTCTGGGTCGCTGCTAGTAGTGTGTCCGTTGGTTTGGATGTCACCGTTGACTATGACCGGTTCGGAGATGCGCGGCATCACAGCAGGGGAAAAGTCGATGCAGTCAAAGAACTTGCATCGCGCCCAATTGGTAAAAATGATGAGCATGCTGTTCGGATCTCCATAGATGGGTTGGGAACTGCACCGACCTCCGGCACGGAGACGGCGCATGAAAGCCATGATCTGAGAAGGCGTGGTCTGAGTCTGAATATCGTGACGAAAGCAGCGAGCGACGTATCCGAGGGGGGCTTTGAGGACTTCGGCAGAGCTAAGGAGGGTCCAAGTTCCGAGGGCAAAGTTTTGGACATACAGCTTTCCGGGGGCGAAGACAGACTTGAGACGGCCGGTAATATCCACGGCATTGAGAACAGTAACAGGTCGGTTGGATCCACGAGCGAGGCAGACAAGGCGGGTCCACCATGCCGTGAGGACATCGCCTTCACTGACGAAAGGCGCCTCTTCGGTCCCTAGCCCTTTCTCGTCCATCGCATGCAGGTCTGCCATGGCGCGGGCACGGAGGCTGGCGACAAAATCGGCAGGCAGGCAGAGAACCTTGGACTCGATTTCCGGGCGGCGGTACATATCCCAAAGGAAACGCAAGCTGAATCTGAAGTGACGGAAACCCTTGAGCTGTCTCTGATCAAGCAAGTATGCCTCTTTTTCAGGATCACTATCAACGCCGACGTCTTCGAGAATGTCCTTATGAGCACCGTGGATAACAGGAACTTCTGCCTCGTGACCGGCCAGGACTTGCGACCAGGCCTGCACCAAGGCTTGCATACCTGCGGCGCCGAACATAACATGTGAGAAGAGTAGGCCGACGAGGGTTGCATCGTTGAAGGAAACGACGTGGAGGGCGATCTGGGGTTCATCGGAGCACATGAGGTCTTCGAGCGTCTTGGGGGCATCTTGACGGGCGCCGAGGTTGTAGAAGTTGATGACACCAGGCTGGATGGACGGGGTAGAGGTGGTAGTTGGGAGGTGCTTGGCAACGTTGTGTTCCTTGATGCTGAAGTCGTGCACGTCGTGCGAAAAGCGAATGGCAGGACGGGCAGGTGTAAACTGCTTCGGGACATGGAGCTCAAGTTGATTATCGGGCTGAATTGTTTTTCGCGTTAGCAAGCCTCCTTTCGGGTGTGAAGTTCAAATGTTCGAGGTGCATTTTCTTCAACCCAAGGCGCCACTTACTCTCATCCTCATGCGACCACCAAATTTCCTCCAGTCTCCAATCTCGATCAACCGAGAAAGAGAAGTGTTGAGCTTCTCTGCGTCGAGGACATCGTCAAACCGAAGCGTCCAGTTTAGAAGCATCTCACGAAAAGGCTTCGTATCGTCAAAGAAGTGAACCGGGTAGACATCGTCCGTGGCCACCGTTGGCAGCTGGGTACGCTTGGGCTTGCGGCCGACAAAAGAGCGCATATAATCCATGATTCTTATAGAAGGATGAAGATGTGAGCGGTGTCGTTGTTGGCTGCCAAGAGCTCTGACAAGACTTCCAGCCGCAGACCAAGACAAGACCAGGGAAAGGAGAATTAATCCAAACGTTGAACAGAAATCCAAATGACTGGCGTCACAAGCCTACGAGCCGAGTTGTAGGACGCCGGCTTATATGGCATAACAGATGCCATCCGTCTTGACCGGAATTTTGGGCCCAAGTCCATGGCAGCTTCCAAGGCGTCTCTGCGTCTGTACGGAGGTTTCCCGTAGGTTTGAAGCAGGGTCTGAGCAGACCGTTGGTCAAATGGTTCATTGCGTTGTGCAGATGCTGCAGCACCGAGAAACAGGCTTTGTCGAGAGAGTGTGTGCGTTTCGTACAGAAGCCGAGCGAGATCGTGCCCCCTTGAAGTATAACACTTGCAGCCGTTCCACCTTCAAGGCTGGGCTATGTTGACTGCCCCATCCGTTCTCTGCTTGGCGGGGAGAACAAAGCTAGCGAAACTGTTGGCCTTAGCCTCTGAGCTTGTTATAATCTTGCATTTTGATGGGGATCCCTGTCTGTGGTTTGCAGGTTTGCATCGCGTGTTACGAGATAGGTTGACAAACGTGAACCAACCCCGGAAAGTAAGGTAAACCGTTATGGAGAGAGACTTTGTTATCGCGGGCGGAGGATGAATGCTCAGGGTGGAGCATAGTAGCACGGAGCCGGCCGGAGTTGGCTATCGATGCATCCCGCATAGTTCCCCGCAGTTGGAATTAAAGGTAGATGGATTGCTTACCACCCCAATAAAAAGTAAAAGGCACGCCGCGGACATCCTTTTCTTGCGAGGTGCCTTTTGAACCGACGAAACTCTGAAGTGACAGCCGCACAAGAGACAAGATGACAGGCCAGCCATACAACCTCTGGGTGGGAGGCCAGGAGAAGCCGGGTCATGCAGAGCAGTTCGTGACCTTTTCTTCCTTTTCTTCCCCCTTCGAAGCTTCCCAGTACCCCGCGCGAGGGGCTGCAGGGCGCTTATCTGTGCTTGGGCTCATGCTCATGCTCATGCTCACATGTGTATGCTGATGCTCGACTCTCACACGCCAACAGGATCCCGGTCGAAGACCCCGCGACAGGTGAGATCTTTGCCAAGTAAGTTCTCAGCCCTCAGCCTCAACTCCGATGCCCTTCCGCAATTATTTCCCACACGGGTGAGACTGACTGGCGTCCGAATGCGTGCAGCTGTCACGCAGCGTCCCTGGAAGACGTTGAAGAAACGATTCGTCTGGCGCACGAAACCTTCAAGGCCGGAACGTGGTCTAGGGCACCTCGTCATGTTCGCGCCGATGTTCTCGACAAAACGGCTGAGCTGCTCACCGCAGAGCTGCCCTCACTGATTCCTCTCGAGGTGCGCCAGACCGGACGCGCGATACGCGAGATGCGCGCCCAGGTGCCCACGTTGGTCAAGTGGTTTAAATACTATGCCGCCTTGCTGCGCACCGAAGAGCGTGCTGTACTGCCAACCGTTGGCAAGCTGCACAACTGGATCGACCGTGTACCACTGGGCGTCGTGGTGCAGATCACGCCTTTCAACCACCCGCTCCTGATTGCTGTTAAGAAGATAGCGCCCGCCCTTGCAGCGGGAAACAGCGTTGTGGTGAAGCCGAGCGAGCTGACACCGCTCACTACGCTTTTGTTGGGCAAGATCCTGCAGAGAGCTGGTGTGCCTGACGGAGTGTTCCACGTGCTTCCTGGGTACGGCGCAACCACTGGCAAGGCCCTCGTCGAACATCGGCTTGTTCGCAAAGTCGACGTCACTGGCGGAACCGTGGCTGGGAGAGCAATTGGTTCAATTGTCGGCGGCAATCTGGCGCGATACACGGCGGAACTGGGAGGCAAAGCGCCACTGATCGTCTTTGATCAGGCCGACGTGGATGTTGCAGTCAATGGCATCGCATTCGGGTCCTTCATTGCTAGCGGACAAACATGCGTCGCCAGCACCAGAATTCTCGTCCAGGAAGGGATCATGCAGGCAGTGTTGGAGAAACTCAGAGCCAAGGCCGAATCCATCGTCCGGCGGATGGGCTCACCGAGCAATCAGGAATCCATGATGGGCCCGCTGGTGTCGGCGAAGCAATTGTCAAACGTAGAGGCGCTTGTGAATGAAGCGCTCGCTGCAGAGGGCGCAGCCTTCACTGGTGGCCGTCGCATGTCTGGAACCAGTAGCCTGGATGGCATCGACTTCGCCAAGGGATACTACTTTGAACCGACGATTCTGGTGTCTCGTGCCGAGGGCGACATCCTCAAGTCGCGCATCTGGCGGGAGGAAGCGTTTGGGCCGGTGATTGTGGTGGCGCCGTTCAAGACGGAATCAGAGGCCATCGCACTCGCCAACGACAGTGAATTCGGGTTAGGAGCGGGCATCTGGACGCGGGACGTGGCGCAAGCGTTTCGAGTGTCTGAAGAAATCGATGCAGGCATCGTGTGGGTGAATACGCACCATCGAAACGATCCCAGCAGTCCGTGGGGTGGCGCAACGAGCGCGAGCGGTGTTGGCAGCGAGAACGGTAATGATGCATACCAGGCCTACACGACAACCAAGAGCACAATCATAAGCTATGCGAGCCCAGAGGAGGCGCTGGCGGCAGACGACTGGTTCCGCGAGGGCGCCGGTGACGTGCGATACGGATAGACGGACCCTCGATAGGTAGACCCTCAATAGAAGAACTGTCGCCCACGGATCAATTGACAATTGGCCAATGCCTGCTATTGAGTTGCGAATAAGAGAATGAGTGAGTGAGAAGATGAGAGAGACGATGTTCCTCTCATGTTCGGGGATGAATTGCTCGTTTCAGCGAACGAGAACCCGTCAGTGCGTGGTCGCTGGCCATATTCCCGCGGGATGCAGGCCGAAAAATCCGTCATTTGCGTCTCGGACCGCAGGTGCAAGCGAATTGTTGGAACGAGTCAACAAAGAAGATGATCTGGCTCGGATGGAACCCATTATGAGGTGATTAGGAACAAAAACATGCAAGAGGAAACTTAGTTAATTGAGTGCTGAGATATTGTCAGAAACGACAAAAGAAATGAGGTCCATCCAGGATTCGAACCTGGGCCTACGGAAGGTTCTGAAAATCAGAATCCGACGTCCTAACCAACTAGACTAATAGACCTGTTGCTGAATATTCTATGGGGCTGAGTCGACCTTCAAGCATGACGCAGTTTGCCGTGGTGGTGCTATCGTATTGCAACTGGCTGATTTGGGCTCCATTCCGATGTTGCTACTTTGCCTCTCCAGGACACCATCCATTGTGCGGCTCAAAGTTGCGGAAGAGACGGATGAGCACCGAGATGAGGTAATCGTTGATTGGGTGTATTGGATGGAACCGAGTTTGACGCAAGGTGTCCAAAGTTTCCCATGCAAAAGTCTGAAGGTTGATGGGATCTTCCATGCCGTTACCCGTGCCGCTACCCACGGCCAGAAGGCATTGTACCCAAACGGGGCGGTCGCAAAGAGTGATTGGCTCGTCTTCTTGGTTTCGACATTGGCAAGCTTCGTCAACGGCTGTCCAAGTGTTGGTTCTGTCGCCGTTTCTGTCTCGTCGTAGCTAATCTTTTTCATTCTGGAATGTCTGATGCTCGTCCGGCTGGATCCTAGGTTGAGGTAGATGGGAAAAGAGGAAAGGAAAGCGGCCCGTAGTCTCCTTCTCCTTCTCCTTGTCTTAGGTAAGGCAGTTTCTCTGCACTTATTCCGTACTTTCCTACCCGACCTCACTTAGATGCTCCGTTCTTGCCTCGATAGTTAGACCCATCCGCATGACATCATCTGAACGCCATCCACTCAACTGCCGCCCGCACCATCACTAACAGCAGGAAGGTGTGGACCAGAGCTTATTCAGGAAAAGGAAAGAACCCATATCAGACCATTCGGAAGGGAAGGAACCTTACATTCTCACCTTCTTTTTTCACTTCAATTGGGCGAGAACGGCTTGCTTCCTGTCGCGAACTCTGTTTCCCCGAACTGTGCCCCATCGAGACATCCCTCGTAGCCGCATTGGCATCAGCATCGACGTCGTGTTCAACGCTTCTACCACCTGCTTTACACCTCCTCACACCTTACCTGGCCTCAACTCTCATCTTGCTCAAAGCAAGGAGCACCTTGGAGTCAGCCCTGCTTTCAGCATTGAAAACCATTGCTCCAAGCTTCCGTTCACGTCGCCGACGGCCGGCCGAGTCTCTCAGACTTTTCACTTTCCAGTCTCAACCAGCATTGAATCAATCTCAAGCCAAACATGTCGCGTCCGAAACAGCACATCGTCTTTCTAACGGGACCTACGGGAACGGGAAAGACGACGATAGCAAAGTACTTGACAAATTCATTACAAATGACCTTTATCGAAGGCGACGACGTCTGTGCCCCTCCTGCCCCAGATGAACTGGTAACTCTACGTATGCCAACAAACGCATTGACACTGACACACATTCCCGCCCTCGTCCACAGTACCACCCAAAAGAAAATGTAGAAAAGATGCACAGAGGCGAAGCTCTCACCGACGACGACCGCTGGGGCTGGCTTGACGTCCTCCGCGACGAGGCCCTCAAGGAACTAGAGCGGGACCACCAGGGTGTCATCGTCACCTGCTCCGCTCTCAAGCGCGCCTACCGTGACGTCCTGCGCGACGCCTCGCACCCGGAAAAGGATATCTTTGTCCACTTTGTCACGCTGCACGCGCCCGAAGAGGTTCTTTTCGATCGTGTCAAGAACCGGCACGGTCACTTTGCCGGGTCCAACTTGGTGCACAGCCAATTCCAGAGCCTGGACCCACCGCAGGCAGACGAGCCCGATGTCGTTGGTGTCGATGTGCGGCCGCCTGTGGATGAAGTGAAGAGTGATGCATTGCAGAAATTGAAGGGCTTGCTGAGTAGGTGAAGAACATGGCAAGCAAAATAACATGAACCGCGCAGTCACTGGGGAATGCTGAGTTATATAGATATAGTACTTGGAAAGCCATTTGCCTTGATACCTGGCTGATCTCTTCCCGTAAATACATTTCGGAAAGGGTTGGGAAAGACTCGCGAATAGCTCGAATCCTATTTTCACTCCGTTTCCAAGCATAGGAATCCCCTACTAGGCCCAACAAAGCCTTTAAACATATAGCTTACTATGTGAAGCAGAAATCGCAATGCTCAGTCTAGTCAGAGTAGCTCATGACCTCAGCCTAGACATCAACGTTAGCAAATCCACTCCATTTTCCCCATATCAACACTGGAAACCTACTAGGTTCATCGCTCTCATCGCTCGCAAGTTCGACCATGAGAGTCAGAGAGGACTCAGGAGTCGTGAGCTCAAATGAGGCATTGAAGCCAGCCTACAAGGGCGTATTCAATATCCCAGTAAATCTCTCCTCCTTCACCTCCTGTCTCTCCTGGGACTCCCGCTCAGAAATACGCGGCAGACGATAGAACTGCGTTCCAGGCGGAACCGCAAGGCCATCGAAATGCACAGGAGGCGGCTGCCTAGGAGCCACGGGCTCGTCATACTCCCGCTCCCGCACCGGAATATGATGGCCGTGATACACCAGCCCCGGCGGCGAAGACGCATCCCCCACGGCGCGGTACTCATTCCCGTGGACGACGGAGACGAAGGCAGCGGTGTTACTCCCCGACTCAGAAGGGCGTGCACCTAAAAGATATCGTCGCAACGGGAACCGGGCTTCTTGCTCGCGAAAGTACTCTTCCCCGTGCGCTGGCGTATACCGCAGCGTAACGTCGTGCGGGAATAGAGTCCGCTCGTCGATGCGGCGACGGGCCCAGGGGGGACCAAAGTTGTAGTCGACTTCGCGGAGAATATCACCCACTCGCTGTGGCGGGACGGGGGAGTCCCATTCAAAGATGGGGGCTGGGCCGTGAGTGAGGCGAGGGAGGTGGACTCCGTCGCTTGTGAGGGCGTCCTCGGGTCTGCGCTGCGATGCTGATGTCGCTTCTGGGAAGAAGAGGGTCCTGGGACCTGGTGCTTCGTGGTGGTTCTGGGCCGGTTGGGCTACTTCCGCCGGCGGAGATTGATGTCGTGCGACGGGGACGATATGTCCTTCGTCAGATTCAGTCTCTTCTTCCTCGAATTCGTTTTCCACCGGTCTAGGCGGGTAATACGGCAAGGGGCCTTCTTGACGGGGGAAATATGGTCGTGGTTGGGAGTATATGACCTCCTCCTCGGGAGCGGGATGCTGACGGTAATGGTCCATTATCTCTAGAAGAACAGGTGACTGTCCTTGTGATATTCACAGTTGAACAAGAAAGATAGAGGTAAGGACAAATCAGGAGAAGGATAGATAAGTGATCTCTAACTTGCCATCAATCCAACTGGCTTGACGACGGTATATTCAGTAAACCCCACGCCTTTCTCCGATATGGTGAAGACAGGAAAGGAAGCGCTTGGCAACAACTGTCGTCAGACTTTTCAAGGAGGATTAGAGTTAGCGGTCCAGTTTGTGTCCACGACCTCAATGGTTCTTGAACGTGTTTCTCCGGTCCCACAAGATCGTGAAGGTCAAATTGTTGAAGTCCCACAGATGAGGCCAGCCCAGCCACAGCTTGGCCGGCCATGATGCCAAAGTCCTAGAAATTTGCGGCTCAGAACACTGCACATTTATGGAGAGAGCTCCCATCCAGGTTGACTACTTACCTTGGTCAATTCTACGATGTCTTCGTTCTAGCAAGGTGTTTTAGTTGAAAGCCATCAATCCGGGTTTGAACTTTCAAGGCATAAGGAAACCCAATCATTTCATCCGTGCCGTCCCGTCTCAGAGTGAAAAGCAAAGTCCTAGATATATGGATGAATCCAAGAGGGCTCAAAAGCTCGACGACAGAATCTTTTGGGGTTCTCTACTCTGATCCGCTTTACCAGGCCAAAATGAATAAACATGGAGTAGTGTACGCCTATAGAAATACCATCTACCACAAGAGAAAACCTCCCCCAACTTCGCTGTGAAAGGACATAGGATTATGTCATGATTCGTAAACTTAGAAAAGGGATTGGAAGTAACAACTAAATCTATTTCATCAACACCAATCCACTTTCTCCAAGTAACGGGGAAGGACAAATCATGCTCCCCCAGCGTGACAGTCCCCGTTTATACCGGCCCCTCGACACCAGAAGAGTACGAAACGAAGAACACCTCCTATCAAGGTAGTGAGGTATGAAACCCTTTGAGGGATCAAGAGAGCCTCCCGCCACTAGACGGGACACTTCACGATTATAGGGACAGATTTCCTGTCATTCTCTAGTAAAATGGAAACTTTTCTACCAAAAAGTTAGATGACCTCTCAATCTCAGTACCTACACATGACGTACCTACATGTGACTCCCCCTCGCTTATTTGTAGCCGTAGTTGTGTGACCAAGGTTATGTAAGTGGCGGGCAGCGGTGTAACGTTATCCAACATGAAGACATGCAAGAAGCCGACATCCGCCAAAACTCTTTCATTATACATGAGCACGAAATAGAAGAGAACCGAACAAGAAAGGGTGTAGTCAAAGTGTAGTGTAGTCAAAGTGGTATTATTAGTAGAGCGATCTATAAGCAAGCCTGACTCCCAATGCCAATACGCCCCTGTCCCTTTTCATTATACATAATTACATACATACACGCCCGCCTTCCGAAACATATGCACAGATGGAAGAAGCAGGCAAAGCTGACCGATCGTGATGGCGATACGTTTACAGCATCATGGCAGCAAACAAAGCTGCGATACCGGCAACGAAGAAGCTGCTCTGCAAAGCGGAAGCAGCAGCGGGCGACGGAGCGCTTATCTGAGCGGGAGTGCCGCCAGTTGTGGAGGGGAGAGTCGTCTGAGCGTTGACAGATCCGGTGGGCGATCCAGAGCTTGAGACCAGTCTCGTCAGGGTCGACGAAGTGCCGTTAGCATAAGTGGTCGTGGTGTTGGCGGCGACAGTCAAGGACGGAACCGGGGCGCTGGTGGTCGAGGTCTCGACGACGGTGGTGGTGTTCTTAGCACTCTGTGTCGGGACGTCGGACTGCTGGGCCTTGTTGTTGCCGCTCTTGTCGCTGGACTTGTCAGCCTTGGGACTGCCAACATTGCTGGCATCACCAACGCTGCCAGAGCTGACGCTCTTCTCACCAGCACCGACGATCTGGATGCTCTGCCACTTTCCGTCAGAGCCCTTGGAGTACTCGTACTGCTTGGCACCAGCCTTGTCACCTCCGGCGTAGTCCCAGACCTTAAGGGAGCGGTAGTGACCGGCAAAAGGAGCCTGACTCCACTCGGCAAGACCACCAGCCCAGTCGATGGTGCCCTGAGCAGTGCCCTTTCCGCCGACCCAGGTACCGAGCTTGAGCTGCATGGGAGTTTGCGGGTAGTTGCCCTCGGCGGGGGTGGCGGTGCGGTAGACCTTTCCATCAATGGAGAAGACGATGGACTCCTTGGTCCACTCAATGGTGTAAGTGTGGAAGCTGGTCATGGGGTTGAATGGAACCTCGTAGTAGCGACCGCGGGTGTAGTCGTTGACACCGAGGGCGTAAAAGTTGGTCTGAACATGGGTCTGGTCGGCGCCGACAAACTCCCAATCGATCTCGTCGAGGGCGTCGGACTGCAGGACAATACTAGTGACGATGCCGCGACCGGGGGCGGCCTGCAGTTCGACTTCGACCTTGCCGAAGAAGAGGTAATTCTTTGAGGTGAGGGTCGGGGCGTTGTTCTCCTCGAAGATGGTCATCTCGCAACCCGTGTCGGCGGAGAATGACAGGACTTTGGGGTTGTACTTGATGCCGCCGTCGACAATGAAGAAGGACTCCAGGTCATTCATGTTCTTGGCGGTGCGGAAATCATAGCTGGCTTCGCCGCCAAAAGCGGTGTTGGCAGGGCAGGCTGAGTGACGATGTTAGCATTGTCAAATGAGGTGGAAACACACAACTTGATGTAATTGGATTGGGTGTTGGGGAAGATGACTTACTGTCGCCCTTGACGGGGTTGCAGGCGGAGAAGGTCTGGGCAGAAGCCAGGCCGGCAGCAGCCAGAGTCAAGGCTGCGTAACGCATCATCTTGGGCTGTGGTGATGAAGGAGTGGTAAGGTGGGCGAGGGTGAGGATGAGGCTGTGAGTGATTATCGTTGAGTCCGAACTTGCAGCAGAAAAGGAGCGGGAACAAGGGTAGATATCGACGTTGACATGTAGGTTAACACAAGACGAGTAAACAACCACGGACGGTGATCCGAGGAGGAAGTCCCAAATATAGAAATTAAGGAAAGGCTAGAGGATGGAAGAAAGGAACTAGCGCACTAGGCAGGTGGGAGGCCAAGGAACACAGAAAACAGGTGAAAGGACGGCAACGGACGCTGTGTCTCTAAGTTTAGGTCGAAGCCGCCGCTTGGGAAGCAGTAAACGAGAGGCTGGCGAATTCTGGGCGACCGAAAGTGAATAAAGTGAATCACGAATGTACCTAATGTACCTTACCTACCTTACCTTAGTAGCGTGGGGCATGAACACGAGCAGAGATGAAAACAGGCGGCAACGGTGAAGCCGGGCATCGGGGAGAGAAACATCTACCTCATTGGAAAGAGTAAGACCACCAGTGGCCTCAGTATTACGGTACATCCAAGACATAGAGAGGATGGCTGTGTCTCTTTTCTGCTGCATTAGGGGCAGTAAGCGTGAGATGACACGAAGAATCGCTGCAAATCGATGGTGGTCTTCCTGCCTTAGTCTGCTTCCATTTCTGGGCGCCTTCCTCTTCGCTTGAACGAATCCACGCTTGCCAAGCGCACCTTCTTCACCTATTGGCTATTGGCAGGAAGGAGGGCAGCGGATGGGAGGCTGGGCAACTAACTCCCCAGTGATGAAATGAGACGCTAATGCAGGGTCCAAGTATTCTTTCTGCCAGATTATGAGAAGAGATACATGCAGTAGTGTGCACCCTTACCTTCTCCCCAGCCGTCTGGTTTGGCTTCAGGGACCCTCAGTGGCTGCCGCAAGCGGGGACTTTTACATCGATTACCTCAGCTTCCTCCCTCTTTGCACCTTGCACCTCCCTCAGTAAGTCAGTCGGTCTTGTCGGTCTTGCCCTTGGCCTCACTTCATAGTGTGGGTACATACCTCGTTCTTGCCCTTCAGCTCGTGTCCGGTCGCGCCGTTGCTGCCACGCCAAACCCTCTGCATCCAGGTGGTTCCTTCCCCATCTCGTGTTTGAATCGTCAGATTGGCGCCGTTTCCGTCTCACACAACTCTCGTCATGTTGTTTCCTCTTCAGCTCAACTCTAAAGTCTCCCAACCTCTTCATTCCTCGCAAACCACATCACCACTTCGTCTCCTGACAGATTCGTCCTGCCAGGGGCGCACTCATGACGCCGTTGCCACTCGACTGCAGACGTCCTTTCCCCCCCTGGCAACCTTCACAATGTCCCATTCCCAGCCCTCGGCCGGCATCTTCCACTGTCAACAATGTCTTACGCCTAAACCGACATGAAGTCTGAAGATGATCTTTACCCACGCCCACAGTCTCGGCAATCATAGACGCAATGTCGTTTAATTTCCTTTGGACTAGCCACAGTTGCAAGCGGCCACACAGCATCGTGCCCAGCCCTACATCTCAGGGGGAATTGCGACCAATCTACGCCAGTCGAGGCGCCAAGATGGTTGGCCGTCTCGTGTCTTGGGAATAGGATGCGTCCGTTCGAGCTGCACTACAATTACCTTCCGCAGGTGCCGTTCATATCAAGTGAGTAAAACAACCACCGATTGCATCAAAGCTCCATCGGATGCCTCACTTGGCTTCTCTGGTCCGTCCTTTTTCATTGTTTTTAATCTGCTTTTTGCATTTCTTTGGGGGGTTCCGTCCTAGCGGGACTTAGACTTCTTTTGACTAACATGTAATGAGTAGACTGCATCTTTCGTCCCCCTTTGCACGGCCTCAGAAAGAAGACATCCTGCAACAATGGATTTGTCCCTTCGCCCCTTGCATCAATCTGCATCAAATCCATCATAAGTCGTCTCGTAATTGGTGCCAAGCGAACCTGTCCCTCGACCATCCGCCAGCACATCTTCTGTGTCTTCGTATATCCATGTCCTCCCGACGGTCTCGAATCAATGTGGCCCCCCCTTGGGAAGAAATTTTGTAATGGTAAGAAGTGAAAAATTGTATAGACAAAACACCCAATCGTGCCCCAGTCGCTGACGATCATCGGATCCGAAACATAAAGACCGGAACACGACACGCTAAAGAATTCCAATCCCTCGTGTCAACGTTACCCAAAACTCGAATCGCTTAGCAGGTGTTGAGCATGGAAGTGAGAGCAGTCTTCTCGGCGGAGGTGACGGTGAGGGCCCAGTAGCTCTTGACGGCAACCCAGGAGCGGGCGTAGACGCAGTAGAAGCTGGCCAGAGGGGGCTTCCACGAGTCGGGGCTCTTGTCGCTCTTGGACTGGTTGACCTCATCGGTGACAGCCCACAGCTGGGGGCGGGTGAGATCGTTGGCAAACGACTCACGCTTGGCAGTGGTCCACGATGCGGCACCAGACTGTCGTCCCATGTTAGTATGCACCTTTAATTCTAAAGTCGCGCACAGAGCAGACTTACGATCCAGGCGTTCTTCAAGGGGACCATGTGGTCAATGTCGACATCGCTAGCGGCGGTCCAGGTGGCACCATCGTAAGGGCTCTTCCAGGTACCGCTGGTCGCAGAGCAGGCAGAGTTAACGACGACGTTGGTGCCATCGCGTTGGAGCACAGTCTCGCGGGTGTTGCACGTGCCGGAGATGGTGTCCCAGGTGGGGAACAGGTCACGGTCGTAGGTGCCGGTGTTGGTCCAGGCGGCAACGGTCAGAGCAGCGAGCTGGGTCTTGGCCGAGGCGGCGGTGGGGATGCCAGGCTGTATGCAAACTGTCAGAAACGGCTTCTGCAACGGGCCAGCGACGGAGGGTTCGGACTTACGGGAGTGGGCATCGGCAGGGGCGCAGCGACCGGGTTCGGGGCCGGGACGGGAGAGGCGACGGCCGCGCCGGCGAGCATGAACAAAGCAGCGTTGACCTTCATGGTGACGGTAGCGAAGAGCGGATGGATGAGACCAGGTGAGAAGACTGGGATGGAGGCTGGAGTTATGGTGAACGGGTGGCTTGGCACTGACGATGAGGCAGAAACAAGTCCTCTAAAGCGGGAGATCTGCCGTGGTTTATATCCTCAGTCGACGTCCTTCCTGTTTATCTCGTTTGTCGTCAAAAGGACTCCCTCGTCGGCGGGTCGCGAGAGTTCCCAAGACTGCGTTTCCCTCGCTTGTACAACGTCGAACCCCACCTTCATGTCGTTTGCAGCTCCGTCGAGCCAGTCACCACGCCGTCCGACCCCACGATTGTCTACCTGATGTCTTAATCTCCAGCCCGACCCTCCAGGAACCCGCCGACGATGCGGCATTGAGTCGCTGAAACGGCGCGCTGTTCTGAAAAGGGGCACTTTGTCCGGCCACAGTACGACCCAAAGCGACCGTCTCATAGGGCTTCGCAGGGGGGACCACAGGGTTCCGTGGACGAGCTGACAGCTCCGTGTGCCTTTATCTCTCGTGTTATTGGCGGGGTAATCTAAACAATGTTCAACTTCCCTGGTCTCTGAGTGCCGATGCACGGCGCGCTACGGCTCCCGCTCTCTCGTCAACCTTAAGCTCTGGTCCGTCTCAAGTTTCCCAACCTTAACGCCAAGCTCACGAGAGTCGAGAACCAGCCACTCACGTCTCCCGGCACCGGCACGTTATCTTATCGGTCCCTGTCAATCACCTGCGAAAAGCGACATGGCTCGTCTGCGGATTCCCGGTCTTTCTGTCAATCTGTCTTCCATCTTGGTCTTGTCCGCTGCACGTCAACCCCTCCATGTCCCGGCTCCTTCAACAATAGCGCACGGGGTCTTTCACGAACCTTCCTGTTTGGGGGCCAGCTGCCGATGATGCGTGGTCAAGAGGAAGCCCGCGACCCTGCGCTTCGGAGTGACGGTCGTGATAGCAACCTCTCAGGGTCTCGAGAATCGAAACGAGGCAACCCACGGGCTGCAGGCTCATAGACTTGCAGCACACAAACAACGAAGCCTAATGTCTCACGCCAGACGAATAGAGGCAGGTCGACGGGAGAGTAGATCCGGATCACCACTCGACACCGCAACGCCGCAAACCTGGAGAAGCCATCTCGACCGCTGGTTGGACTACATTTACGACAGCCAAGCAGGCCTGCGCAAGTGCTGATAGCGATCGTCATCCCAAAGCGGTGTACAACATGGGCTCGGATTCGCTGCTTGGCCATCAAACATAGTTTCCGCCATACCTCGAAGTAGATGTGCCCGTCCCCATAGGCTGGCACGAGCTAGCTATCCCATTACTCGTGCGAGGCGGACCTCCCCAGCATGGCAAGACGCAAAAGCCCACATCCCGACCTCCGATCGGACCTTGCATCTGATTAAGCTTAAGCGGCACCAAGTTACAACTTCACACACGCGCCACTCTTTTATCATGGAGAATATCTCGGCCGACTGCTATTCCCGCCTAGCCTCCATGTCTTATCGACAAACTGACAGTTTGACCGTCTCTCAGAAGTCAAACCGGCCTTCGCCCATACCTGTACATCCGGCCTTTCCGCCAAACCAGGCACTCTGTCGCCGTAACTTGGATATCAGTCAAGATTCAGGACAGCCTCAAGCCTCGGCAGCGATAAGGAAAGATTACAGGGGAGGGAGATATCCCGCACAACGTAATAAGCTTGACCAAACGAAGAAGGACCACTCACCCCGACACATCCTGCCGAGCACATGCCCAGCAACTCGGAGCCGCAACCAGTAGCTCCTCCACACGTTCCCGTTGCGCAGCTGCCTACAACCCCGGGCCCCATGTTGGCGAAGCCTGGCCCAGCGGGATACATGGGATTCGTTGTGACGGCGGCCAAGACCGATGCCCAAGGACCGTCCACAGCGACATCTTTACCCCAGAATGACGTCTTATCTTCACCGCGAGGCCCCATGCGCTTCCCTGAGTCCGCCTTGAATGTCTCGCTTGCCCTCTTGCGCGCCTTTGAATGCGTTTCTTCTAGTCTGTTCCTATACTCGAGGCGTAAGGGACGTGTTGCTGTTCGCTGCGCTGTTGTCTCGTTGGTGTGCACAGCCGGATGAGATGAGACATGCGCAGACTCGGCGGCTGGCGGCATGGGCACCTTGTTGACCTTGGAGGCTGCATGCCATGCTTCGAGAACTAAGGTACATGTACGCTCAGCAGGGGTTTGGTAAGGAAGTATGGCTGGATCTAAAAGTAACACAGGCACACATGGGGGCGAGGGGAAGTGTAGTGGTTGCAAGATGCCTTACGCTTTTCCTCCTTGCCTATTCCGAACATCTTCATCGTGGGCAAGGCCATCACCCTGACGGCTATAGATAACGCATCTGCAGTCAGTAATCACGGCCAAGATTGTTGTTGCTGACAACATCGGAGTGCGCCGAGCAGCGAGGACATGCGATATCATGACTTCGGGCTCTGGCTGGCCATGCGACGGATCAAGATGATGGTGCTCTGGGGTGGTACTGATAGGAACACTCACTTTCGCAGTACCAGCACTTGCATTCCGAGTAGATCTCGCCGTAGTTATCCTGGTACGTCTTACTTGTCCACTCAAAGGCCGTGCTCAGCTTATCCTCATCGACTTTGTCGTTGTGGTCTACAAACGCTCCCGTCTTTGCGAGTGTGAAGTTGAAGTAGGACTGAGGAGTTAGCTGGTGCGTGTGCCACGCCAGGTCGACGTCAAGTGTCGGGACGGCGACTTTATCCTCTGTGGACGAGGCAATGGCGATAATCTCAATGAAGCGGGCGTACTTGTTCAAAAGTTTCGCCATGATGTCCTGCGCTGTGGGGAAGTGCAACCAGTTGAGCTGTCAAGATCAGCCAATAAGCCAGCTCACGATGTGAAAGGAGAGAGCCCTCACCTTGCACATCTTTTCGGTGAACGTCGCCTGGCGCATCACACATCCCACGAGGTCAATAGAAAAAGGCGATGAGTTCTCCCAGTACCGCGACATCATCTTCCTTGTCTGCCGCCTCGCATCTAGACTCAGACGGCAGTCCGTCATCTTTTCATAGCCTGGCCGGCTCATCACCTCACGCAGGTTCTTGGAATCTGCATATTTACCGGTGAAGTTCACTTCCATGGCATCTCGGATGGCCATCATACCCGGCGGGACTTGGCTCTCGGGCTTGAACATGTCGAGGATAATGGGAAGGAGTCCGCGACGAGCGAGGCGCGCGGGGAACAGACGGTCTGAACATTCAACTGATGTGTCGCCTGAGCCGTACTGTAAAGGTTCCGGTAGGCCTGTGTTGAGGTCGAGGATTGTTCCCGGAACCGCGTGATTGGAACTCATCGAAGCTTGGATGTCGTTGCGGAACTTACCTGCGCGAAGAGATTCGTGGGTTATTGTGAGTGCGCATGAGGGGCATGCATGGGCTAGGCGCCCGTCGGCGAGGCCCTGGCCTACGATGTCGGATTGGCTTTGCAAGTCTCGTTAGGTCTCTGACTTCATGATGGTGGCATGCTGAATCTTAGAGGTAGGACGTCGGACATAGACTGCTGGAAGGGATGGGCTCACTTTGCACCCGAAAAGTCCCGCGTCAGTCCGCACGTTGTCCAAGGAATGGACACCATGACAGAACACGCGGGGCATTGAACCACTTTGGCATCCGGGTCGTCCTCATTGCGCCATGCGAGATTCGTGTGCGTTTCCCAGTCTGCTTTACACGCATCCGAGACAACGTAGTCAAAGACTGGGCCTGCGATGGCGGCGTCAATGATGGGCCAAGGGATACCTGCTGCCCAGAGGGAGTTGTAGCCGTAGCGGAGGCAGTCCTTTGTGATTGTCAGTACGTCAATGTTGACAAAACTTTTGATGGAGACAAGGGGGTACGGACCTCGAGGTAGAGTCTTGGGTTGAGCATGTGCGCGTGCCAGACGAGTAGCACATCCAGAGGAGGAAGCATCTCCTCGCGCCAAACCATTGGCTTCGACACTGGGAAGCCTTCATACCGGGCCCGGATCCGACGCTGTCTGGTATTCTCAGTCTCATCCTCGGCTCCGCTATGGCTCTGACCTGGCCCGTCGCTGTCGCCATCGAACGAGGATGATGGCTGATCTGGTTTGGGGTCGACGATGAGCATGTCGCTCTCGAGGAGCATATCTGGCACAAAACTCCGCCACCATGCTGCGTAGCGGTCAACTGCGCGGCCGAGGTAGACTGCCCACCTCTTTTCGCGGAGTCTGATTAGGATATCCAAGTTTGTATCGAGTTCGGGCTCGGTATCCGTACTTGTGCGTGCTCTTCTCTGGGTTGTCTCCTCTGCGGCCTTTCCGTCCATGGCGTTGTGATTGTTTTCTGGGTTGTTGTTGTTGTTGCCGTTGCTGTCACCATTGCGTGCGTTCTTGGTGGTGGTGGTCGTCATGGGGGAAGTAGTTGTGCCGGCCCGCGCATCCCAGATATCCCAGAGACCATCGCGGTACCCCGTCTCCGTCTTGAGGCGGTTGAAGGCTGTAAGGAGGCGGAGGTGCGCTAGGCATGTGTCCTGGGTCGGGAAGGATGGTGGTGGTGGGGCGTTTGATGGGAGGGCGAGGTTAAGCCCCAGGCCCGCGGCGATACCGGCGGCTCCTGAGATGGAATCGGTGCCATGGGCCGGGAGAGGGGCCGAGGAACCGGGTCCGGATGGGAAAGCGGAGTCTGCCCGTTTGGCGGTGATATCGGGTGTGGGGCCTGGGGGCCGAGGAGCCAGATTGCTCTTTTGCTTTTTCTTCCACATTGGTCTTACCAAAACTTGGGTCAACTTCGAGTTTCAATTTGATTCTTTCCTCCCCGTATCTTGAATTTCCGTGTAATACTGAGCCTGTGTTGAGACTAGAGAGAATCGATCCCAGCGCGTCATTGGACCTGGTGAGTTCTTACCTTACAGAAGGCTATATGCGTGCCCGTGTCTTTCCACGAAATACCATGCAGGAATGCGACCTTCGAAAAAGCACGAGACGAACGTGACAAAAAGTGCCGTAGAGCGTTTGACACGATAGATGATGATCTATTCTGTCGGTGAGTGCGATTATCTGCGCGATCTAGCAGCAGGGTGCTTCTCCCCCCCCCCCCCCCCCCCCCCCCCCTGTTCGTCAGTTGGATATGTTCGGTTCGATTAAACTGAACTGACCGCGATCAGGTACTCGATTGAACGCTGCGCTGCACCGATCGCGAGCGGGTCACGCACGGGAAGGGAATTGGTGTCAGTGAGTGCCGTACCTAGGCGATTGAGACTTTTCCTGCTGCAAGATCAATTGACATCAAACTCACACCAAAGATGTCTTTGACGGTGAGTGAGGAGGGGGGAGGATGTCGAGTTAATGATTCATCTCAATTGACATGCATGCATATTCCTATTGCCGATCACTCAACGATAAAGAACTGTTTGCTCGGATCTCGACGGGGTGTGTGTGTGGTTCGATGTGGTTTGGTGTGTTGGCTCCAATGGCGGGCGTTCGTGGGTGTGCATCAGACCCCGCAGGATGAATTCGCGGGGTGCCAGTCTGGAAGGATTCTCGTTAGGATTGTGGTGACGTTGGGAGCAGACCGTCTCGATTGAATGATCCAGCGCGAGTCGGGCATTTGTACTGCTTGGCGACTAGGCGCCGTATCGAAAGCTTAAATGTCACGTTTGGAGATTGAGAATGCAATGAAGGTAGTCTTGATAGTAGTGTATTGATTTTGGTATAATGCGGAAAAATATCATAATGTGAGCGGTATTGCCCGCTTCCAATGCCTCAACGCCGTGCCATGCAAACTCATTATATGTAAAGATTAAGCAAAGAATTTCCCAGCGTCGTCAATAGTGTTGCGGGAAGAACACAATTGAGTTGGTGTGGGAGCCATAAACCTCCTCGCATTAGACTCTCTCCTGGTGAGAGGTTCCGTTGAGAGCGCTCTTGGGCTGCTCTCCCTTCTCACTCTGCACGCCGCCATCACTAGCGTTGGCGTCGAGGTCTGTTCCAGCCTTCTGGCGGATGCGGTGCATCTCCTCAGCAGAGGGAGGTACCCATTGAGTGCTCTTCCACGGCTTGACACCCTCCAAGTACATGGTGTCAATCTCCTCCAAGGTGCGTCCCTGGCCTTCAATGACGAAGAAATAGACGACGAATCCAGCAACCAGGTTGCATCCGGCAAAGACGTAACCGTAACGGAAGTCAATGGCACCAGTGATGAAGGGCGAGAAGAAGCCGATGAAGAAGTTCCAGATCCAGTTGCTGGCGGTGGAGAGAGACATGGCCTTGGCGCGGTATCTTGAAGGGAAGAGTTCGGCTTGGATGGTCCAGATCTTCAAAAAGTTAGTATTTGGTTTGCCGAGTGTGGAAAGTGTGGATGTTTTGACTTACCATAGGTCCCCAAGTGGTTGCAAAGCCTAGAATGAAGAGAGAAGCGAAGACGATGAGCACGATGCCAGGACCGACGGTGCTTTGGGGGTCATCGCGGTTCAGGCTGAAGTGACCGACGGATGCAAAGATCAAGAAGCAGATGAACATCCAGCCGGAGCCGACCATCAGCGACTTGCGTCTACCGTAGTGCTCAACAATATAGAGACCAATGAAAGTTGTTCCGAAGTTGATGGCGTTCAGAATGATCTGCGTGATGAAAGAGTTGATGTTCACAGACGAGAAAATTGTGGTGCCATAGTAGAAGAAGTAGTTGGCACCTGTGAGTTGCTGGAGCATTTGCAGTCCACAACCCAAGGCAATACGCTGGGCCATTTTCGGAGCCTTGAACATGCCAGAAAACTCTTGGACGGCGTTGCCCTTGATCTGTGACTCGGCTCGGAGCTTGCTCTCAATCTCCTCGAGTTGGATGTAGATGCTGTAGTGGTTCTCGGGGGCGCCGTATACTCGGCAGAGGGTGCTTTTGGCACGCTCCACGTTGCCCATGCGGTAGTCATAACGAGGAGTCTCGGGGAAGGCGAGGATGCCGACGCCAAGGATGATGGTCCAGAGCCAACCAAGGCCAATGACAATGCGCCAGGAGCCAGAGTTGTGTTCGAGATGAGTCACGGTACCGTAGTTACTATTCTTTGTTAGCTCATGTCTTGCTAGTTGGGTATTGGATATGCACTTACAAGCAAGCAGCGAGGAAGATGCCGAGGGTGATGAAGAGCTGGTAGGCGCAAACGAGGGCACCACGAATCCATGGCGGCGCGGTCTCGGCCTGGAACATGGGGACAATGAGACTGAGGGCACCGACACCGAAGCCAGCGACTAAACGGCCAACCATGATCTGTTCCCATGCTCTGTCGGCAGCAATCTGGATAACGAAACCGATGGAGGTGATGAGGCACCAGAAGGAGATGGAGTACCGGCGACCAAACTTGTCGGCGATGGGGGCAGCGCACAAGGCACCGATGAGGGTGCCGATGGAGAGGAGACCGACAATGAGACCGGAGCGGACATTGCTGAACTTGATGGAGCCGTCGGACTTGTGCTCGCCGAATCGGTCGAGGAAGTCGGGCATCTCAAGAAATCCGGAGATCTGACCCGTGTCATAGCCGAAGACCATGCCGCCCATGGAGATGAGAATACCCATGGCCCATGACCGCCCCGAGATGCGCTTCAACGGGGAGTAGTCAAGGTGAGCGAGGTCCTGGCGGGCATCGCTTGCCTTCTCGGAGGAAGGATTGTACTTGTCGAACTCAATCGTCGAGAACCCCATGTTGGGCGACGATTTCTGTGTTATTGTTGGTGGTGATGTGTGATGAAAATGATGGAGAGATGTGCCAACGATGGTTCGTCCGAGACAAAAAAAGATGTGTTTGGGAGGACATGGCGGGCAGTATTATATGAACGTTTCCGTTGATCGACACACGAGACGAGGATTGAGAGCCGCTCGCAAGCGCAGTACGCTTGTGCTGCTGAATGGGTGTGTAGAGTTGGGGGCGTCCAGTCTCAGTCGGCTGAGGGCGTGACGTCAAGAAAGGACCGAGGCCTTGGAGTCAATGTGCGAGGGAGACGAGAGAGAGCGTGCCCGATGACTTGGGATGGACGGCGGTGCCACCGTATGCCACCGAGGTGTTGCCGTCCGGGGCCCGGGGTCTCCAGGTCGAGGGAATCGGCCCGTTCCCCATCTTTTCTGGTGTCAGGCAGAGGGAAGAGACTTCAAGGACGAGAAGGAAGCCGAGGAGGAGAAGATGGAGATTCGGTGGGTGCAATTGGATAAGTGGGCGAACTATGGAGGCCTGGTACAACACCCGTTGTGTACGGAGTACTGTGTGCATCAGATTACCAATGTGCGGCTCTGGGCATGAGAATCATGGGATTCTTGGGAATTGTGGAAACAACCCAGGGAAACCAGTGACAGTGTTGGCCGGGGATAACATGGTCTTGTCGATTGTTCCCTGGCACGGCGTGGAAGAAAGTCGTGAGATTGAGCAACGGCTGGATGACGTTGGTGGACGAGGTGCGTTTGGTGGGAAACCAGGGGGGCGTGAGATGATGTAAAGATGAAAGCGGCTTGCTGTCGGATCCGCCCAAGGCCGTTTTGCAATGCAAAGTATCTTTTGCGCATAAACTTGGTGTGTGGTACGACTGAAGCCGTTTCTGTACAAGTATTCGTACCGGTACACTAACGTACAGGGCGTGCCGGAGGAACCGGGGCCGGGGGTACTGTACGCTAGGTACACGAGCAGGTGGTCGAATTCTTTGGAGAATCTTTCACGGGACATTCGGATTGCAGAGTTGGGATTTGAGAAGTGAGCAACTTAAAATTTGATGGATTTGTGAGGTGATCGTAAGTTATGGTTAACAGCAGACTTCTGTCAATTTCAGCTTTGTGGAATGTCGTGGTGATGAGGGGAGCAACACACCTGACTCTTCTCTTCTGTCTAGGTATTTGGTTGTTTTCCATCACCTTACGGTACCAAGTACTAGTACCTAGAAAGGAGGGCGATGAAATGAGGCCATCGTGATATGACACGGGAGGTATCGGGTAGGCATTGCTCGTATGAAAAGATACATGAAGCGAGTCCCTGGATGGACGACGGAATGGTGCCGCAGCTTCTGGACGGCAGGCGCTGCCGGAATTGCTGCCCACGTCACTGCCAATTGCGCACCAGTAGGAAGGCACGATAACACGACATGCAGTCGCGTTGCCAATCATCGCCAAGCTGCTTCCCGGCCGGGTGGATCGGATCTCGTGCCAAGGGGCCAGTCATCCCAGGCAACTTCACAAGGCAGGTCCCGATCGCTACCTTCCTGCCGAATGCATTTGATCCCGTTTGGTCCTTCTTTCCCTTGGATATCGAACCTGGAATGGGCTACCGCCTGCCAAGTGGAGGCACTATCCGTGCGTAAACGGAAGCCAAGGACAGGAGAGCCTCTTCCTCGAGTCTCGGTAAAAGTCTTGGGTGATGAGAGACACAGCCAAACAAGCTCTGGTGAACAGCGCCAAAGAAATCTTGATTGAACCACAGCAGTTACCCCCCTGTCACACATCCTCCCGAGTTCCTTCCATTCCTCACACAAATCAGTACGTATCAAATTCAACCAGCCCCGCCAACATCAGATGACGTCGTCAACAAGAAACACAGAAAGAAATGGAAAGAAGCAGCGATGAATGTTGGAAAAAGATATCACCGCGACATCTTTTCGGCCCACCTCCGGCTTTCCGTTCTTCAGGTCTTGTTGTTGTTGTCGTCAACTTCTCCGTCCGGGGGCTTCTCTTTCGGCCCTTCTCTCCCCTCAACCTCCAGAGTCTCCAGAATCTCCAGCCAAGCCCCAAATATTCTCCAGAAATCTCCATTCTTTTGCCCTTTCTGCTGCGTGTTCAGCGTGTCACGGTCTCTCTTTTTCTCCCCCAGCTCCAGAAAACTCTGAGTCTCTTGCCCTTTCCTACAGGTCTAACCGGTCTGTCGGTCGCCGTCCGAGGGAGAACCGACGCCAACTCCCCCCTCCAATCCTCCATCCCACCCACCCGAACCACCCAACCCACGCCGACTTCCCCTCGGGGCTCCCAGATCTGAGGTGTTCTTTTTTCTCTTCAATGGATCATTCGGGGCCCCTTCCGGGGAACGAGATGCGAATCAAAGGGATCTCACACTGTCCCCATTGTTTCGGCCTCCGCTACGACGCCGGTACCGCCAACGGCCAACCACATCATCATCGCGCCCCGGTTCCCCCCCGCGCGCACCATTCCGAGTCTCGACTCTTCTTTGGTCTTCCCGTTCTCGTAAGAGGAGTCGTAAGAGAAGGTCATGAGGCTCCCATGAGGTTCGGCGACGCCTAAGCCAAAGGATTGTGCCTCGGCTTATTTGTCCCCACAGTTTTTCTGCCCGTCAGTCACGCACTTGTCACGAACTGTATTTTTCAGCCTGGCCAAACACGAACTTCTGAACCGCGCGACACATCGACAATACCGAATCTCCACTCCTATCACGCGTCTCTTCTAGAACAACCAGCTTTTCAGCTGGCACAAGAAGATAATGATTGGGCCTCGATTAGGAATCAAAACTCGACAATCAGGGGACGATCCCTCCGCCCCAAGTGACTGATTGTCGGATCAGCCACGTGCCTAGCCCCAACATTCGCCATTCACTTGGACCGGTTCATCTCCATCATGATCCATCCGACATGTTACAGCCATACACACATTTCTTGATAATCGCCGCCGTCCACTTTTCTCGGTCGCACTGCGGTATCTCTCTGCATTGCTATGCGCGCCTATCGTACCTATTATCGTATCTCACGATGGAGCGCACAGATCCGACTTCTCCGTAAACCCCCCAGGTGTTGCTTTGTCACTGAGCTGCCAGGGCGTCCTTGGTTGTAATCGCGGGAACGCAGGGCCCGCTGTGCTTCCTCCCGCAATAATCATTCTTCCCGTTTCAACTCCCGAGCTCCCATGGCTCTCCCTGCGGTCCCGACCAGTCCTGAAGATCCCCGACGAAAATTCAATGTTGCCGACACAGCTCACCGGCACTTTCAGACGCGTCCAAATTGCAGACCCAAGCGTTACGTGATCTGCGTTGAACGGACCGAATGCTGTTATGCAACCTAATTACCACGTGGACTCTAAGCCATTGACCCCCGTCGGCTTATCAGCCAAAGTGGTGATCCGGAAGCCGTGTCGCAGCCCTTCCTGTGGGTTGTGGACATTGTAGTCTGAGATGGCAGTGTGCGCCGTTACTCTGTTATCCCAGAGCGCGACAGTTCCCTCTTCCCACTTGACGCGAACCTGGAAATCCTGGCCGTGGTTGATGTGCTATTTCTTTGGTCAACAGAAGCCGAACCCCCGATTGCGCTATCACGAACCTTGAACAAGAGTTTCAACAGCGCATCTGACTCTTCATCCCGAAGACCGACAATCCTTTTTGTGAAGCCCGGGTTGATGAATAACGCCTTCTGACCGGTGGCCTGTGACACAAGAGACATCAGTACAAGGAAGTATCCCCCGGTGTGAAAGTCGCGACGACCCTACATACCGGATGGACCCGAATAATGGGATGTTCCGACTTGACCGGCTCTCTCCGCACAAACTTGCCGTCTCGACGAGCGTTGTCAGCTTGGGGGAAGCCGCTATGTTCTGCCCTCAATCCCTCAAGAAGGGCCTGAATCGGCCTCGATAACCGCGCATACGCTGCCGTCTGAGAAACCCACGCCGTGTCGCCACCCGTCTCAGGCACCGAGAGGAGCGTCAGGATTGTGACGCCCGGCGATTGGTGCTCATACGACACATCCGAGTGGTACCCGATAGTCGAGAGCTTGTTGCTCTTGCTCCGGTTGCGATATTCGTTGTCCGGGCCCAAGTAGATGTTGTGCAGCTCGAGGTGGCCATTGACATGCGCCCCGACGGGCTAGAAATTTGTCAGCAAAGTCGCGGCCGAGACGGCAAAGGATGGACGAACGTGAATGTGAAGAGGACCAAAGTATTGCCCGAATTCCTTTTGCTTCTCGACGCTGATGTCCTTGAAGTCTTGGTCTCGAAATACGACGACGCCGCGCTCAGCGATGAGAAGCGCGAGCTCGTCCTTCTGTCTGTCGTTGAGCTGAGATAGTTGTAGTCCACGGATCTCGGTGCCGATGACGGGTGTCAGTTTCGTAGCTGCGATCTCTTTGTTGTCCTTGGAAAGGAGATTCAACTTCTCCTTGTTCGCTACGAGTCCGCGGTCGTTGAACTCGAATGGCTTCAGCGGGGGAAAGGATGTCTTTTCGTCGTACACTGGCAAGTATTGAGCGTATTTGTACTATTGTTATCGTCAATTTCTTTCTTTCAGCATACATCGAGTGATGTATCGAAGACATACATGATCGTGGATCTTGCCGTCGTATGCTAGGGTTAGCTTGACAGGTGCCGTTTCGGCCTGAGCTTCGGTTGTGGAGGTCGTAGACATTGTAAGCGATCGTACTCTCTTTATGTGCGCTTAGTGCCCGGCCTCGTGAATATCATCCAAGGATTTATGTGTCTCATATCACGACTATTCCATCAAGGCTGCTTTAAATACGATATCAAGTCGAGTTCGATCTTACAAGAGTTAATCGCGTCAACCGACGTGATATGGCGAGCAATGAAGCCATTCATCCTTTAGCTCACGCCACTGCGAGTTGCATGCGGGGAAGCTCAGATAAGCAACGTCGCTGTGCGATATCATCAATCTCACTGGACATGAGATCCGGAGGGGGGTTCGGATTTGAAGTTTGCCTTCATCGGCACTTTGCTGGCTCGGATCACCGCCGTTACCAGGGCCTATACTTTCCAGTAAGACGAATGAATGATGTGGTGGTGTATCATTGATCTACCGACATCATCATTGGCGCCTTGGTATTTCGTGATCCAGGCGGAAGATGGCATCAAGTCCGATGGTATTCCGATGCCGTATAGGTCGCGGGACCGCTTCGGCAATGATGTGCTGCCCCGCACCGGCTCCGGACAACGTGCGGCTTTCGTTAACATTAGTGTGTAATCCTAGACAGGAAGGGACTTAAAAGTTGATAAGCCAGTAAAGCCTCTCCAGATTCTACGAAGAAACGCGATTAGTATAACTTGACATTTATCCTTGTTTCTACCTATCCTAAGCACCTTGGGCATCCTAGCAACCACCAGGGATACTCGCCATCTTTGAGAAGCCACCACTTCCCAAATGAAATGGTCAATCTACGCCGATAATCCCAATTCCTCATAAAAGGGCTCCATCCGGACCTCACGACCGAGGAACTCCAACAACGTCGTCATCTCGGGCTGTCCGCCCCCCTTCTCCAGGACGCTGTACCTATACTTGCGCCCTGCTTCCGCGCTCATGGGATCCGCTTCAAAGACTGTTGAGAACATGTCTTGCGCGTAGACTTGTGAGCTAGTTGTCACAAACGCAAACTCTGTTAGTGAAATCTCATCTTTGCTTACCTGGGTAGATATGAGAGCAACGAGGTCAGGAGAAAAAGAAAAGTAGAAACTCACAAAAAGTACCCGTAGAACCCAGCATCATACTCATCCATCAAGTGTCCGATGTTAGTATACCCGTGTCCCCAGTTGGTATCGTCATTCGGTAGGATTGGCGGATCATCCGTTGGGACGATTTCTCGTCGGAGGCTGTTCCAGAGCATCGTAAAGTCCACGGCAGCTTCACCCTTGACGGCACCGGCGGCGACGATAGTGGATGGTTCCTCTTGCGTGATGATCGACGCAGGCAACTGATGAACAGCCATATCAAAGACACTAATAAAAAGCTGCTGCAGCGTCCCCAGCCCCTGGCCAACATGCTTCGCGGCAACCAGGCCCTCGACGATGTCCTCTGGGATCCGTTCCGGAGGCTGCGTTATACCTGCCCCCGCCCCTTCTTCTCCGGGTACCCCTCTGGCAATCTGCTTCTCCCGCCAGTCCGCCAAGCACCCTTCAGATAAATAAGAATAATGCCGGCCGAGTCCGCGTAGTTGCTCCGCGCTCCAGCACCAGTTCTCGAGCATCTGCGAGGGCGCCTCTCCGAAGTCGACGACGGTGCCCATGGGCCCGTGGAAGCGCGCGAAGAGGTTGCGGGAGACGAGGTCGTGGATTGCGTGGCCTAGTTCGTGGAAGAGGGTTACCACGTCGGCGTGGCGGAGGAGGGTTGGAGAGGATGCGGATAAGGAGGACGGAGAAGGGGAAGGAGGGGGGAAGGAACAGAGGAGGGCTGTGGAGGGGTGTGTGCGTGTTTGGTCTGGGTTTGTGAAGCCCTGGGGATTGTTAGTCTCTGGGTCTACACAAATAGAGGATAAGGTCAAGATTCGAGGATTTGTGGTGGTCTGGTTCGTTAAAGGGAGCACTTACAGGCACGAGACTGAAGTTCGCCGGATTTCCATACTTCCCATCCCGGCGGTATAGATCAAGGTAAAGATACCCCAAAAACCCACCCCCTTCACCAGCAGAATCCCACGCGGAGAAAAGTCGCACGTCCTCATGCCAGACGATATCTTCCCCCTTACCCGAACTCGACAAGGTATTCCTCGCCTCCTTCCCAGCAACCTCGCAGAATTTCATCCCGAAAAGCCTCTCGAAGATGCTGAGCATGCCTTCGACGGTCTGCTCGAGCGGAAAGTACTCTGCAATCATTTCATGGTCGACTGCGTACCCTTCTCTCAGCAAGAGGTTGGTATAATACGCCGTGTCCCAGGTATACAACTTCCCGTCGTAGATCTCGCCCCTCTCGTCTTCGACATCGCGCCTCTTGAGTTTAAGTAACCGTTCCTTTTCGTCGCGTCCGCCCTGAACTAGCTTTTCTCGTAGAGAGGAGAGAAAGGATGTGACGTGGGACGGGGACCCAGCCATCTTATCTTCCGTCGCGAGGGTCGCATGGTCAGGGTACCCCAGCAGCCGAGCAGCCTCATGGCGGAGCAGGACGACGCGCCGGAAGATGGGGACGTTGGCGGCGCAGCGGGTGTCGTATGCGAACCGGGCCCGGCGGCGCGTGTTGGGCCGGCGCGCTGTGCGAAGAAGTTGGGAGAGATGAAGGGGGATTCTGATGCGGAGTTTACCTGCTGTCTCGGGGCTGTCGTCTCCGGATTCCAGGCGGGCGAGGGCGTCGGGTGGGAAGCCGTCTAGTTCCCGCGGGGTGAAGTATAGCGAGACATCCGCTTCCGCCAAATTCTTTGCAAACTCTGCGGTCAAGGTCTCGATCTCGGCGCGGATGACGCGGAAGCGGTCCCGGTCTGGGCCGGCGGCGATCCGGAGGCCGTTTTTGACGAATTCTTTGTGTTTTTTGTGGAGATAGTTTCTGGCTTCTGGGTTGAGGTAGCGCGTTTCAGCGGTGTCATTGTAGACTGCGTCGACGAGGGTGAAGAGTGCTTCGTTTGTGGCGGATTCGACTTCTGCCTCGCGGAGGAGGGAGCGGGCTTGGGAGGAGGCGTCGCGGGTTGCTGCGTCTGGGGAGACGGCGTTGTGGAAGAGGAGGAGGGAGGAGGTCAAGTAGAGGGCGTTTTCGGCGTGGGCTAGGGGGAGAAGGGTGTTGCCGTAGGTTGCGTCTTGGGGGAGGACGGTTGAGATTATGGAGGATTGGGCTGAGTGGTGGGTTGTTATGAGGGTGCGGATTGTGGTGAGGATTTGGGTTGGGGTGGTTGCAAAGAGGGGGGGTGGCTGTGGCGGGTTGCGGGAGGAGGGGTCCATGGTGGTGGTTTTTGGTGATGAATTGAGATTGATGGAGGGTTGTGTTGAGAGTCGCTGTTACTGGTGTGGCATGAGGTGTCGGGAGTCGATGACAAGAGCGGGATGTCGTGATCTTTTGAAAGCTTGGTGTTTAGGCAGCGGTTTTGCTGGTTTGGCAGGGTAATATCGCTCACTTGTTAGTTTCAACTTTCGCGATTGTGTTGGTGCAGGGATGATGTCAGAGGGGTAGGCGGGTCGTCGGCCGGTCAGACACCTTGCACGACGGGACTGTTGGATCCAGGGAGAGTCTGAAGGAGCAACATTTCGTTGATGCCTTCGGCAAAGATCCGGGGCCGTTGTGATGTTGAGCAAAGATTGGAGGGATCTAAAGAGAAATGCAAAACACCACAAATCCCCTACTTAGGCATCCAGTGTTACAAGGCAACACTGTGATTTGGATCTCGTAGGCAACACTTTAATTGCAGTGTCCGAGTTAACCGACCTTGTTCCATGCAGGGCTAAGGCACCTCGTGTTGGACTAATCTGCAAGCAGTCACTCCCGGCCAGGGCCCGGATGGAGCCTCCGCCCGTTTTCGGCTTGATTGGCCGATGGGATGTGCCGAGATCCGGCCGGCCGGGGCGGGGAAAAGCCGGGACTCAAGTTTTCGGGCGACGGAGACCATCTCGGCAGTTTAAGGTAAAGCAGAAACGACCCGAGAACCAAACGATGAGTGAATGCATGACTTCAGTTGATCCATCGTGCAAGAGACCGGGTTTCTCATTGCCAGGTAATCTGAAGATGATTTACGCTGGTGTCTGGGTTATCTAGCAGTCAGTAATTTGGTAACGACCTTGGCCATAATGGCATATTGACATCGTACGCAGACCCGATCTTATGGATCCATGTGGGAGCGTCGCGACAATCAACATGCTACATGTTACCTCGAGCCAGGCGTTACCCCGCCTGTGTGAGGTTCAGGCAAACATTGGAAGGCCAAGTGTGATCCCCGGCCGTAACGCGCCGGCTTACATGTTCCCCAACACTCACAGTAGCGTCAGCCAAGGATTACACAGTGTCTTGGGTCATCCTACTCGCCTTAATTTCTTTAATTGACGGTGCTCAAGCGAATCCTTACTGACTAATTGCATCGGTTGAGCTAATTATCCGGCCATCAACTTCCTCTGACATCGTCACGCCACTCCTACGAGCTTGCAAACGCAATCATCAATCCATCTCGTAGAACATTCCGTCCATGGGAGATCAAGTGGTTGTTTTTAAATACCACACACCTCAGACTTTTGCGACAGAAAAATGGCCAGCATATCCTCGGGTCTTGCGGTTATCTACCCTGCGGATGATGGAGGCGGCAAGCTCGGAAACACAACACCATTGCGACGAGGACCTCCCGACGATAATCGCCACCAAAGCCCATCGCCATCGCAATACCAGGAGCCGCCCGTCTCTTTTGACCACAACCATTCAATCCAAGATGAACATCTTAGCACCGTCCCCGATTCCGACCCGCCACTCCCCGACACCCCCGGCACCTTGGTCCCAAAGCTCTCGGGAACAAGCATAACCCTCACAATGACATCCCTCTGCCTCTCAGCAACCCTCTCCGCCCTTGATATGACAATCGTCACCACCGCCGTCCCCAACATCGTCGCCTCCCTAAACTCTGTCGCCGGCTACATCTGGGTCGGCTCCGCCTTCATCCTCGGCTTCACGGCCGTCACTCCCGTCTGGGGCTCCGTCGCGGACCTCTGGGGCCGGAAACCCATCATTCTACTGGCCCTGACGATTTTCTTGTCGGGAAGCCTGCTGTGCGCGCTGGCGCCGAATATGGATGCCCTCATTGCCGGTCGTGCGGTCCAGGGTGTGGGTGCGTCGGGGATGGGCGTCATGGTGAATACCATCATCTGCGACTTATTTTCGCTGAGGGATAGAGGGTTATATCTTGCCGTCACGTCTGTTATTTGGGCCGTTGGGAGCGCGGTTGGGCCGGTGCTTGGGGGTGTCTTTACTACCCGGCTGAAGTAAGTTTTGCTGGAGCGGCTATCCTCGATTCTGCTGACTATTTCACCTTTCTTGTAGCTGGAGATGGTGTTTCTGGATCAATTGTAAGTTCTCACAGATGCTAAAACAATGAGCGATAGCTGACGGTCAAAGTGCCTATCGGCGGAGTAGTCTTCATCGTCCTCATCTTCTTCCTCGACCTCCCTTCACCCAATACCCCAGTTCTAGCAGGCCTCAAAGCCATAGACTGGACAGGAAGCGCACTCTGCATGGGCGGAGCCCTAATGGTCCTCCTCGCCCTCGACTTCGGCGACGTCGTACACCCCTGGTCCTCCGCCACAGTGATCTGTCTCATCGTCTTCGGCGCTGTTGCCGTCGGCATCTTTCTCGTAAATGAATGGAAATTCGCCGCCAACCCCGTTCTGCCCCTTCGACTGCTCTCAAGCTGGTCGAAAGCGGCGGCCTATAGCGTCTTCGCGTTTAACGCGTACGTCTTTATCGGCATCACGTATTACCTACCGCTCTACTCCCAAGCCGTGCTGGGCGCCAACGCCCTGACGTCCGGGCTGTATATGCTGCCTCTGATCGTGTCTTGCTCGTTGTCTGCGGCGTGTGCTGGTGTGTTTATTCAGCGGACGGGGCGCTATCGAGTTCTTATGCATGCGGCGCAGGTACTTCTGATTCTCGGTACGGGTTTACTCATCAACCTCGAATTTGAGAAGAACCTAGTGAAGCTGTTTACTTTTCAGATCCTCACCGGTATCGGCGTGGGGTTGAACATCGAAGCACCGGTGCTGGCGGCGCAGGCTGCGACTACCGTCCGTGATACCGCTGCTGTGGTGGCTACTATGGGCTTCTTGCGGTCTATTGCGACGGCCATTTCTGTAGTTGTTGGTGGGGTTGTCTTCCAGAACCAGATGAAAGCCGAGAACCCGGGCTTGGCTGAGGTCATTGGTGATGAGCTGGCCGGTCAGTTCGATGGAGAGAATGCATCGGCCCATGTCGAGGATATTGGTTTGCTTTCCGCCGATCAGCAGGTTCCTGTGCGGCAGGCTTACTTCAGAGCGCTCAAGACAGTTTGGATCATGGTAAGTGAGAATGCTCAATGCCAAAGTATCGTCAGGTGTCGTATTACCGATAGCCTCGAGAATCCGCGCTAAGTTTGCGTCCCATTACTCAATGCTAACGAAAGCACTCAGTATGTCGCATTTTCGGGCCTCGCGTTGGTCCTCAACATCTTTGTATCAGAACACCATCTGAGTGACGAGAGAAAAGCGGCCGTTCTCGGCATTGATCGAGGAAACCCTGGCTTGTTAGATCAGCCAGCCCAAGGAGAAGAGATACCGCTCGAGACGACTGGCAGACAGCAAGACAATGTCCCACAACTGAGAAACCGGGCAGCGTGAGCAGAAGTAGAAACCAGCTCCTCGAGGGAGTTATTAAAGCGATTAGATTGACAGGTACCAGCCCTGAAGACGCCTTGTAGCGTATGGACTCTATGCTCTCCGTTGTCCTTGAATCCTGGAAATGTCTTTAATACAAAAGGAACTTGTCGAGCCACGACTGGACCCCTTCTACCTCCCAAAATTCTCCGCTTCCCGCTGATGGCCGTTATGATGTGGCCGTTATGGTGTACAAACTGAAATATGAAATAAGTAACGGTCGGAAGTATCTTCTTCACACAGAGGGCTGTGGTAATCCGGAAATTGTTAAACGTAGGAGCGCAACTGTTAAGACTTTCCTGCCAACGACTTCTCTGAAAGCTGTCTCTCCGCCAAGCCCCTCTCCCAGAACTCGGATCCCTCAGTTAAGTTCCGCCGTAGGGTCTTGGCACTGAGATGTTTCGTGAAGCGATCCACGGCAAGAATCACCAGGAGGAGAGCAGCCACGGTAGGTAACGTCGCACCGCTCTTGAGGTAAGAAAAAATAAACCTCTCGGACGCGGCGCCAGCGGCGATGGCGACGGCAAATAGAGCGGCACAACCGCGGGTCGCGACGGCGGCCTTGTCAAAAATGTTCATCGGACGGTCCTTGTGGCGCGTGATGAGGATGAAGACTGCAAAGAAGGCGACGACAAAAAGAAAAGAGGACCAGTAGTAGATGTATACGGTAGAGTAAGCCGGGTGCGCAATTTCACCCGGATCCTCGTCGCCGTCCGAGGTTACACCGTTGTAGGACTCGAACAAGACGCCGAGGACGCTCTTGGTGAGGCGTTCGAAACCGGGAGGCACAAAGAGGGAGTCGGTGCCGGTGATATTGGCCGGTGCGCAGATATCTGTCGTGTTGCCGATTCGGTAGATTTCTTGGTAGACAAAGGGGATGAGGTTGCGGATCTCGGCGCTGTTTGGCATCTTGAGCTTCTCAAAGGCCGCGGTGATGGAGGTTGTCAGGGCCTGGCCGTCTTGGTGCTCCGTTGCGCAAGCGTTGCGGACGGAAGAGAAGAAGTCGCTGAAGTAGCTGAGGACCTGCCAGGCGAGGGCGATTTGTTGGGAGCCCTCGACGACGCCGATCATGCCGAGGTGGAAGGGGAAGTGGAGGACGGCCCAGATTTGTTGGCGGACAGTGCCGAATTTGCATTCGGGGGGGTTGTCGAAGTAGAGCATCCAGTTGAACATCTAGGGTGGTTAAATTAGACTTTGCGAGGAGAGTGTGGTGTGAACGAGTCACATACCAGAATGAAGACGATGCAGCCGACGACGAGGCAGGCGTCGAGCCGGAGACCGGTGTCGCCCATCATGACGCCGACGACCTTGGTCGCACCGATGGCACCCTCACCGATGATGACCAGGGTGAAGAGGCCCATTCTCTCAGTCAAGTGAGTGTGCTTGAAGCTGAGGTTCTTCCAGATAGACGACAGGCCCAGGGTGATGGCGACCTCGATCACGAGGATGATGTACCAGACGTAGTAGATGCCCAAGCCATTGCCGGACTCGGGCGAGAAGGCCGGCGTCATAGAGTAAAAGGATCCACCGGAGAAGATGAAGAGGACAATAGTCAAAGAAAGCGGCCAGTTCAAGGCCTTTGTCTTTTTGCGGACAAAGTGGAGAGCGACGGAGTACTGTGCTACGAGGAGCAGGCGGGTAGCGAAAAGGATGTTACATAGGAGTTGGAAATTCTACATTGCATCACTATCAGCATCAAGATTTCCGAGGCTTCCGTTCATGTCAAGATGATCGAGATACATCGTCAGGAGAAAATTGACATACCGCATTATTGTGTTCTTTCGTACCGGGACTAAAAGAAGACCCCACAAGAGCGAAGCCGACAAATAGGCAAAACTGCAAAATCTTGCACATTCGCTCGTACCCCGAGTCGATGGAGAAGCGGACATCGTGCAACGTGATCTGGAACCAAGTAAACCAGATGATAGCGAAGAAGCCTAGATAGGCGGCTAAACTGGACAAGTCGGTGATGCTGTGCGTCTGCGTAAATGTCTCGAGATTGGCGACAAAGAAGAGGTCGGAGAAGAGTTCAATGGTGTTTGCATTGTGCCGGACAAAGAGGCGGATCTCGCCCGTATCTTCATCAGCCGAGGAGACGGGCGACTCGATCCAGGTGAGAGGCGCGATTTTCTCTTCTTGGAGGTAGTCTAGGCCCCTGGACAGGAAGGATTCTCGTTAGTTTGCTGCATGATGCGGGATGGGGGTTATCGAGATTTGGTTGTTGGTTTGGCCGCCCTGCCATGCTCGCTTCCCACTTCTTTTTCGGTGAAGGGCAAACAGGCGAGAGGGCACGTATTGGATACGGCGTATATTGACTTACCAACTTATTGATGAGCTGTCAGAGTCGACTCGACGGACCTGGCTGCTCGGGAGCTTCGCCATTGTGTGGCCGGCAAAGCAATGATGGCGTAGGACGCCTTGTGAAGGTGTGTTTGGATCGCTTTGGACGCCTTCTCTCTCTCTTGCGAGTCCGAGGCGTGGAACAGATGTTGATTTGATGTGTAAGAATGCGAAAGGGAGGGGAGGGGAACAAAGAGTGGTTAACATGGTCTGGAATCACCGGAGAAGAAGGGGCCCAAGGGGGGGAGGGGGGCCGCCTACCCGGCATTGGCAGCACGTCAAGCCTTCAGCCCTGTGGTTCTGTTTGTCGTTCCCCGAAGATCCGATCCAATTTTTCAACCCGTTTAATCATGAATGGACCTCTCCATGGTGGGGATGTTGCACCGATACGTGTATCACAGCCCCAGGTCACACACGTATTGGGGATGACCAAACCGCACTAGCGAGTCATCTTCAGTGCCAATTGCCGTTTCTCGAAGGGAAACGATTAGATATTGGCTGTGTTTTGTGTTTTAAGGTTCTACCCTTACTTAGCGGTATCCACAAGCACTGCAAGCTTCGCTCTCGGTCTCGGTCTCGCCCTATTCAGGGGTTGTTGGAGCAAGCTTCGAGTGCCACAAGGGAAGACTTGGTATAATACTAGATTCTCTCTCTCATTTCTTCAACGTCGCAGCATACACATACCGACTTCGGCCCCCAAATTATCACGAATGACAAGTAGGAACGAACATGAGGTCGACGACCCATCTTTAAAGACGACATCACGGCGAATAACTACCAAAACGAATTATTGCACATGGCCAATACGAGCAGAGAGGATGCTCCCTGAGGTAGCCCGAGTTCCGTCAAATATATTTGATGTATAACCATTCGACACGGAGTGGGCATACATTGGATCCGAGCGGCAGAGACGGGCATGCCGAACAATAAGGCCAACACGACCAGGAATATTCATGGAAAGCAGGTCCGAGTGTTCCTCGACACTCGCTTCTCCGAGTAGTCTCTGTCGGATTAAAGGTTGATCTCAATCTGCAATCTGTCGGTGGTCGTCGAAGGTGCCGTAATCAGGGTGCCCTCCTGCCTCAGCTTAGCTATGCGAACCAAGACGAGGTGATACTGGCATTGGTTCGACCTCTCCTTTCTCCTTTGACGCACCCAAGAAAACAAAGCCTGCGTCACCTTCCAGTGACAGGGTTTGGAAAGACGTGTATTGTATGGTATTCGTGAAATGCCGTCGGAATTATACCGGGCCGATCCTTTCACATCCTTGTTGCCAAGTTCTGCTTCTCAGCCCAATCGGGTCTTGACAGCATTGGGAACCAGCACCAGTGCAGAATATGGATAGCAATGACCAAGCTCAGAATTACCAATATCAAGTAGGCTGCGACTGCGTTCTGGAGAGGTCGCCTTCTACTGTGACCGATGAGTTCCGCTTTGACGGGCGGTAGACCTTACGGAGGAAGAATGACTGAGATAGCCGACTCGTTGAGACTGAGACGATTTATTTGTTGGCAGCTTGGACGTTTAGAAAGGCCTAAATCTGGTTGATCACCGCCATGACGTTGTCTTCCTTGGGCGTCTAGAGCTTCAAGCTCGGAAGAAGTACCCGGCTTCACAGCAAGCATCATCTCTTTGTCCATGTCAAAAGTCCGAGATCTGTCTTCGCTTGCATCAGGCCAAAGCTTTTGATCTAATTGTTAATTGGTACAGCTGATTTATGGGCTCTATGGACCTATAGTCCCTTGATCAATCTCTAAGTCGCTTTGGTGGAACGTTTGAGAAGAGGTGTTTGTATTGGTCCAATGTGAATGCCTTGTTAAGTTATACTGGGACATGCGGGAACCTGATTGACAATATTTTGTGGGAGAGCCTTTTGCAAGGACTCCGGATTTGACTTGGTGTGCTCTGGATTCGTGTAAAAGACCAAGCTCTTAATCAAGACATCACCAGCGGCCTTGGACGCGTCGACGTACCAATCCTACCCATGGTCTTGTTCCGTTCAGATGCAAGATGTACGACTTCATCCCAATAAGAGTTGAAGGGTGTACCAATTCAGCCGTCCTACCCAGACTCTTTGTCACTTGGAGTCTTGGCAAGGATCAAGGACAGGCGTAACGGACTCGTCAAGGTGCACGCCGCTGGTATGAATGTATGGCTATCACCTTGGGTTGCGGGCGCCACAGTACATGTACACAGTCCGATGTGACAAGAGCACAAGATCCCGCGAACTTCTGCAAGCGCTTGGCCGAAATGCACGAAACGAGTCAGTCCCTCTCAGGCAGATTCGGTTTCTGCGTCACGACTTGCGACGGCAACCGACCGCACAACGTTGAGTGGAAACCAAGTTGGGCGGAGTTCTATCGGAAGTTGCTCCTCCACACACCTAGTCGGCTCTACAGCCTCAAAGGTGGCATCAACCATTCCGCTGGCCATCTTGGCCGACTTAGAACTTCGTAAGTGCTATCGCCGGTGTCAATCATTTATGGGGTCTCGAAAGTCTCACTGAAAAGCTGCAGGGTTAACAATAGCATGCTCTACCTCTGCGAGAAGTATGCTCCGATCGACGGCGTCGATAAATACGATGAATCAATCGACCCGATCAAGATTGGAGCTAGTATCGTATC